AACTGGGACCTATATGGCTGCCTTGCTTTGTTGTCCACTTGCCCTTTTCTCTTCCAGTCTTCCTCCCTCGGCTTTATTATTACGAAGCCACTGGACCATCCGAAAAAAGCCCATCACTTATCACTCTAAAATTCGATAGTACAGTTTGGCCCAAACGACAATAGTCTTGTGATAGTGTTGGGCCAATCAGCTGGCCCGGCCTAATTTGCCAAGGGCCCTCCGTACCAAGATGGAGGAAAAGATCCAACCCTTGCAGCAGCAGCACTGGGTTCTATTTTCTTTGAAATGGTTCTCAAAGAGTATTGAGAAAATTCGGTTATTGAAATGTAGGCCTCTACGAAGATGAACGTTATCTTTTCGAAATGGTTTCGTCTTCCCGATCACATCTTGTCGAATTGTTACATTTTAGGGATTGATTGTAACACGAGAATTTGGAACTTAAAACCTGATTCCCGTGTCATTTGTGTCCAAACAAAAAACGTGGGGTTTCTTGCGCAATCAACACGTTATGTGGGGGAATTAGACACAATTCACACACCAAAATTCCACACACAATCAATCCCCTAATGTAACAATTCGACACACAAACAAACAATCCCTATTTGTGGAGTGGGACAGCTGGGAGTCATGGATTCGTTTTCCAGCTGGTAGGGTATATTTTTTGGATAGGCTAGCAAGTCTGGAATCTCGGTGCACCGTCAAATGGAAGGGATCGGTCCCTTTTTTTTTTTGTTTAGTTGAATTTTAATCACCAAATTAATAAATTAGTTAATTGCGTTCATTTGATTCCCAGCGCGCGTGGGCCATGACGAGCGTGAGGTTACGGTGTCGGTGCTGAGTAGGGAATTGAACTCCTACCGGGGCCCACTTCGCTTTGCACTGATTTTGGCGCATGGTTTCCATGGCATTTCCGGTCCGGAAAAGTGAGTAATAGGTTATTTTGTACCAAAATCGTGGTTCAACTGTGATTGAACAGGTTCCTACAGCTAAAATTGTCTACTATTTTGGCTCCGGTATTTCTGGTCCAACCGACCGGTACCGTAGAGTTTCCAAAACCTTGGGTGTTCTGGTCTTCATTTTCCCTTTTTTTATCTGATTTGATATGATTCTTTATCGAGTCGACTGATGCCCAACCCTAAATATAGGGATGACAAAAGAGTCATGTGGGGTTGGTTTCTTATATATCATCGCCGAACAATGGTGTTAAAATCACAACCATTCCCATAATCAAAACAGTGCGGGAAATCCGATTCAGACTCCAGCTGCTCTCACTTCTCAAGTACCCCTTCTGGAAACAATTAGAGTAAATCAAAAATTGAACCTTAAACTTTTCTAGCTTCGATTCTCTTTGCCCCTTCAAAACTCCAGTTTTTATCGGTGTACCAATAGATTTTCATTTTCAAACGAAATTGTTAACACTTAAAATTTTATTGGTTTTTATCCGTTAAAGAAAATCGATAAAGCTAAAATTGGCTCGATTTCGGTTAAAACTAACAAGCCCAAACCGAACCGCCTCCTCACACACCACCTTCCGAACGCATTAAGGAAAACTACTCCGGGCATTAGTAGAACACGTGATTTTCTTGAATGATCGTGAATTAGGTACCAAACCATGTGATACAACGTTGATATTTGATAACACAAACTTGGGCACACCACGATGTGGCAAATAGTAAGTCCTTACCTAAACAGAAACTAAAAAAAGGCATTGACGTACATGCTAGCACACTAGCACTTGATTAGTGAGTAATTAGTGAAAGATGGGAGGGAGATTACTTGGGGATTTAGGCGCGTAGAGACAACGCGTTCAGAAGATGGCGTGGAGAATGAAATTTTGTTTTTCGCACTCTGAAAATCAATACAAAAAAGGAGACCCACGTGAGTGTAGTGCATATACAGCTCATTACTAGCAAGCAGCAAAGGCATCCCCTTCACATGATCATCTTATTTATATTATTCCCCCACTCGCATTCTTGTTCCCCAAATAAACCCAAATCCCCACCGCCGAAGCTTCTCCCCAATTTGATAATCCGGATTAGTCAGATGATAAAGAGATAGAGAGAAATTACAAAATTTATTACTCAAAATGAGAAATTAAATAAAAACTTTATTCAAACACAGTATCTACGCTGTTAAATTTTATTTCCCATAACGTTCTGCTACAATTCTCGTAATTTTTTACACTCAGCTTCTCAGCTTTTTTGGTAGAAAAGTCATCGTCTTTGATAATGATTGTGTGTTGCCTTCTTTGATTCATGAATCAAAGCCCGACCATTGAGTTCCGCTTGCGTTGGTAAAAAGTTTCGATCGTTAGTTGATTGGTTCGAAAACAACATAGGTTCGCCTATGTGATTTTCATTAAGATTAATACCAAACGAGTAATCGCCTTACTGCCATTGGCTGTAATGGCTAGAGTTCTTGCAAGACTGATATTGAAAAAAGAAAATATATGTAGGGTATAATACTTCTCCTTCACGAACAATGCATGAGCAACTCAAAAATGGCTTACTCAAAACTAGGGATGACAAACGAGTCGGATTTTGGGGCAGATACCACCGAACAAGCGTCATGCCCCGTGTCCCGCGAAGAGCTGGCACTTCTCGAATCCAATCATTGCGTGACAGGGGATAATTAAAATCCGCCGTGCCCCCATTTACAAGCAACCCCATCTCTCCCCTCGTTATGCTTCCACCACCATTCTTCTTCTTCTTTCTTCTCTCTCTATCTCTCATTTCGTTTCTTTCTGGTGCTCAACACGAATCAGATCGAAAAATACCCATCAAAGCGGGCTCTCAATTGCCATCCCAACTCAAAAAGTAAAAAAAATGAAATGATCAAGAGACATCTAGCATCAAAACGGCGACGTATATTGTTAATAGCGACGTGATCTTGTTACCCAATATTAATTGCGCTCTCCCTTCCATTAATGGCAGATGTCAAATCCTAATTGATACAACTAGCATTGAGCCCGCCCGATGGGCGGGTTAATTACTAATGTCTAATTAGTGCGTTGAGCTCGTAGGTGTAAGCGAAGAAGTATATACTTGCTCGCATATTCCTTCAGAAGCTTAAACATCTATAGTAGTAGGCTTGTTCCTTTTCTTCCTAACCACGGTTTGAAGATTAGTAGTTTATTACTACAATGGTAAAAAGAAAGGTAAATTACGAAGCTTAATTACACTGCAAATGAAAAGGGCTTGTTTTTATCACAAATGTGCATTCTTATTAAAACATCTAGGAGTAGGAGCAGGCAATACGTACAATAATTCGACTTTTGTAAATTCAAGTAATGCACCGTCCGGGCTATGAGGTACCTTGCCTGCCACAACTCTTCGAATCACAAGTGAAGAATCGACACAGAAACATTCAGACACATGAGCATGCATTAGGCACCAAGACATAACATCACAAAGCAGTAAGACACATAAAAAATATAAGTCCTACCGTCATTAATCTTGAGTGTTGTCATAGGTAGCCTGGCACCGCCCCTTCCAAAGTATCCATGCCAAAGGAAGATGGAGTTGCAAAGGGCTCGCCAGGAGAAACTCTATCTGGCTTTGGATTATTGCCCCCGGTCGATCCCGTTGCACCTATAAGGTACAGTATTAGTAAAAACATCATATAACAATTACAATACAATAAATTGTTGTAGTTGAATTGTATGTAACTTCTAAATCGTAAGTGATCACCTTCAAGGAAAATCTTCAATGTTAACAATAGTGTATGTCAATCGAATAATATTAGCGCTCATCTTGAGGCGTATGCTTATATAAAATGCATGGTTATTGGCTTTCAAATGCTTGTTTATCCCAACAATAAATTGAGTTGTTATGTGAATAAGTTAAAAAGTTGAAAAACACCAAAAAGGTTAATTGCCCATTGTTTAGCATGATAGCACCAAATGAGAACATGTCAGTAGAGTAAGTACAGTGACATAGTAATGCATAAAAAATAATAGCATTTGGGGTTGGAAGAGGGTAAGAAGGCGCAGGAGGGTTTTTTTTAGTGGGAAAATCAGGGGGTTTTCGCATGTAAGAAGGTGAAGCAAAGAGGAATCACCTTTGTTTCGCGTGGTGGGTACTTGGTGGTGCTAACTTTGTACCGGAGATGACCATTAACTTCCATCACGGCACGGAAGCATTGGGGATGGAGAGGACGACAACATTCATACAGAAATTGCTATGAGTTACCCAAGGGCATATAAAGAGCTTGGTCGAAGAATTAGCAAGGATTCATATAGCGGAAAAGATAGAAGTTAAATCTAGCAAATTGGTGGCAGCAGATTGTGGCTAGTCGAGGAAGCAAAAGGCCTCGCGGAATCTGCATTGGGGACCCCGGAACTTGGACCGAACGGCGGTTCCGACCGCTGTCTGATCGTGTATAAGAGAACCGGCACTGGAAGAGCCCAAGATGGATGGCGTTCTTCGGATGGGTCGATGGTGTCGGTTTTTACTGCTTACAGACCCCGAATCTCAGGCAAACTGCTACAATAGGCAGGGGCCAATCCGGCGGTTGAGGGGGGATTCGTGCCTGGCAGAAGGCAAATACCTCTCCTGGATTCAATTCGGAACAGAGAGCATCACTTATCTTGTATAACCCTTGTGAGATCGGGGAGAAGCCGATTTATGGATCAACGCTCCGACATCGATAGGGATGAAACCGCTATAGATTTGGCGAGGAGGAAACTGCTTATGGTGGACAGTTACAATCAGGGTCCCGACGGGAGGAAGTAAAAAGGAAGTTGGGTAGAGGCCTGGTCCCGTGGAAGAGAAAGAAAGAGTCCAATTTTATAGAGCTGACGTGGATGCCTATACGTTGAGAAGGGCTGACGTGGATAGGGTGGAATTCTAAAAACGCTTTAATATTTTTTAAGATCAGTTACAGCGGACCACGTGGTGTAAAAAACGACTGCGTTTCCTCATAACGAAACGCGTCCGCGAGTGGGGAAAAATCCTGCAAATGACCACAGGGCCTCAAAGGGTCACAGCACAGTCGCCTCGCACATAATCCCCATTCTCATCTCTTTCTTTCTTTCTTCTTCATCTCCATTTTCTTCTTCCTCTGGAGATATATACCCACACGAACCTCACCTTCTTCTCCAATCTAACATCAATTGCCTTTCTCTCCCTCTCTCTCTCTGAACTTCGCCTCTCAGTTTCTGCTGCAAGGGAGAGGAGCGAGTGAGTTTTTTGCATTACCGAGTTCCCGTCTCTTCTTGCTCGCGTTTGCTTTGCAACAATGGCGGCAGCTTCGGCGAGGGTGGATCTCGACGGGAAGCCGATCAAGCCGATGACGATATGCATGATCGGCGCCGGAGGCTTCATTGGCTCGCACCTGTGCGAGAAGGTCCTGACGGAGACGCCGCACAAGATCTTGGCTCTGGATGTCTACAACGACAAGATCAAGCACCTCCTGGAAGGCGAGAACGCGTCCTTGGCTGAGCGGATTCAGTTCCACCGCATCAACATCAAGCATGATTCCCGCCTCGAAGGCCTCATCAAGATGTCAGATCTGGTAAATTTCGCTTTCCGCCATTTTACGATTCTCGTTTCATATTCAAGCTCTGTTCTCGGAATGCATGCGTTTAGGTTTTCCTTTCTCTCCGTTTCGGTTTGTTTTCTTGCTGCCTTGATAATGAGGTGGTGGAATTGTTCCCCGGCGCGGTGTATAGGTCATAAATCTGGCGGCGATCTGTACTCCGGCTGATTACAACACTCGTCCGTTGGACACAATCTACAGCAATTTCATCGATGCGCTCCCTGTGGTAAGTTGAATCCGGATTCGAACTTCTACTAGAATTGCAACATGCATTCATTGTAGGGGAATTTAGTTACAGTAGTCGTTTCTTCGTAAGATCAGCCTGAATTGACAGTTTTGGGGAAATATTGGTGGTTGGAAGTTGATGTGGCCGGGGTTTGATTTTGTCAATTTAGGTGAAATACTGCTCTGAGAACAGCAAGCGTCTCATTCACTTCTCGACTTGCGAAGTGTATGGTAAAACCATTGGGAGCTTTCTTCCCAAAGACAGTCCTCTTCGTGAGGTAAGCCTTCGCTTTCCTCTTACTTTAATATTTCACTTCTCGTTTTCACCACTGTTATCCCCCTTTTTCTTGATTAGTTGCCGACATTTATCCATGGAGTTTTATTCTATAGATTTCTTGCTTGCTTGTCAAGTGTTGTTTAGGCACTTTTGTCTTGGAAGGCCATGTATGCTAATTTTATATTTTGGATTGTGTCACTAATCTTGTTTGGAGCACCGATTGTACGACTTCTTGATCTTGTTAGCCTTTCCTGAACTACATTTTGGCCAATTATCAAAATAGACTATGAAATTCTGAGATCCATGGATTGCAAAATGAAGATATGTGGTCTTGCCTACTCTTGAAATCTTGACAAGTTTTGTTAACGATGCAGTTTTCTGGGGGGGAATGTGTAGCAAAGGATCCGGAGTGACTCCTGTATTATTTTTCTTGCATGATCTATCTTTTACTAGACCTAGGCAAGTTAGATAGAATTCTTGTCACTGAATTTCTGTACTTCTTTGGCGTCCCAATGTAGTCTTAGTAGTATGAAATAAATAGGTGTGAATTTTCAGATGTGGAGATTTCATGGAAGTGGTTGTTTATCTGTTGACTTTTGCAAGTCTGTTCTGTTAGTTAGTCGATTGGGTAGACTGTTGTGTGTAGTAGATTTGCGTGATTGATGGTATTCCTGTTATAAGAGCTGTGTTCTTGTATACATTGGATGGTGTAGTCTTATGTGTTTAGGTGATTACTAAATGCGGGGTCTGTGAGCTGTTTCTGCCTTGTAATCTGGATTTGTTTTCCTCGTTCTTTCTGGTTTTCCTTTTTCACTCTAGACAATTGAGTGTGTTATGGTGTTCTTGGCTTCTTTTACCTGCAATGTTAATCGAATTCCAAAGAATGCTATACTCAATTATGTGTGGCCATACTGACGTTGAAGGATAGTTTTGTTGTTATGCTTTCTGGATCACATATATCCCTTCTTGACCTCAGATATCAATTGTCTTTGCCCGAGGCTAAGTGACTAGAATTTGGTGTCGTGGATAGATAATTGTAGTAGTTACCGAGGTCTGCACACGTGTGTCTAATAACATTACTTCCCTCATTCATATTCTAGCTGTTGTTCATTTTCTTCTATGGGCTGGCTGTATCACTGAATTATTTGCCCCAGTTTGTTACTTGCTTCATACCTGTTTTGTTCAATTTTATTGATTTACTCGCTATAACTGATCTCTTTACCTTTTTTTTTTTAATATGATAGGATCCTGCATACTATATCCTTAAAGAAGATGAATCGCCTTGCATCTTTGGCTCAATTGAGAAGCAAAGGTGGTCTTATGCATGTGCAAAGCAATTGATTGAAAGGCTGATATATGGTAAGCAGATTATCTTATTTTTTATCTGGGCCATCTACAATTCTTTAAAGCATTTTCTTTTCTGATTTTCTCTTTCCTTTTGATATATAACAGCTGAGGGTGCTGAGAATGGCCTGGAGTTCACCATTGTGAGGCCATTCAACTGGATTGGCCCCAGGATGGATTTCATTCCTGGCATTGATGGCCCAAGTGAGGGTGTTCCCAGGGTTTTGGCATGCTTTAGCAATGTGAGTCTCTCTAACTCTACCCCTCTGGGATTAGGAGTGCTTGTGCCAATAGTTGTGCTCTAACCTTGTCACAAGGTTGTTGATTATGTGGGGTAAATTTTGCATTTGCTTTCAGGCTCTCTTGCGACGTGAACCACTAAAGCTTGTAGATGGTGGCCAATCCCAGAGAACTTTCATCTACATTAAAGATGCCATCGAAGCAGTTATGCTGATGATTGTATGTCATACTGTTTTCCTTCCCTTTCCTTCTGCCTTTTTCCCCTTTGTGATATGGCATTGTACTGAACATGTTGTGGATATATTATTTCATACAGGAAAATCCTGCCAGGGCCAATGGCCACATATTCAATGTGGGCAACCCTAACAATGAAGTAACTGTTAGGCAGCTTGCTGAAATGATGTCAGAGGTGGGGAAGAAATTTTCCGAACTTGGATGTTAGGTTGTTTTATTCATACGGATTATAGAACTAACATAATGGTTTATCAACAGATCTATGCCAAGGTCAGTGGCGATCAGGCTTTGCAGTCACCAACAGTCGACATCAGCTCAAAGGAATTTTATGGAGAGGGATATGATGATAGTGACAAGAGAATCCCAGACATGACCATCATCAATAGGCAACTCGGTACTGCTTCTTGCTTTATTTTACTTGCAACTTCTCTAGGCATACGTGAACATCTACTCTTTGTGACAATTCCTTGTGTCTTACTCTGTTCATATTTCTGACTTCTGAGTAAAATAATTTATTTTATTACCTCAAAACCAATTTGGTGACTGATCCTTGAAATTAAATTGTGAAGATAGTTAGAAGATTCGTATAGAGTTGAAGTTATATAACTGGCTGGCAAAATGACTGCTTTCTGTCTCAGGTTGGAACCCGAAGACATCGCTGTGGGACTTGCTGGAGTCAACTCTCACCTATCAGCACAGGACGTATGCGGAAGCTATTAAGAAGGTTATAGCAAAACCCACAGCGAGCTGAAGAAATACGTAAGAGAATGTTTGAACTATACTCTTTTGAGGAAGTGCCACAATTCATTGTAATGAAGTCCTTTTGCAAAAGTACAACTTGATAGTTTGATTCCCTCCCCCATATAGGCTTATGATTTCAATTTTTTCGTTCTTTTGCCCCATTCTGGGGATTCCTCTTGGTCGTGCCTGGCAAACAGCGAGAGTCCAGTGTAGTATTAAGGAATACGTTTTTGTTTACGGGAGGCTGTTAGTTCCGAACATAGTCATGAATGCTGCTGTTCTCTTATTGTCATACATTTTGTAAGTGGAGCTTTGGTCTGTTGCTAGGGCAAGAAGGGACGAAATGTACAAGTTGGTTCAGTGGATGAATTGTTCAGATGGGATGTTTGCTCTTGCTTTGCCAATGACGTTCCTCTCTGTATTCTGCTTCTTCAGGCATGTGTTGTATTAACGTGTTCACCCTGTATGAAGGTTTTTAGTCTAGTTATTGTCTGCATATCGCGCTTCCTTGTTTCCTGGTTAGTAGGGGTGATTTCGTCTTGCAACTATGACCATTGGTCCATCTTGTGCATGTTTCGCTGGGTTGCTGCCTTCGTCCTAGACTCTAGAAAACGAGAACCGTTTCCCTTCACTTGTTATTCTTGTCAAAGCACCTTGCTGCTCCTTGTCTGTGTAATGGCTTGAAGTTCTGCTTTGAATTGACGACAATTGCTTGTTATTGTGGTAGCTGGTTCGATGATTTTTCTGATCTTGTGCGGTGCTCCAGTACTACTACCGCCACACTGCTTCTCTCTTGTAGTAGGCTAGTAATCTCCTTACACTAGTCTGCACTTCTTATCGAGCTTCGACTTCAGAGCAGTGCATCTGGCCAGCCTTAGACAATGATGAATGACTCTCTCCTTTCCATTGTCATATGTTCATCAGTGAGGGTTCTAACTTCTGTACTTCGGTGCCGCGAACTATTCCAACACATTGATCGGTCTATCAGGCAGTGACCCTTTACCCTTGTTTCGTCGAGAATACAACGTGCAAGCGGTTTAGAATACGAAGAACTTGCTTTGTTTCTCCCGCTTTTGTGTAGCTTAAGTGAATGAGTGAAGATCAAGTAATCTTAACTCACAAGAACTTCCTTATACATCATCAAATACGAAAATAAAAAAGCAATATGAGAAAGAACTGAGAAGTGGTTTCCACTGTCCATACAGCAGTTAGCAGTGTACTTCTACTTGTTGACTTGACTGGTGGCACTTCTTCCATTAGTTTACAGTTTAGAACACCTGTGCCGACAAAACAAGATGATTATTCTTTACTTTGAGCCACAGTCCTCTTCCTCTTCCAGTTTCCATCGTCTTTTAGCTTTTGCGAACTTATTATTAGTCTCCCAAACGTAAAGACCGGGCAAAAGATGATCCGAATCATGGATGGATCCCAGAAAAGTCCGACCCATGTGCCCCGAGGAAGGAAAAGGAGCCGCCCGATGGAGATATGAGAAGACAGGGTTCCTTCAATCCCCCCGAAACGCACGCGTTTCTGAATGATGAAGAGTGCCGGCAAAGTGTTCGACAAAAAGCGCGACACAAAACCATGATTTACCCGTTCTCTGTCACTGTGAGTAGGGGCCTTCCGCTTATCATTACTCTTCTTCAGTCTTCTCTCTCTCTCTCTCTTTCCCTTCCAAACTACCGTTTTAATCTCACTTCATGTTCACGATCGGTTTCTTTTTCCCGGACTTTTCTTTCCATAAGTCGCCTTCTCTTCCCTTTCTCTGCAGCAGCTGTTCCTTTCCCTTTCGAGGGCATCGTTCGAATTTTCTATTAGGATGGGTCAGGGGGGTGGCCGGGTTCTCTGTTTTAGTGGGTTAAATTGTTGGTTGGTCTTCTTGTAGCCAAGCAGATTCGGCTCTTTTCGTGGTCCAAAGCTAAGCAATAAGCATTTTTCTCTCTCTCTATATATGATTAAGAATACTCGAGCGAGGGAGAGTTGGTGTTTCTCTTAGCTGTAAAGAGAGGCCCGCGAATGGCGATTCCGCCACGTCCCCCACGTCTTGACCCCCTTGGACCTTCTTCTTCTTCTGCTTCTTCATATTTCTGTCGTCAATGGTGTTTCCTGCATTTCTTTCGCTTGCCCTTCCTGTTCCTTTTCTCTTTGAATTCCATGTGGGCAAGGGACACCATGACATAGAAGGAACCCAATTCCTTGATCTTTGTGGCCTGGGAATCCATGCTAGTTGGGTAGAATTACTCCTCTTGTTTACTGTTTCTCGATGAAATTGCCTAACTGAGATTGGAGAAAGAAGGGGGTTTTGTTGGCTTTTGGGGAGAGCTTTTCGCTACAATGGCGCCTGCTGGGAAAGTTACTGCCTTTCATAAAGAAGGCAATGAATGGTAACTACCCTTTTCTTCTCGTGATCTCATTTGTGATACGCATTTATTTATCCGCAGCTTTTGGGTAATGATTTACCTTACCAGGCCTGTGCTAGTTTTAGTAAATTACTCAGTCTGCTCACCCTTCTGTTTTTTGCCCATTCCTAATTTAAACTGATTCAACTTTAATGCCCACTGTTTAATCAATAACTAATAATATGAATTAGCTGTTTAATCATCAACCTGTCAGTATTTAAAACATCACAGCTTTCATTGCTTGTTTGAAGGGCGTAGTTTCTCAGTTAGCTGGAACCCTTTGAGGCTAATAAACTTGGTTTTCTCCAATGTCTCGCAGGTTCTGCAAGTCTGGGTTGCCCAGCGATATAACTGTTACAGTAGATGGAGTTAAGTTCCATCTTCACAAGGTAAAGCTCCAAAAACTTGCCTTTCTGTAGAATTTCCAAGTTCAAAGGTTTAAAACAACTTATTTTGCCAGCTCATTTGTGTATCTGTAATAGACCCTCGTCTGGTGTTCTTCGTGCTTTGCATTTGTTCGTTAAAGTATGTAACTTTGTTTACTTGTTTATTCTTTGAGACGAACACATTTGATGGTCGCTGTCTTTAAATGGGGACCTCTTTGCGTAGGTCAGCTTGATTTCTTAATCTCAATTAGTTTTCGTTCATTAGTGATGAGACAATAATTGCCACCCACCCTTATCATTTAGTTTGGCTACTAGTATAGTACAGGTAGAACTACCTTGCTTGTAAAGATAGCTTTGAAATTTCGTAGTGATTAGAGAAGTGTGCTGGGCTTAATTATTCTAATCCGATAGTCAGTATGACAGAGAGTTTGCATTTAGTCCTGCCAGCTTGAGCATCTTTTGTGGCTGCATTTTTTTGTTGCATTTTTGTCTTAATTAAAAGCAGTTCAGAGTGTTTATGTAAATTCTAAAATTAATCAATGATATAAAGTTCGCCATCTGAAGATGCAATTTTAAGGATTTATGGATTCTGGTGCAAGAAACAATTTGACAAATTTGTGTTGTTGAACAGCACTCTCATAATGTTTCTAACATGTTCTTCAACTTCTCCAGTTTCCACTAGTATCGAAATGTGGGAAGATATCTAAAATCTGCGAGGAATGCCCTGAGAAGAAGACATTGACCACAGAACTCGAACAGTTCCCTGGAAGTTCTGATGCTTTCTTGATCGCTGCTAAATTTTGCTATGGCATGCGAGTGGAATTGACACCACGAAACATAGTAATGATCTACTGTGCAGCCGACTACCTGGAAATGACAGACGAGTTTGGAGAAGGCAACTTACTGTCAAAATCAGAGACTTTTCTCCACAAGAACGTACTTCAGAACTGGAAAGACTGTATATTGGCTCTCCAAAATTGCAATCCAGTTTTGCCAAATGCTGAGAAACTTGGGATCATAACCAAATGCCTCAACGCCGTATCTCTGATGGTTTCAACGGACCCTAGCTTATTCGGATGGCCCATGATGATGTACGGCACCTTGCAGAGCCCAGGTGGCAGCATCTTGTGGAATGGAATAAACACTGGAGCAAAGATCAGGAGCAATGAATCAGACTGGTGGTTTGAAGATATTTCATATCTAAATGTGTCTATGTTCGAGAGACTTATCAAGGTGATGGGAAATCGAGGTATAAGGCCCGAGAATCTCGCTGGTGCAATAATGTATTATGCCAAGAAGTACCTACCAGGTTTAGGCCGATGGCAGAGTGGACAAAGTAGTAGTAAAACTAGAACGGTTGCTAGTCTTAGCTTGACTCCTGCTGCTGTTGACCAACAGGCGTTACTAGAGACGATCGAAAAGCTTCTTCCAGAAAAGAAGGAGAAATCGTTTTGCAGGTTTTTGCTTGGACTGCTTCGTGTTGGACTGATAGTAGGTGTGAGCCTGAGATGCAAGGAGTCTCTCGAGAGGAGAATAGGGCTGCAGTTGGAGTTGGCTTCTCTGGATGGTCTTCTTATTCCGAATTATTCAGACTCTGATACTCTCTATAATACTGATTGCATAGACCGTGTTGTTCATCACTTCATGTCTTCAGAATCAGGGATACCGTCATTCTCTCCAGTATCCATGGACTTGGCGAGAACATCACCTTCATTAGAGCCATTGCGGAAAGTTGGTAAATTGATGGATGATTATCTTGCGGAAGTTGCTTCTGATGTGAATCTGAAACCTGGAAAAATTCGTTCTCTTGCTGATGCTCTTCCAGAATCCTCTAGACCATTCCATGATGGGTTGTACCGAGCATTGGACATATATTTCAAGGTTTGGATTCAACTTGATCTTGTTGAATGAAATGAACACTTCTTTCCAGCTTTTTCATTTTAAATGTTAATGAAATACTTGCCCCATTTTGCAGGCGCACCCCTGGCTATCTGAGAGAGAAAAGGAAGAGCTCTGCAACATCATCGACTACCAGAAACTCTCGATCGATGCATGTGCTCATGCTTCCCAGAACGAACGGTTGCCACTTAGGACAGTTCTTCAAGTGCTCTACTTTGAGCAGATGCAATTGAGAACAGCTCTTGCTGGATGTCTCCATGTCTTTGATACAGAAACTGGGCCAGCACCAGCAGTGCCTTTGCCGGGCCAGATTGTACCGAGAGATGGGTGGGTGACCGTGGTGAGAGAGAACCAAGTCCTGAAAGGAGACATGGAAAACATGAGGTCTAGAGTTGGGGAACTCGAGGAAGAGTTCAGCAGAATAAAGCAAGAAATGAGGAAGGTGACAAAATCCCACAGCTCTCTCAGCTCTCCTCGTTTGGTTGCCAGGAGAATCGGATGCAAGTTACTCCCTCGATCTTCTGATGCACAGCCTCTTTGTGGTAATAGCAGTGGGCGACACACTCCCAGAGCATCGGTCGAGCAGCAGCAGCAGCAGCCACCACAATCATCCCGGGGTTCAAGACACAGGAAGAGCTTCTCCTTGGTCTGAAAAGGTAGAAAGCCTACTCAGTTGGACTTAACCTAAGAGTTGTCGTCGAAGTTTAAATTGTACAAGAAGATTTCATGTTTGAAGTTTGAACACAATGTGCTCCAACCTAAATCTGGACTGTTTAAGAGCCATGGAACAGGTGGAATATACACCAGATTTAGAATGGAGCTATTGCAGTTCACAACTTCATATCACACGTACTGTAAAATTTATGAGAATCGAAAAAGTCATATATATGTATATCTTCATGGTCATTTATTTTCCTCTTCAGTTATTCTTTTGTTGGTTTTACTTCCATACAGTTGCTAAGCGCCGTTGGCTGAGCATTTTGTTCAAGAAAAGTCAGTTGTAAGAAATGATAGAATAGGAAGTTTACAATTTTATTGATCTCATATCAGCAAAGTCGCTTTGGCCGAGTGGTTAAGGCGTGTGCCTGCTAAGTACATGGGGTTTCCCCGCGAGAGTTCGAATCTCTCAGGCGACGTTCATTTTTGTCTCTCTTTTGTTAACCAACACGAAACGTTTTTCTTTTTTCTCCTTCTAACAAAACGAAACGTCTTTGGGCTTTGTTACCGTAGAGTCGACCGCACCGGATACACACTCGAAAACCTAGTATCTCCCGCGCCGCGCGCCGGAATTACTTCTCTGCACATTTTCGTCTTCCTTCGCGTTCTCTAACAGAGGTCAGAGAATTTGTTTTCTTCATTTCCCTGTTTCCTTCCCAGCTGCCCGCCTTTCATCTCTATCCGACCCGCCTTCTCTCCGAGCATCTTCTACCGGAAGTCTCTGCCGAGCTTTTCTTCGTGGATGGCGATTCCATCTTCTTCTGCCGGATGCTTCCGATCATCGTCTCTCTCCGAGGACGCCGTTTCCCACAGCCAATCCGTCGCCGTTTCATTTAAGGCTGAGATCTTCTGTCGCCATATGTCTTCTGCCAATCTCAGAATCAAGCTATCAGTCTCCTCGTCTCACTGGCACTGTCACTCCTTCGCTGGCTCTTCGTCCTCGATTTCTCGCCGTGCAATCAAGTGTCTGAACTCAGATTCCGAGGTCAATCCGATCAAAGAGTTGTTAGATTACGAAGTCGTCCGGCCCGACGATGGCGGCGGCGATGATGGGTCTGGAGGGAATGGAGGATTCCCCGGTGGCGGCGGCGGTGGAGACGAGGGCGGTGATAACGGCGAGGAGGAGGAGGAGTTTGGACCGATTATGAAATTCGTAGACGTGATTAGAGAAACGGAGGCGCGTGGAGCCAAACTTCCAGCCGATATGCTGGAAGCTGCCGAGACCACCGGAATCCGAGCCAAATTTCTGCATCGGTACCTGGAATTGCAGGAAGCCGGGTGGCCGCTAGGGTTCTTGATGAACCACTGCTCGATGCTGCGCAATCGGATGATGGCTGATCCAGATTTCCTCTTCAAAGTTGGAACGGAGGTTTGTGTCATTGGCGGAGTACTTTTGATGATCTTAGAATGAATGAATGTTTGCGTAACTGGGTGTGACATTTTCGGAGCTTTTTGGGGGTGTTCGAATTTGGGGGTTGGGCCGAAAAATGCAATGCAGGTAGTAATTGATTCATGTTGTGCAACATTTGCCGAAGTTCAGAAAAGGGGGAAAGATTTCTGGTCAGAGTTTGAGTTGTATGCAGCTGATCTTTTGGTTGGCATTGTTGTTGATGTTGCTCTGGTTGGTATGCTAGCACCTTATGCTCGAATCGGGAAGCCTTCCGTCTACAAAGCCGGATTATTCGGCAACATACAGCAAGCTTGTGCTGCTCTTCCCAGCAGGTTACTACTTACCACTGTCACTCTTTATTTGTTTCTTCTTGGTATATGCACTTAAAGTCGAGGTCTTGTTAAGAACAAGTGAGGGAATTTCTTGATTTGCTAATGGTGACTGGTGAGCAATACTTCACTGCAGTGTATTTGAGGCTGAAAGGCCTGGGTGTAGATTCAGTGTGAAGCAGCGAGTGGCCACGTACTTCTATAAGGTGCCGATGATTGAATCCAGCTAGATTCGTTTGAAACTGACATAGTTTGCCTTCTCTATGAGATGAACTCGATTCTTCTGATAACACTGCGTATCGTTGCTTCTTGGGTTCAGGGTTTATTGTATGGTTCAGTTGGATTTGGATGCGGACTGATTGGTCAGGGCATTGCAAATATGATCATGAATGCTAAGAGGTATAGTTACTCCTCTTTCTATCAGCATGTTCTAGCCTTTGTAGCTTCATTCCAGCTGAAATCTACGGGTTAGCTCATGCGTCGCAAGCCCTTCTCCGTTCCTGATCATTCTGAATAATCTGATTGTGTTTGGGTAAATAGGAGGATGAAGAAGTCTGAAGTGGACATTCCCATACCACCTCTAGTCGAAAGTGCCATCCTTTGGGGTATGATTTGTCTGTCTTCAACTGCGCTTCATTAGCATTGTTCTTCTTCACTTACTGCTACATTGCCCACTTGCAAGTTGATGCTTAACATTCGTTTGCTCGCCTTTATCAGGTGTGTTTCTCGGTGTATCTTCCAACACGCGGTACCAAGTCATCAACGGTCTGGAACGAGTGGTCGAAGCATCACCACTGGCAAGCCAACTCCCTCCTCTCTCCAAGGCCTTCACTGTTGGTGTTCGATTCGCCAACAACATCTACGGTGGGATGCAGTTTGTCGACTGGGCAAAGTTGAGCGGAGTTCAGTGAAGTGCTAGAAAACACCACTTCCACCTCCCTTCTCAGTCGTTGTTTTTTTGGCTGAGTGGGGGAAGATTTGAGATTTGGATGGAGCAGTTTAGATGAGTCCAGCTGTTGTGTAATCTGTCGTCAACATTTTGTTTTATGATGGGCTGAACAGAATGGAGAACTGTATTAGTAGGTGACCAGCCTGTCCTCTTTGCTTTGCTTTGCTCTCTCTCTCTCTCTTCTGGTATTTGTCAGCAGTCAGCACTCGGTTAACGTACAATTTAAGATTTGATTAGTAGTTGATGACAAGACAAATTCTATGTGGGGGTTTTTAAGGACTAATGAATAGCTGGTAAATTACATTGGAAAGTGCATTAACATAAAAACGTCCGTAAAAAAGCGGTAATATGTAAATTGTCTTATACTCTTTTACGTAATAATTATATTAAAGGGATTTAGTTACAAGAATAGCGTCTATATACATTGAAGAAGATAAGACCATTTCCATCCAATTGCTTATTGCTATTGCTTATTGGGTGGAATCCTATGTGGCAATAGCTTTAAGCAATTGCAAGGATGTAGCACTTCTTTCTTATTTAGCAAGATTGCTAAATAAGCAATCCCCTTTGCAATGCCACAAAGCAATTGGGACCCACACATTCATGCACTCAAATTCTTTCTTTTTTCTTTCTTTCTTTTCTATCCACTTTGTACACATAAAATGTATTGTTAAGGAAAAGAATATGTAGTAGGTCCCATCAATTGCAATTGCTAACCTATTGCAGGGATATAGGTGGTTTGAAATGGTTGAATTGAATAGTTGCTAAAATTGGTGATATGAAATGGCTAACCTATTGCAGGGATGGAGATGGTCTAAGAAAGATATATTTGATCTTACTACTATAAATACACAGGAGAAGATATTTTTTTTAGCCCTTCGTCTTCAAATAAATTCTGATAAGAGGTCATGATTTTCACTTTTCATAACTTAAAACCTCATCAAATGACCCTTCAACCACCAAGGTCGCAATCTTGTTTGCAACTTATTTCTCGCAATCACATGTTCCAGTGATTCACTCTTAGCATTGAGACACACTAATTTTATTTGTGATGCCTAAACGGCTATACATATTCACTCGATTTGATTTTTTCTACTTGAAAGTTTGTCTTATTCATGTCCTTTTAAGGACGATGCTCTAGTTTGCCATTTGCCAATCAGGGTCATAAATCATAATTCATCTTCAAATTTACATACGACTAATAGCACACACGCGCTATTTTGACTTATTAGATATTGTATAACACTTAAACTAATATATATTTGTATAACATGCCAATGAAACGATATATTGTTTCTTCTAAAACGTATGGTGAAATAAATTAAGTGGTAAAAAGTTACAACAACCAAAATTTGAATATCAAACTACAAACCATCTTAAACATGGCTGGAGTACTTGTAATTTGTAAATGTAAAGCCAACTGCGAGTTGCAGCCTTGCAGGAGCAGTCTTTGGATATAGGTACCAAATAAGTAAAATAGAGTTACGAACATGGTAAAACAGAAAGACATTGATGGTTAAACCAGTAAAAAAAAAAAAAAAAAAAACAAGTCGTCTCCTTCATCCAACCACTGGCGCCGACGGCTTTTCTAACAAATTTCCGAGTCCACTGTCCACGCCCCTTCTCTCTCACCCTCTCCTTCCTTCTGTTCTCCCATCTCGTACAAAAAACGACATTTCAATCCTTCTTTCTCTCTCTCTCTAGATCACAGCAATTTCTCCCTCTTCGACACGACGCGACTGCTGCGGGGGAATCTTCCTACAACTCCGATCTGCAGTTCAAACTATACGCCGGAGCTTTGTTAATCCGTCGCCGTTTAGATCTCGGCGTCGCAGCTCGGGCTCCGCGCTGTGTAAGAAGAAGGGGAGAGGAACTAAGGCTCGGGGTAATTCTGGTTAAGTTGAGAGAGGGGCCGCGCCTCTCTTATTACTGGATCTGAGAGAGGAGGGAGGGAAACAATGGCGCTTTCAGGCATGAGAGGTCTCTCCGTCTTCATCAGTGACGTTCGTAATTGTCAGAACAAGGAGCAGGAGCGGCTCCGTGTTGACAAGGAGCTCGGGAACGTCCGTACTCGGTTCAAACATGAGAAGGTTAGGGTTATTACTGCAATTCTGCTCCGTTGCTTGTTGCTAATTGGGGCTGTCTACGAGTTTATTCGACAATCTCCGCTTTGAATTGTCGAAGTTTTGGATAGTTGAGCGATATAGGTGAACTGCGGCTGAAGTGGGCACATTAGTTCAAAATTGAGGACGTTTCCCCCACTGAAACTAGAGCTGGAACTCAATCAGAATATACTGCTCCTGCATAGGTTATGGTTAAGTGGCATAGAATTAGGAGATGCTTCATGGATAAATCTGCTTCACGTGCTCATTTACAAGCTGTCATAGCATAGAAGAGTGCTACCATCTCAGTTTGGATGCAAGTTATGTTGGATCATTATGTTGGTTAAAGGAGGTGATGGAGGTTCTGAGCTTTGATGCACATGCTTCTTCGTGATTTTTCTGTGATGGGACTCAGCTTCTTGTATGCAGTTCTCGTATATGCAGTCATATGGAAACATGATTTAGTAAACTCAATGGATTTTGAGGGTATCGATAGGGTTTGTGGTGCATCTCAGGCGGCAGTTGCCTGCTGGTTAAGGGTACTACGTAAAATATAATTTCTTCTGGCACCCTCTGCCTAATTTGTTTCAGCAAATTACTCCACAACGCACTCAGAAGTGGCTTCAGTGTCTAATTGATATCCATTCCATCCTCTCTCAGCAGATACCAAATTTATGTCTCTACTAGAGATCATGTGATTGATTGAAGCTTTTTTCCTTGTTAAATTTTTTACAGGGCTTGAGTCCATATGAGAAGAAGAAATATGTTTGGAAAATGCTCTATATCTACATGCTTGGCTATGATGTCGACTTTGGTCATATGGAAGCTGTTTCCTTAATATCTGCGCCAAAATACCCAGAAAAACAGGTATTACCTTTTGGCACTTGTGTGATGCATATACTTCATGATTGCATTATCATGGATAGTTACGAATATATGTCATTGAATATATGCAATTTGATGAACTTTTAAGATGAGTCTGATAGGAACATTACGTATATATATCATTGAATGTGGTAGAGGCCTTCAAGTTCCTGTACTGTTCGCAGTGCATGTCATGTCAGGTGGCACATTCAGCTGGTGCATTTTTAGCTATGCTAATATTTGTTCTGATGCTTAGAGCTTGTAATGTTTGAAATTCCTAAATAATGCAGGTTGGATACATTGCGACAGCGTGTTTGCTCAATGAGAACCATGATTTTCTCAGATTAGCCATAAATACCGTGCGAAATGACATAATTGGTCGGAATGAAACTTTTCAGTGCCTCGCATTAACCCTGGTAGGTTGGCGATGATCTTACTGCATTTTTGTAAACTTCATGATTTAAATCATAACTAGTAGTTCATTTTTTCCCCCTGTATCCTCCAACCTCAAGGTGCCTTTTTTGATCCATAAGGGAATGTAATGCAGAATGCCATCTGTGTGATGCATAATAACTGATTTTCTCTGTTGACAGAAAATTCTGTTCCATCTAAATTTCAAAACCGCTTTCCTTTATATGTTAATTTCTGTTTTCCAATATTGAAATTGTGTTTCTCAGTCACCAACAGGTATTGTCTTCTGTTGTCACAATTATTTCCTCTTACTCAAGTATGACAGGGTATCCATATGACATGCTTCAAGTTCTTGCGACTCTTCTTACTTGCACTATCTTTCATATTCTGCAGGTTGGAAATATTGGTGGCAGAGAATTTTCTGAATCATTGGCGGCGGATGTTCAGAGATTACTTGTGAGATTAGAACTTAGTTTTGTCAGTTTTATAGGGATGTAAGATATTGGTTGATTTGATCTCTGACATAGCTCTTGCTGTTTCAGATTTCAAGCAGCTGCAGACCTCTTGTAAGAAAAAAGGCTGCCTTATGTCTGCTACGGCTCTATAGGAAAAATCCTGATGTTGTGAATGTGGATGGCTGGTATGTTTGAACTGTATATGGTCTATCACTACAGAGATCTGTTAGAAAGCTTGGAATTTGATGTATTAAATTGTAAAATCACCAGGGCTGATCGGATGGCACAACTCCTTGATGAACGTGATCTTGGTGTTCTTACATCTTCAATGAGTCTACTTGTTGCTTTAGTATCAAATAACCATGAAGAATACTGGAGTTGTCTGCCAAAATGTGTGAAGACTTTGGAACGACTTGCTAGGAACCAGGATATACCCCAAGAATACACTTACTATGGTATCCCATCTCCTTGGCTTCAGGTATGTCCCCTTTTATCATCTTCTATTCTTATTGGTTCATAGTCAGGCAGACAACCAGAAGTTCATACCGACTGGGGACTATTCCATTTCATGAAAGAATTTGAAAACCACTGACAAGCTATTAGAAAAATATGAGAAACAATTGTCTGATATGTGCACTTGAAATTTTTTTAGAAATAACAATTTAAACGATAAGTTTAAGAGCCCCTTATATGTGCAAGGAGGAACGTTCACATCTTTCAGCCTTTGTCCTGTGGGCGATATATTTTTTTGCTGTTAAATATGCTGTTTCTTAGAGTTATGTTTTGAAAATCCCTTGCACTTATATGTTCCATTGGAGGAAGCATCTAAACCCTTGCTTATTCGATATCCAGTCACAAGATTCCGATTTTCTCCCTATTCTATACTCTTTTGAAGAACAGAAACCGTTGCTTTGTCATTTTTGCTAATAACATGATCTGCATAGACAGGTCAAAACAATGAGGGCTCTTCAGTATTTTCCGACGGTAGAAGATCCTAACACAAGAAGATCGTTGTTCGAGGTCCATATCTATGTCCATGATCCCCTTTTGTTTTCTCCAATGTACATATGATTATCTGGTCATGATCCATCGTGAAATTATTTATTCCAGGTCTTGCAACGAATCTTAATGGGGACTGATGTTGTGAAAAATGTAAATAAGAACAATGCATCCCATGCCGTTCTTTTTGAGGCTCTTGCACTTGTAAGTTTACCCAAAATTCGCTGTAATGTTAAACTTCCAAGGTTGTTCTTTCTGGAAGACATATTATGTTTGCTGTACCTTGTATTTATCTTAATACATTTTATTTCAGGTCATGCATCTTGATGCTGAAAAAGAGATGATGTCCCAATGTGTGGCTCTCCTCGGAAAATTTATTGCTGTCCGGGAACCAAATATTCGATATCTTGGCTTGGTTAGTTGTGGCACTCTACTTGTTTCATATTGTCGAATCAACTGAACTGCCAATTATTACTTGCTGAGAATGTCTAATTATCGGTTCGTACATTTTCTCAGGAAAATATGACTCGAATGTTGATGGTAACAGATGTGCAAGATATCATTAAAAAACACCAGGCACAGATTATCACTTCATTGAAAGATCCGGATATCAGGTTAAGCTCCTATATAGTCCCTTAGGTTATAAGAATTATTTTGGGTGTGTTGTATATGCGTGCAAACACATACTTTTTACATATGTGTTTCTTCTCTTATTGTTTTGACTGATAAACGAGATATAGTGTTGTGGGTTAAAGAAAGCTTCTCTCTTCGACTCTCTTGTTAAAATGTGGCTGTAGGGCGTAGAGGGAAATTGTCAAATGATTTATAAATTTGTGCTCTGCAGATGCTTATATTATATTGCAGAGCACAATTTCCAATTGAATATGGGCAGTCGATCTAGATATCTTTCGTTATATTTTCAGTTTATCAACAAGCTTGCATTTTCTGACTTCAAAAAAATTCTGCAGCATTCGTCGACGTGCTCTTGATTTGCTCTATGGCATGTGTGATGTGTCAAATGCAAAGGATATAGTTGAAGAGTTACTACAGGTGCATATCCAATGGGCACGCATTACTTGCCTTCATCAAAATTTATTTCTTTTATTTTCAAGGTTCTAATGCGGTATGCCTAGAATTTGTGGTTTGATTCGTAAACTTGGCTTTCTGAGATGTTTTAATTCGAATTTCAGTACCTCAGCGCAGCAGATTTTGCTATGCGTGAGGAATTGTCTCTAAAAGCTGCTATCCTCGCAGAGAAGTTTGCCCCTGATCTATCCTGGTAAGGACATCTGCTCGGTACGAACTCCAGAATTTCAAAGTTAAAATTGTGAAAAGAAAAATTGTTTATCCAGTGACCTTAGATAGAGTGAAACTCTTAATTAGAAGCATTAACATTTATGTCTTGTTTCGTGGAGAGATGGACGACAGAGTTCGTAACATTTTTTATGTTTCGATTTTTTCCTGTCAACAACGTTGATGGCTCAACCCTTTTACCACAGCCTAGACTAGGTTCTAATGCATATCATGGTAAATTTTATTCAATCTATATAATTGTTTGCATTTTCCTTTGGTCTTATTTTGTTCCTTGCTGAATTTCAGTTATTTTGTTCAGATGTGTATCATAATGACTATTCATGGCTTTGTTCCCTCTCTTCTTAAATGCAGGTATGTGGATGTAATACTTCAGTTGATCGATAAGGCAGGAGACTTTGTTAGTGATGACATATGGTTTCGGGTAGTACAATTTGTTACTAACAATGAAGACCTGCAGGTATAATTTCTATTACAGAGACCATATGTCTCTTGTTTGTGGTAAAAGTTGATTCTTGGAATAGATAACTGAGATTTCATTCATTCAACCAGCCTTATGCAGCAGCTAAAGCGAGAGAGTATCTTGACAAACCTGCCATACATGAGACGATGGTCAAGGTTTGTGTATAACTAAAGTGGCCACATTTGAGATGGAACTCCTATTTCTTATGTTTATTTATGCTAAGACTTCTGTTTTTCTTCTGCAACAGCTCAGTGCTTATATCCTAGGAGAGTATGGGCACCTTCTAGCTAGACGGCCTGGATGTAGTCCAAAGGAATTATTTACCATTATACATGAGAAGCATCCTACTGTCTCGTAAGATCAGTCATCTTTGTCTTTGACTTTTGACTTTGTTTGACTCAAAATTCTCTTATGTTACTTTAACCTCAATGTGTATCTCTGCAGAACCTCCACTGTTCCAATTCTACTCTCAACTTATGCGAAGATACTAATGCACACTCAACCACCAGAACCAGAACTACAAAACCAGATCTGGAGTATATTCAACAAGTAGGCTTTCTGATACCAACTTGCCTTGAATTTTTGTATTCTCAATAGTTGGTCTTCATAAGCTTTATCTAACACATTCTTATCTTTGTCACTATTTACAGATACGAAAGTTGCATTGATGTTGAGATTCAACAAAGAGCAGCCGAGTATTTTGCCTTAAGCAGAAAAGGTGCATCTCTAATGGACATATTGGCTGAGATGCCTAAATTTCCTGAACGCCAGGTAATACAAGTAGATGCAGTCATTCAATAGTTTTTTCCCCCCGGTAATTATTCAATAGTTCTATGAACATTATTCCCGTTTAATTTCATTCAGTTAGGTTTGTAAAATAGTTGTTCATTCTGTAATCATTAATATGGACTTTGTTATTGTGTTATCAGTCTGCACTGATAAGAAAAGCTGAAGATGCTGAGGTTGATACCGCGGAACAAAGTGCTATCAAGGTGAGGGCACAGCAACAAATGTCTACTGCCTTGGTTGTAACTGACCAACGCCCTCCCAATGGGACGCCACCCCCACCCACCGTAGGGCCACTGAGTCTAGTTAAGGTGCCCAGCGAGACAGTTGATTCGGTTAGTTCATTATCCTTTCTTGACTAAGATTTCAACATTTGTACTTTCCCTCCTTCATATCATGAATAAATGTGGTTATCATACTTGGAGCTCATGTCTTATATACATGTTTACAGGATCAGAATCCTGGAGACCAAGGATTGACCCAGCCAAACGGAGTTGTATATCAAGAAGATCCTCAGCAACCTTCACAGGATATTATTGGTGACCTTTTGGGTACATTGAGTATTGAAGGTCCTCCTGGAGTTGTTGCTCCATTGGCGCAGAGTGCAACCTCTGAAGCCGAATCTGTTCCAAGTGCTGCTGATGCTGCAGCACTTGTACCTGTTGGAGAAGAGTCGGGTTCCGTGCAGGTATTAATTCTGACTCTTTGTTATTGAAGTAGCGTATATTCCATTTGGAATTGGAGTTCTAAATAGAATTGTGGTTTTAATTTGAGCCAGCATGTTTTTTTCGGAAAGTAATTGAAGTTAAACATAGATTCGTTGGCTTCCATACCTATCTCCCGTAAAGCTAACAGCATATCAACCTATGACTAGTAGACCCATACCAAGATCCAAATTCAAATTTTGATGACACTATATTGTGGTGTTTGTTTTTAAGATAACTTGGGTGTGCTTTTAATGAAGCTCAGGACAAATTGTGTGCTTAATTAAAATGAAGAAATGCTTGCTTTTTTGGGCTGCTGTAGACCTCAATAACTCTGTTAAGAGTCATTCCTTTGTGCTTTTTGTTTGCAGCCGATAGGAAATATCAACGAAAGGTTCTATGCCTTGTGTTTGAAGGATAGTGGTGTTCTGTATGAGGATCCCAACATCCAGGTATGAATTGTTTCTTTATGTGGTTACGTTCCCCTTGGGTTCTTTTTCGTGCTCTGTGATTTCATTTTCTTTGAGGATGGACTGCATCAAATTTCGGGATCTAAATATTATTATCACCATTGCAGATAGGCATTAAAGCAGAGTGGAGAGCACATGAAGGGCGTCTTGTTCTTTTCCTAGGGAACAAAAATACTGCTTCTCTTGGATCCGTTCAGGCCCTTATATTACCTCCTACTCATCTGAAGATGGAGCTCTCTTTAGTACCAGATACTATTCCTCCTCGAGCCCAAGTAAGCAACTTGTATTTTATCCTTCCCATAAACCCTCATTCATAATTGGGAGGGAGTTGCTTTTTTGCTGCTAGAGTTATTTCATTCTTGGTCTGTGAATTTCCTAATATGGTGGTATAGGTCCAATGCCCTCTTGAAATCATGAATCTCCGGCCAAGTCGGGATGTCGCTGTTCTTGACTTCTCCTACAAGTTTGGTCCCACCATGGTAAATTATATTTAATAGTGCTCATCTATTCTGCTAGTTTAATGGAGTTCTCCAATAACCGTGGTTACAAGAATATCTTACATGTTTCGCGAATTTTTTCAAGGTAAATGTCAAGCTTCGCCTACCGGCTGTTCTCAACAAATTTCTTCAACCTATAACTGTGTCCCCTGAAGAATTTTTCCCTCAATGGAGATCTCTATCAGGGCCTCCTTTAAAGCTTCAAGAAGTTGTATGTATATGATTCATTGAGCACTTTTTCTTTAACAATCATAATTTGCCCTATAATGTAGAAAGATTTTTGCGTTACCAAATCCATGGTACTGATAACTTATGAGTTATGCCTAAAAAATTAATATATACTAACATTTTATTGTCGTTTGTTCAGGTTAGAGGTGTAAGACCATTACCTCTACCCGAGATGGCAAATCTCTTCAACACTTTCCGGTTGACAGTTTGTCCCGGACTTGTAAGTGATTCCTTTGATTAACTGAATTTATGAATTTACCGAGTATATTCTTGTTTGCTGAAGTTGAATTAACAGTGTGTTCAACTTCTCTGGTTTAGGATCCAAATCCGAACAACTTGGTTGCAAGCACAACTTTTTACTCCGAAACCACACGAGCCATGCTTTGCTTGGTAATCACTAAGCTTTCTACAGAATCCAGTACATTGTAGTAAGCTAGTATCTGACAACTATGTGTCCTGTGTGTTTCAGGTGAGAATTGAAACAGATCCAGCAGATAGAACACAGTTGCGAATGACTGTCGCCTCTGGCGACCCAACGCTTACATTCGAGTTAGTATACACCGCTTTCGAATGACCTACTTCTTCCCTCTCCACAGGGTCATTTTCTTTTAGCTATATCATAATATCTTGTGACCATTATTATGTGTGCAGGTTGAAGGAGTTCATCAAGGAGCAATTAGTTAGCATCCCCACAGCACCGCAACGCCCACAGGGACCCACAGCACCTCCTCCTCAAGTGGCGCAGATCGCCGGTCCCCCTCCGTCAGCTTCGCAAGATCCAGGGGCATTATTGGCTGGTTTGCTGTGACCCCACGACGATGCTAGGGACCTTTCCACAAGTGTGACAATTGATGCGTGAAGAATTTGTTCAGAATATACACACACCCTATTATACCCAGGCTTAACACGAAGCAAGCAAGGTACCTTGCTTCTTAAGCCATCTTCTTGGTGCCCAGGGCTGGCGGCGGGATAATGGGGATCGAAGGAATAGGACCGGAATTCGGGATCCATGGGTTTGTTCATCGGAGAGAGTAATGTAGTTTGTGTTGAATAGTACAGGTAGAAGGAGAGCGAGGTTCGAGTCGGAATTTTGAGATTCTTTTCTGCACGATTTGTTAACGTGCATTAGCTGAGCCGAGTGTTTATTTTCTTTCTTTGTTGTTTCTTTTTGCTCATAGTTTGATTATCCATTGGGGTTGAAGTGAAGTGAGGGTTTGTTGTTGTTGGTGTCTTGTGCTAAAAGTTATTTACCTCTTCTGCTCTTGCATTTACAAACGGTTTTCGCTCGGATTTGTTTCTGTAATACGAAAGTTGAGTAGCAGAAGATGAGATTGATCATGGAGGAGTTTGTAACAGCGTTTTGTGTATCTATTAGGCACCTTTCTGGTTCACTTTCGTAGTTTCTATTTCCTTACCAAAAAAGAAAATAGTGTTTCGAGCCATTTAACTTTAGTCTTTGTACCATTTGGTTCTTTATTTTGTGCTTAGTTCCATTCAGTGCATTAAACTTTTTCTCAACAGATGTAGCATTCCAATCAGATAAGCACAACAATGCCAAATGAAAAAGGAACACGGTAGCTTATCTTGAGACATAAGGGCAACCTTCCACCATTGGAACCATTACTACAACCTCCTCCCCTTCTCCAACAATCCTTTTTCCTCCACCATATTTGACTTGCCAAAAAATTTCAAAGAAATAAAAAATGTGATTGGAGAGTAGATCCCAATCTCATCTGTGTAGTAGATTTCGACATCTCCCCCGCTCTATATACACCCAGTACCCTCAAAAAAGAAAAAAAAATGATGGCGAATAAACCGCAACAATGATCGTGACGCGACCTTATCGCCATTCTCGGCAACTCCCACACCTCCACTTACCATCTTCCTCGGGGGGAAGCTCAGCCACAAACGCGCAACTACTGTGCATCGTTGTGCCACAAATCTCGCAATATAGATCCGAGGCTGGCTCTGCCAGCGAACAGAACTGGCATGGAGGAATCATGGTACTAAAACAAGGATTTTCAGACCCCATTGCTGCTTCCGAATCATCCCATGGGTAAGTATCAGCCTGATGGTCACCTACATCGACTTCAGCAACAGCAGCCTGATGATGGTCCGCATCAACTTCACCAGCAGCAGCCTCGTCCTGGTCCAGCAACTCGGTGAAGGAGAAATAGGTTTGGGGCTCGAACTCCATGTCCTCGAAGTTAAAACCACCTTCATCGTCATCGTTCAACATCAACTCCCCTTCACCACCAACAACGGTACCATTCCCCAAATGATCCCACTCCATGCCAGGGACGTACTCCTCGTTAGGATGATCATAGATGTTTGTTTCGGGATGAAAATCTATAGCAGAAGAGGTAAATTCCCCATCGTGATGGTGCTTGGTTTGCCTTCTCACCTGAAGCTTTTGTGGGCCCAGTAGATTGGCACTCCATTCACCATCCACCAGTCCAGGCTTCTGCTCGGGTGTAATTTGCTCCACTTTCGATAGATTTGGGAGAAGAGGATCGCTGTTTGGCATCACCAGTTGCTGCTGAGTAGGAAGAAACATTGGAGTTGTAAGAATGGAGTCTGTAGTGTCAGAGTCCACTGCTGGGTCTACTTGTTTCGCAAGTTTCTTGTGAGACCTCTTTTTGCCGACCTGAGCAACCACTGCAGCAGGATCGTCGTCCTTGTAAGGGCACTGTCGGTTTTTTATCCGGCGACATCTACAACACTTGAAACCGACAAGTTCAGGAAGTTTTGACTCCTCCAGTTCCACAGCATCGGCATGAAACCATCCTGGAAAAAAAAGGACAAAGACAGAATTTATAGACCAAAACCTAAAGAAGAATGGCCCCAAGAATTTTAAAGGGAGAGAGAAGTAGCCTTACTGTCGCAAGCTTCACAAGAAATATACATGAGACGAGGATCATATTCTTTTTGGCACATCACGCAAACAGGGCGCAACTTGCTACCATCTACACAGCCCTTAACAAGAACTTTGTTACGCCGAAAAGCAACGCCTGTGTCATCTCTGTTCTTCGCCCATATGATACCCCAACTGCTATTTTTACTTGGTTTTGAAGCAGAAGTAGCTTGTTGTTGCATATTAGGAGGAACAGCATCCTTGGGTTTTTTAACAGTTGCTACATCTGGCACCTTTACTTTGACTCCAGCTTCTGTTTTCATCTGGGAATTAATAATCACCTTTATTTTACCAGCCGCCAAGGGCTGATTTCGGATGTTGGGTTTTGTGACCTGGTTGAAAATCGATGTGTTGTTATATTCCAGACTTCTCGAAGGGAGGGGAGTGGTTGGAGACTTATTGCTGAACTGGATGCAGGGTGTTCTGGCATTGCAACACCGTTTGCAGGTGAGGAAGAGCTCAGGCACATAATTTTTGTAAGTTGTTGCACGTAGAGTACAGTCCTTGTGACAGTAACCTGTTCACAGCACGACTGAAAAGTGAGAAAACATTGCAACAACAACAACAACAACAACAACAACAACAACAACAACAACAAAGGACGCATATCTTTTAGGGGAAACAAGAGATTAATTAAGAGATCATCCACAATTTATTAAGCAAATTATAGCGCCCATAAATCGTTATCAATCTAGGGAATACAAGAAAAGAAAACAAAACAGGTTGGTGATTCAAATTAGAACACACTAACTAAATTTTCCCGTTCTTTCACTAAACTAGCAGCAACTATAAAAAGTCAGGGCAACCTGATTACAGATTCATCAAAACGTTTGCTACTTGTTTACCAGGAAACTATATGAACTAAATAACTCGAGTCTGCCACATTTGACATTGAACTTAATAAACAGGGGTCTAGCCTTATGATGCTCATACAATGGCCAAGGTTCAGCTCCCCTATGTCACAATGGGATACTGAATTCCATATTATTGCATATAGCATGCTAAAACATATTTCAAGGAAAATGATAAACAAGGAAGCTCAGATATAACTTATAAGCATACCGTGGCAAGCACTGCAGATAACTGTATCCCTGTAGATGGAGAAAAGACAATAAAAATCTTGAGCTTATAAACAAGGAGTTTAAATATAAAGTCTACATTGATTGAACATTCAAGATGTAACAATTACCTTAAAGGAACATCGAGTTGACATGAAGCACAAGAACACTTTTCGGAGCTATCTCTCCGACACACGAGATATGAGAATATATTCCTACGAGAAGCTTTCAGTTGTTGTCTTTGTAACTCAGACAGTGCTTTGTTTGGCTTTTTAACTGGTGGTAAAGCAACCTCCTGTCTCTTCTCTTCATACTCTTTGATCAGATGCAATGGTACATTTGCTTCAGAAAACCAGTACTTGTCATTACCATCTTCATTTTTTTCTACCCTGACCACATTCTTCATGATCCTAGAAGGCAGATGCTTCTGATTCCCAAAAGCAACTCCGTAAGTGATTTTTTCCTCTTCAGCTTGCTTATCACAAATAATTGCATTCCTGAAAACAGAAGCTTCTGTCTCTGGACCTTTACTATCCTGAAGATTCAACTCTTGCCGGATGAGGTCACTCCATCTTATATGCAGATCCAGATACCTTACCTAATGCAAATTCAAATCCACTACAGAATCAGTACCTCGAGAGAGCTCTACCAGCAGTAAGTACAATGAATCTATATATACCTGAAGTGCCAATTGGGATGAGTTCTTACACTCCTCCACAGCAGCTCTCCAAGCAAGTTGTCTATTTCTTCTAGGGATCTCAGAATCATCAGTGTAACCGATACCTAAAAATTTTCTTGAACCCCCTAGTAACAGAAAGAATTAATTACGTTACAGTACTTTTTGAAATCCTGATAACCGAGATATCTATGTAGCATCAACATTTTAGAGGGCCAGATGATTTCACCAAAGAAAAGCATGAGATAATGCCCTCGCAGAGGATGTAAGGCATATTACCTTGACGGGCAACTTTTTTTATCATAGCCCCAGGCAAAACTGCATTATGGAACACATGCTTTAAGAGATTTCCACCTCGCCACCAGATAAAACTCTTATCATCACAACCGTCAACTTCCCTGTCTGCCAATGCAGATTGTTTCTTGTGACGCTTCCCAGCTGGTCCACGTCTCTGGACACTGCGAGTTTCAGTAGCAGCACTTTCAGCTATAAAAGTCCCAATCACCCAACTATCCGCAGCCTTAACCCAGTCCCCTGAAAGAGCAATACGACGGATATTTTCCTCAAGCTGCAATTAAAACAACAAGCCACCAGCACCAAGAGTCTTATTACTGCGCTTGAATTAGAAAGGAGCACAATAGTTCTGCATTTTAATAATTCAGAAAAGAGGGAAAATATGTTTACCTCTAGGAGTGGACCTTTTATTGCATTGCACGTTGAAGCAACTTCAACTCGCTTAAGCCACTCTTTTTTATAACTTGCACTCAGGAAGGGACCAATTGTAAGCCCAGATAAAACATCCCCTATGTACATGATATAGGTTGAGATACAAGGAAGAATTCCGTCTCCAGCAATTGTTGGACGCAAGCTATTAATGATCTTCATGGCGCCCTTAGTCAGAGTCAAGCAGGCGGAATTTAACATGCATCCCCTTCTGCTGTTAGTGGTAAGCTTACAGGAATGACACCAACCACACCTCTCCCTTGGAACCTCCATAAGCTTCTTTTCAGAAGATGGCCAGAAGAAGCGCGATGCTACTTTGGAAAACGCCTTCACCTGCAATAGAATTTCAGTGCTAGCCTTCTTGCCACCGGTTGACTTATGTACATCTGAAGCTCGAGTTTCTTCAGGGGAAAGAGCAGCCAGAGTAGCAGCTGCCAAAGCCGCAAAATCACCATGCACATAATGATTTATGTAGGCTTTAGGTCTAAAAGAAGCACCAACATATAGAACATTTTCACCCACATATCTTGCCACCTTTCCAGAGTTCACAAGACCGGCATCCTTTCCCTTGAAAGACATAACGGTAGGTAAGGAAGTGCCACTTGCTCGCCCAACATGACTACTGTCACTGTTTGTCGAGTTGGATGTAGTACTTTGGTGGGTCACGCCTGATGGATCAGCTTGCGTACTTGATATGGTGCCTTCCACTTTAATCTGATCAGGGAGCTTAGTGCTTGCCAAATCAAAATCTGAGGTTCTTGTGGTGTCGATAGTGCTCAAAGCGCAATGCAATTCAGCCGGAGTGGTCACCTCTCCCAAAGTGTCAACACATGAGACCGAAATCTTCCCATTTAAACTAGTTTGATTTTCAGCCTTAATAACATCAGGAACTCTCTGACTGATCTCCCATGCAGGAGTCGACACACTTGGAATATTCAACTCTTCCTTTACCAAAGCAGGCTTTAAATCCTTCTCTACCACCTCATCAGGGCAGAAGTCAATTTGAGGAATATTCCAGAATTGCGCAATCAGCTTGGATATTTCCAAGTGCGTTGATCTATGTTGCTCAGATGCACAAAGAGCTCGCAGGACGTTTGGGATGTCTTTCTGACTATAATATCTAAAACACTGTTCTTTGTCAGCAAAAGCTCTGAGCCTGAAATCAGTTCAAATAGGAATGGATAAATAGCAAGATATGCTGAGATTCAAGCATAATGAGAGATGACAAAACATAATTAAGATTCATATAGTTCAGTAAACTAACTTTAACCACACAGAGAGAATGGCAAAACATACACCAACAAATGATCGCAAGTGCCCACAAAGACCTGCTGGTATAAGTCAATGCCAAAAACTTCTGCTCCTTTAAGCGACGTTCCCATAGTTACTGAAGGTCCTATTCTGTTAATGATACACTCCGGACAGTACCATGGCCCATCTGGTATGTACATTTTACCAACACCTATACATCTTGAATGGTATGCTGCTGGGCAACCATCACAGCACAGCAGGGTTCCATCCATGCCGCACAATCTGCAGTCGTCACTATTCCCATCTGAGTTAGCAGTCTGAGCATTTGGATTATTTTCTTCAGAGCGCAAGCCAACACATCTTGAATCTTGAGGGGACTTATTTCCATGGTTTTCTGTGGTGCTTCCTATAACCCCTGTGTCCTTGCAAGCAGAAGTCTTTGAAAATCTAGGGTGCACCCTTCTAGGTCCACTTTCCAGAATACCATTTACAACTAAATCAGGATCTATTCCAAATTCTGCTTCTTCACGACTATCAATTTCTGCTCTTACCTCTGCGGAGTCCAACACATCATCACAAAGGACTTGTAAGATCATCAATTTCCTACCAGCCGTTAACAAATAATACTCCTTTTTCAAAATATCCTGATGAAATCCTTGCCATTCAAGGCCCTTTGCATATCCCATTACTGTAAAATAATTTACCAGAAAAACAGGCCACGTGAATAAATCAAGCAAGTTCCAGTCTATAATCCTGCAGAGAAAATACAAAAAGAGGTGTTAAAATCATCTAACGAAAATCCTAAGCAGCAGGGAAGGTTCATGGAAATAATATATGAAAGCTTGCAACAGATCTTCTTTGAGAAAGTAAGAACATAACAGGTTGTCCACCAAAGATCTCTCATCATCTATTTCACCAGTGGCTACTTTCCAGCTTAAATTATAGTTTACAAATTTCCCATTGCAGAAGCAGTAGCAATTATGGAAACTCTTTGCAATTGTCAACAACGATAAATTAAATATACAACCTCAATACTTACCTCAAGCATTTTGAAGCAAGCTCCAAACCGTCAGTAGAAAGTGTCTCCAGACGATGTCTTATCACACGCATCAGAGCAAGATGAACGGAATCCAACAATGTGTTCTGCACACGGCAGTTAATTGCCCCCACCAGATCGTCCAGCGAAAATGGACTCAAGAAGAGCTGGATATTGAATGATCTCAAGAATGCATAGACTGAAAATAGATGTGAAACATACTCCTCCGGCACACCTACATTTCCAGAAGAAGGCGGCAGTTCTGGAGGGGGTAGAACTGGGACCTCTTCCTCGAGACCCAGATCCCCTTCCTGCGCATAGTCACATGAGTCACTCGAGGAATCTGCATCATTTTCCTGTTCCACATCATTCCCAGCTTTCCATACACCGTTCATCTCGCCCAATGGAGGTGCTTCAACCACGGCCACTTCATCCTTGGAACGTGCAATTTGCTTCTCCAACTCCTTCCGAGCCTCACTTTTCTTAATCAGAATTTCATCCAATCTCTGTCTCCTCCCAACTAGCCCGTCATCAAAGTCATCGTCGCCTAAAATGATACTACGAAGTTCACTACTGTCCAGGTCTTCGCAATCCCCATCTTCGTACTCAACCCTATACAATCCCGTATCATAATGCACGATCTTCCCAAGGAAAAGACCATTGCCCTCAAAGTCTTTCAACACAAACCTACCCAGAAGTGGCTTACACCACATGTCAGAAATCCGCTTCTTGAACGCGCTCCCAGTTTTTTTATCATTCTTCTCACTTTCTTCCTCGCGCCTTCGCTTCCTCGGTCTTCCTCGACCCTTCTTTTTGACCTCGGTGGACTCCATTGGACAAAATTCAAGCACAACGAACTGAACTAACCCTAAACAGACGAGAGCCAGAAATCTCTAGTTCCCACAAAGGATGGCACCGGTAGCAAGAAAGAACTGACCCTCATGCGGATCCCTAAGAATCCAATGAACAAGAGCAGACACCAGTAAATACCTCGATATAGTCTAATCAGATCAAGAGGGGGCGAGATAAACAGCAATCGACCGTAAGTTGCTGGTTCTGTACAACGAAATCGCGCGTCCCGCGATTCTGAAACTTCTTGATGAACAAGCTCGGCTCAATTGCGGAGACACGCACGGAGTAAATGCGTAGCCCTAACGTCTGTGCGGATAACGCAAAACTAACTGCTCAAGGTGAAGCGACCGCCATCGAAGACTGGGATTTTGCAGGTTTCACTGGTCTGAGGACTGAGAGTGTGCAGATTGACGAGCAGAGAGATGCAATGCAAGCAGAAAAGTGGAGCCCTAATAGGGCGAGATAAAAAAAAATTGGAAGGAAAAAAAAAAGAGAAAACAACGCCATCTCTTTCTACTTTTTGAAAAACGAAGAAATAAAAATAAAAAGTAACGCCGTCTCTGAGAAAACGTGCTGTTACCCGCCTACCCGTAACTAAAGGTTAATTTTTGAATGTTTTTTTGTTTTTGTTTTTATTTTTTTATTTTTTTAGAAATTAAACACACTTTAGTCCTCCTACTTTGGAAAGTTTCAAACGTACACTTGTATTAAATTTACGACCGTTTCTCAGAAAACAATTTTAAATGGGTTCTTTCAATCAGGGTCTTACTAGATGTGTATAGTTCTATGAATCTCCTTTAGAGGTGGCAATTGGATCGGATTCGTGGATTCGTGGATTGGATTGGTGGATCCATGGATCAAATGGATTGGATCCAATGGATTGGTGGATTCATGGATTGGATCAAATGGATTGGTGGATTGATCCATGAATCCAAATGACATTAAAGGCTTGGACCAAAATGTAAAATTTGAAAAGTTTAGGTACTAAAATGTCATAATGAAAAATTTTAGGTACCAAAATGTAATTTTCCAATGATATTTTTCGTATAAAAATATAAATTTTAGGTACCAAAATGTAAAATATAAAAAATATAGGTACCAAATCGTAATTTGTCATTTGGATCCATGGATTGATCCATGAATCCACCAATCCAATTGGATTTGGATCAAATGGATTGGATTTAAATGGATTGGATTAGGTGGATAATTTGGTGGATGGATTGGATTGGATTCATGGATTTGGATCCTAATTGCCACCTCTAATCTCCTTATAAGCAGTTAAACACACTTTAGTCCTCCTACTTTGGAAAGTTTCAAACGTACTATTGTATTAAATTTTAGTACCATTTATAGGAAAAAGATTTCAAATGGGTTCTTTCATTCAAGATCTTATTGGATGTTTATAGTTCTATCTCCTAATAAGCAGTTAGATGAAGAGGGGAAATAATCGAGAGATAGCTCATTCATCTACTTCATACTCTCGTCACATCTCATCACTCTCGACCTCATTTCTGATGTTCATACATCATCTTATACCACTCTATATATATTATCATTAGTATAACAGTTATCATCTAAGGCCATAAAGCTCAAGAGCTAACCAGGTATCCACCTGCAGAAAGATGGAGAGTTGGAAGAATGCGATTTTATAGCGAATTTTGGAGAACTTGAAGGAGAGGAAAACCTAATATGATTGAGAGTTTTTAAAAGTTGAAAGCGAGGGTCTCATAGGCTTCCTTATCAATATTGGGTCTAAAACTGCACCAAATGTGTGTATGTGATGTGTGTGGGGGGGGGGGGGGATGAAAGGAGATAACTGAACCCAATATGGATTATGAATAACGTCAATGAGTCGTATCTAGCAATACTGGAGTACTGATTAAGGGAGGAGGCAATGATGAACGAGCAAGGGGTGCATGGACGATACATAAGCCTAACAATTACACACTGACAATGCAATTGAATGACAACATCATGAAAACACAAAAAGAGAAATGCATGGCATGAAACATTACATATAAGGATCCGAAATTTGAAATTGGGAATGAAAACTTTAATCAATTTTTCCCTGACGTCCACCATTTTATTGTTGTTGGGTCGTGGCATCAAGAGCATAGTTGGAAAATGATGATGTAGGGGGTAGAAGAGAAAGTACTATATGAAACAGTGAAAATGATGAATGGGAGAGAATCTTAGTCATTTGTCCTCCTCGTTAAACTTATTCGATAAGCGCGTGAGTTGAATTAGCGAGAATTTGATGAAAGTTTGGGTGGAAGAGTAACTTTAAAAAGATTTAGTAGCCCAATGGCACATAATTTCTTAATATTCGTACGCATAAGCGTTCCAAAACTTCACATAATGTAGGGCGTAAAGTGCCTTTAACCTTGTTCTGTATTTGTTATAATGATAGAGGGAGAGAAAACTATCAAGCAATAAGGTAGGCACAATCTCATTGTGGTTGCAAACATACATTTTTGTCTTCTACTCCATGACTTAGAGAGCTTTGAGGTGACCACATGGAGGTCCGAACTTATTTGGATGGAGCAAAATGAGTTGCCAAATAGAGCTAAGGTTGTTGGAATGTCTAAATTATTGTTCATGGACGCAATTACCGAGTTTTAAGATGGGTTATCGATATGTAATACACACGTGTTTTGTATTGTGGAATGGTGGATGGAGATATATAGAAACTTAAACGAAATGATGGATGATTAGAGTATGAATGCGAGACTTATGATATGCTATATGATTTGGTCGTGGAAAATAAGAGAGAAACCTTTAAGAAAAAATCAAGTGAAACTTTACATAATGATATAGGTATATTAAATTATTTCACAAAGACATCAATCATAAGAAATAAAACTTTTGTGGATGACATTAAGGCGGTACGAGTTCAATTTTATGGGTCCGTGAGTCTTTCTCTATCAATTTTGGAGTTCTACAAGAAGGTGTATTAGGATTCATCCTTTTTAAGGCTCCTCGTAAAAATTGGAGTTTAGAAAATTCGATGACTTGGAGGCGGCCAGTCTCACCAATTTTGTTATAGACTCATATGAAAAAGGTAGATTGAGGGGGTGATTTATGAAAAACTGCAAGCTAAGGTTAGGACTTTGAGCCTGGATGGTGTCCTCTAGGGCTCATCAAATGGTTATGGGATGTGGTTAAGGCAGATGTGATGTCGATTATGCAGATATTTTATAGTCTACATTTATCTAGGATGGATATGGTACTTCTATTTAGTTGGTCCTTAAAATGAGGTCATTGAGATTTGAGAATGTAAGAGATCTCAAACAAATTACTCATGCGAGAAGCATCTACAAATTCCTATCCAAGGTCTTGACGGAATACTAAATGGTCGTATGGATTGTATAATTTCAAAACACCACCACCTTAATTTTAGAAAGCATAACTATTAATGCTTATTTGATTTCTATCAGTCAAGTAATTCAATGAATAGGTTCAGATGAACGGGTGCGATCTTATAAGTTTGATAATGAAGAAAACCTTATTGAAAATATTATTTGAAAGAACTATGAGTGATCCCAAATCTCAATATTTGGATCAAATTTGTTAAGAGATTCATTTTCCCCTTGACATTGGTTAGGAAAGATCACTCATTAGATGTTGAAGCTCGAAGAGAAGACAACTATATCTCGTATGACAATCACGATAATGTACCATCGAGCAATCAAATTTATTTAAATGGCAGGTGCACAGGGAGGCGATGTTGATCCTTCTGTTGATTTAGAAAATATGTAGGATGGAAACGAAAGGCTTAAAAATTTGTGAGACTAGTACGAATTTTTTATGTAACAAATTGAAAAAAAAAATAGAAAGCAAAATATAAAGCAATCAAATTTATTTAAATGGCAGGTGCACAGGGAGGCGATGTTGATCCTTCTGTTGATTTAGAAAAGATGTAGGATGGAAACGAAAGGCTTAAAAATTTGTGAGACTAGTACGAATTTTTTATGTAACAAATTGAAAAAAAAAATAGAAAGCAAAATATAATGGAAAACATAAAACAGAAAAAGAAAAATAAATGGAACGGTGGCGGGAAAGTTAGACGTGCGGCGTGGACGAGTAGAGTACTTCACAAGAAGCGTAGAAGGCAAATTCCCACTCGCCGTCTCCAGCCGTTTCCACCTCCTTTCCCCACTCGTCGTCTCATTTCAAAAAACCCTCCAATTTTCCCCGCGCAAATTCCCTACGCGGAATCCCTAACCACTCTAGCTCAGTCGCCACCCCGTCATTCTCCGATTCGCCAGCCCAGCGAGGGAACTCGGAGAGTTAGGGTTAGGGTTTTTTCTCCAGGGTGCTGGATTAAAATCAATGGGGAGCAAGGTCAGTGACGAGCTGCTCACCACCGTCCGAGCAATTGTCGGATCCGGGTTCTCCGACATGGATATAATCAGAGCTCTGCACCTCGCCAACCACGACCCAACAGCCGCTATAAACATCATCTTCGACACGCCCAACTTCAATTCAAAACCCAAGTTTCAATCTCCGAGAGCTTCCATTTCCAGCCCCAGTCCCGGGCCTAAACCTAGTTCTGCTGAAGATAGGAGAGCGGAGAAGGAGAACGGTGGGAGTCGTGATTTGGTCGGCGATGTGGGTGTCAGTCCGAGAGGGAGGGAATCGGGGGATGGAGTTGATGAGAGAGCGAGGTTGTCAGGTTCGAGTTCCGTTTCAGGTGTACTTGGCGGTGAGTGGTGGTGTTTGGGAAATGGGGTGGTTGCAGGGTTGTCGACGAGTAAAGGGAGGAAAATCAACGCTGGCGATGAGGTTATGTTTACTTTTCCAGTCAACAGGAAGAGCACGGCTTCGGCTGCGAAGGGGTTTGGAAAGGGAAGACAGGCGGCTGCCGCTTGTTCAGAGATAGTGAGGTTTTCTACCGTAAATGGTGGGGAGGTATGGTCAAACTTGCTTTCTAGATCGCTGAATTTGTAATTCTAGTGGGCAGTGTGTTTCTAGTACTTGTAACTTATGTAGAACAACTATGCCCATGATTAATTTTGCCTATTCCAGATTGGGAGAATACCGAATGAGTGGGGCAGGTGTCTTCTTCCGCTTGTGAGGGATAAGAAGGTTAAGATAGAAGGGCACTGTAAGTCTGCTCCGGAGATACTTGGAATCATGGGTACAATTGAATTATCAGTAAGGTCAGATTGGTCTCCTAGTTCGTAAAGTTGCTGAAGTCTTATGATTGCTTTGAAATCCTCATAACTAAAGGTGTCGCAGTTGCATGGAAGTTATAGATGTTCCTCACGCATCAGTTAACTGTGCTTGCTGGCAATCTTATGTAGTAGCTGATCTGTTTCCTTTGGTTCAGTGTTTACATCAATAGTGCCATGTTCCACAAGTTTCAGCAGACCTCACTGAAAGTAGCCAGCAGTACCACTGAAGAAACAGTTGTTCATCCCCTTCCAAATTTGTTCCGGTTACTCGGTCTAACTCCTTTCAAGAAGGTCTTATACCGCTGATTCTGAAATTTGAAATGTTTTTATTCCTTGAGGAGAAGCTAAAAAAAAATTATAATCCTAGTGTGGGATAGATGTTTATTGAATTCAATGATTCTGATTTTTCGCAAGCTTCCCATCATAGGCTGCATTTACCCCTGCTGACTTGTGCACTAGGAAGCGGCCTTTGCTCTCAAAGGTAAACATGCAATCATAGTGTAGATTCTTCTGTCTGGATTTCCCCCATCTCGCATTAAAGCAGGATAATGACGACACTAGTTTAACAGGAAAGTTCTGGTCTTCATGCATCATTAGTGCGTGTCAACAAGTCTAAAAGTCAGCTGAAAAATGAAAATGATACGGAGGATGAGGAGTTCATTTCAGAGGCTGATCTTGATCAGATTGTTGGAGTAGGACAAAGCGACGAGTTAAAGGTACTGGGTTTCAATGCTTCATTGCATTATTAAATGGTAGCGCTGAAGATGTACTTGAAGGTGCAGTCACTAAAAAATGTGATGCTTGATAGGAAATGGATCCTCCTGCTACGCTTCAGTGTGAACTTCGTCCCTACCAAAAGCAGGCCTTGTACTGGATGATGGAGCTAGAAAGAGGGAATTGTGCTGACGAGGCAGCAACAACACTTCATCCTTGTTGGGAGGCTTATCATATATCAGACAAGTATGTTGAGTTGGAAATTGGTCAATACACTAGTGCCAGGCGGTATGAACGTTGACGAGGTGTTTGTTCGTGCAGGAGAGGGCTTGTCATCTATTTGAATGCATTTTCAGGTGAAGCAACTGTTGACTTCCCAAGCACTCTTCAGATGGCTAGAGGAGGAGTGAGTAACTTTTCCTTTTTGTTAGACTGAAGTTGGGAGCATTGTCCTATTCTTATGGCATTTAACTACATTGTGGTATTGCAGATTCTAGCGGATGCAATGGGACTTGGGAAGACTATAATGACTATATCTCTCCTACTCAGTCATCCAGAAAAGTCTGGGTCATCGAGTAGTAAATCTTTTAGTCAGACTTCCAGTGAAATTGAGGCATTTAGTGATGCTTCTGAACAATTATCGAGTCCCTTTAACAAGAAAACAATTCTAGGTGACAAGGTGACAAAGCAGAGAAAGTCACTCAGCTATGGTGGTAATCTGATCATATGTCCTATGACTCTTCTGGGACAGTGGAAGGTATACATCCAGTCATCTCTATGCATTTATTTTATCATTCTCTATGTTTTCCTTGTGTCCTCTCCAATTTGCATTTTTGCAAGTCCTCAGTAGCTTTTGGCTAGTGTGTAAAATTTTGCTATTCAAACTCATCGTATGCTCTTGAATATTGCCAGGCAGAGATAGAGACCCATGCAAAGCCAGGTTCTCTTTCTCTATACTCTCATTATGGACCAAGTAGAGCGAAGGATGCGAAAATGCTGGCACAATACGACGTAGTAGTAACCACGTATGGTGTTTTGGCTTCTGAGTTTTCTGCTGAGGTAATGTGCAATTTTCCTACGTGTTATATCTGGTTATGTTTTTGTTCCATGGATTGTAGTTAACTTCACATTTACATTGGTGTCCTCTTCTGCTCTCTTTATGCCTGCACAGAATGCTTCTGAGAATGGTGGTCTTTACTCGGTTTGCTGGTTTAGAGTGGTTCTTGATGAAGCACATACCATTAAATCATCAAAGAGCCAGATATCAGTGGCTGCTGCTGGTCTGACTGCCGATCGGCGCTGGTGTCTCACAGGGACGCCCATCCAGGTCAGCTACTTCAGAGCAGACGATAATGCAGAGAGTTTCACTTGTAGTATGTTCCTGTGTCCTCTTGCTTGCTATGTCCCAGGAAAGATTCATTGTGTCTGAGAATATCAAGTAACAAAGTCAGCGACTTGGTGTTGTATCATGACATTTGTTCTACTGGCTGTGATTGCAAGGTTGAGCCTAGCTCTACATCTCGACTCCTTCACAGTGTATCTTGGAACCAAAACAGCGTCTCAACTGACTAGAGAACACATTCTGCAATCTTGCCATAGAAAATTCGATTAATGTATGAGACTTAATATGTGATACCCCACTTCACTAAATACCCATTACCAGACAATACATTCTGCCGAGTATTGGGAAAGCAGTTTCTGAGAACTGTTTATGTGCAGCTTATTGAGAGAACTGTATGGCAGCTGTTGTATAACATGCCTGCATCTTGCTTGTGTCTTTTTAATATTTCAATGTCATTTATTTGCTTAAACTCCTTGCTTACTAGAGTTATCTATCCAGAAGGGTCTAGGTTCAACAAACTAGATTAATGGTACTTCAGATCATTGAGTTTAGTGTATTGTAGTCCCTGATTTAATTTCTACGTTGTCGCAGAATAAGTTGGAAGATCTCTACAGTCTACTTCGGTTTTTGAAGGTGGAACCTTGGGAGAATTGGGCATGGTAAGGGCTCTTTTAGCTAATTCGTTTGACTTTGCCTAACTAGTGATCATTTGCCTAACATGGTGACATTTCTGTGTTCTGACATTCATAGATTGATAAGCGCCCCTATTGGCATTCGGTGGTTGAATCAAATTTTTTAAAGTGAAGTTTGGTGCACAAAATAGAAATAAATATGGGTGGCATAGCAATGAAAGCATCTTTATCATTTTATACAATTATGCTTATGATTAACGAGCAATATTCATAATATTAGCAGTGTTTTAGTATTTCATAATTTTTTTATGCTAGTTTTTGATTTGCATAGATCGATCTATCTATTAGTTTGCAAGAACGATCAGGTCATACTACCATGCTTACCTAAAATCCCATGTCGATCAATTTGGATTTTTGACAATGTGTATGAAACCTCACTATTAGTTACCTGCCCGATGATGATGTGATGTCTGGAGTAGAGATAGTGTAGCTTAGCTCTCGGAGCTTTTGCTGTCCGTCAAAAGGAAAAATCTCATGTCACTTGGAATCTATGACAGCCTGCCGCCGTTGAGAGAAAATGACTCTATATGGTTCTTCTCTGTTGTGTGCAATAGGTGGAATAGACTCATTCAAAAGCCGTACGATGAGGGTGATGAGAGAGGTCTAAAGTTGGTCCAGTCTATTCTGAAGCCTATTATGCTCAGGAGAACAAAGTCAAGCACAGATCGAGATGGCAGGTGAGCACAAAGTCTGATAACAGGTCTTATTGAGCCTGGAAAAAGAGAGCTTTATTATGCTTTATAAAACCCATTGGTTCTTAAGCTTGTTCTCAATACAGGCCAATCATAGATCTCCCTCCAGCTGATATTCAGGTGACCTATTGTGAACTGACAGAAACTGAAAAGGACTTCTATGATGCCCTCTTTCGAAGATCCAAGGTCCTTACACGTGCATTTCCATGTCTCTGTTATCTTCATTACTTTGTTTTTATGATTTAACTCATCTTTGTTGTGGCTTTACTCGTCTAATATCTTCAGGTAAAGTTTGATCAATTTGTTGAGCAAGGCAGGGTTCTGCATAATTATGCTTCAATACTGGAGTTGTTGTTGCGTCTTCGTCAATGCTGTGACCATCCATTTCTTGTAATGAGGTATGCTCCGGATGCTTTCTTAATTTCTTTCATACAAGTAAAAAGACAAGCCTTTATTTATCACAGTGATTGGTGGATTGCTTGTGTTGATTGCTTCAAGTATGTATTTCCTTAACAAGGATTGTTCCTCTCTCATTTGGGTATCAAGACGCTGGAGGCTAGCTCAATATCTATAGAGATGCTTATGTTTTTTGTTTTAGGTAACAGGGGAACTACTGATGTTTCATACTTCTGTGATTCCTGCCTATTATTTGATGCAATTTAAATTGCATTTTGATTTTCAGTCATTTACTGGGTACTGGGAGAAGGCGTATTACTTTCGGCGCAGACTAACTCTAACCTGATGTTTAAAAAATGCATCATTTGATAAAAACTGGAATAGCTTAATTCCAAAGGAAAACTGAGTGTTCTAAAATCAAGCTTGGTTATCAAGCTTCAGCATCTGATTTTGGAGCTTGTTTGTACAAGTTAACCTCTTTTATAGTTCAGATTATTATTATTTGAGAAATTCTGACCTTCTTTGGGCATTAGCTACTGTTTTCAATTTGGTCCATCTGCCAACTTAACATTAGTGAGATAAATTAAAATGATGTCTGTTGGTTTACATTGATGAACACAGTCGAGGTGATACACAAGAATTCTCAGATATGAACAAGTTGGCTAAGCGTCTCCTGAAAGGTGGCCAAAGTATCCTGCAGGGAACTGACCCGGGTGCTCCTTCGGTGGCATATGTCCAAGAAGTTGTAGATGAACTCCAAAAGGGAGGAGAGGGGGAGTGTCCAATTTGTCTTGAAGCGTTTGAAGATGCAGTATTGACACCTTGTGCTCACCGGCTATGTCGAGAATGTCTCTTGTCAAGTTGGAGAAATGCAAGTTCTGGTCTATGCCCTGTTTGTAGGTACTTTTCCATGTCTAGTCGGATGACCCCACATTTGTCTGAAAGTGAACTTTATGTCCTTGAAATTCTCTTTAAGTTCTAGTTCACATAACCACATGATGCAATTTCGTATAATCTTGCAGGAAAGCTGTGACTAAGCAAGAGCTTATCACTGCTCCAACAGACAGTCGGTTTCAGATTGATGTTGAGAGAAACTGGATTGAATCGACCAAAGTGACCACTCTCTTGAAAGAACTTGAAGCTCTTCGTCCTTCCGGTTCTAAGAGCATTCTTTTCAGCCAGTGGACTGCTTTTCTGGATCTGTTACAAATCCCACTTACAAGGTATCATCTGGTATCTTTTCAGAATTTTCCAATTTCAGTTTTTGGAAAAACCAGACTGATGGACTGATTACTGAAGCTAGATTGTCCATTTGGTGTCTTTGTTGTGCGGGTAAATGCCACACTTGGTCATTGGGATTACTAAATCGTGTTATGTTTAGTCACTAGAAAAAATTAATATCAAATTTGGTCACTCGAATTATTAAAACAGGTCACATTTAGTCACTCTCCCGTCAGCTTCCGTCTAACTCCGATCACTCGAATTACTTTTTTTATTTATGAATGCCACTCGAATTACTGAAAATGTCACATTTAGTCACTCTCCGTTAGCCTCCGTCCAACTCCATTAACAGAGTTAGACGAAAACTAACGGGAGAGTGACTAAATGTGACATGTTTCAGTAATTCGAGTGACCAAAATTTATATTAATTTTTTCTAGTGACTCATCACATGGTTTAGTAATCTCAATGACCAAATGTGCCATTTACCCTTGCTGTGCACTTACAATTTGAGACATACCAAACTGGTGTTCTCATGTGACATCTGCCAAGAAATCTGTACTTTTTTGTGTTCGTATCATCCTAACTCTTCTGATATGTTTCTCTTTGTGGTCAGGAGTAACATTTCCTTCCTACGCCTTGATGGGACCCTGAACCAGCAGCAGCGTGAAAGAGTGATAAAACAGTTCTCTGAAGATGATAGTATAAAGGTCCACAAACCTCTATTATTACTATTTTCTGGATCGTCTGTGTCCACCATGTAACTGATTGTTTCCGTGTTTGGCTACTGTCCAACTCAGGTATTGCTGATGTCCCTGAAAGCTGGAGGGGTAGGGATCAATCTAACAGCAGCATCCAATGCCTTCGTTATGGTATTCAATGGCTAGACCTTTAATTTCAAATCGTGACTTGTTTTCTGCATGCAAAACAACAACTGTCAACTGAGCAGTCTTCCAAATTCATGTTAACAGAGAAGGACAATCATTTGAGGTTGCCCGGTTTTTAGAGAATGCATATTTATTTGTTGTTTTCTAGAACTGCGTAATGGCAAACTGTAATTGATTGATATATGAGTTTCTTCTGTGGCAGGATCCTTGGTGGAATCCAGCAGTAGAGGAACAAGCAGTAATGCGGATTCATCGCATTGGACAAACAAAACCAGTAATGATCAGACGTTTCATTGTCAAGGTACACACATCGCAATTCACCGATGTCTCTTTAACTTGCGGTTATGTTTAAGATATATAACTGAAAGATGCTGAATTTGGAGGGGCAGGGGACAGTTGAGGAGAGGATGGAGGCAGTTCAAGCACGCAAACATCGGATGATATCTGGTGCCTTAACTGATCAAGAAGTCCGGAGTGCACGAATCGAAGAGTTGAAGTTGCTTTTTACATAACCAGCTCTTCACTTCAAGCTCCATGTTATTATTGGCATTGGAAGGATACAAGGAATGGACCATTAGAAAGATGGTGGAAAACCAAAAACATCTCTATCTGCCTGAGGAGGCAAAAGCTATGAACCAGAAGCTCCGGGAGACACAGATTTTGGTCTGCAGGTGCAGTGAGCATACACTAATTGCAGTTTTCGAAGACATAATAAGTGATTAGTGCAAATCTTGGGATTGGCATTCTCCAATGAGCAAAAGTCTCCATTGCAGAGAAGCTTGTTGGAGTACTGCATCAAGTTCTAAATACGGGGGAGGCCAAGCCAATGCAGTCTGGATCGTGTAGTTTCATTTCAGCCGAGCTTAATGGCTTTTGAGTGTGAATTAATGAATGCAGTGATGAGTTGTTGTATATTTGTAGCAATTAGGGGACTGATTATTTAGAGACGAATTACTCCAGACAGGGCCTTAATTTTGATAATGGGGACATTTTTGTGTAATTCGATAGATAGATGTATAATATTTGAATTTGGTGTATTGTAAATTACAATGGGTATTTGTAATTGTGTCTTCAATCATTAAAGAGATTTTTTTTTTAATGGAAATGTTCCTTGTACTCCATTCAATGGAAAATATACCTTTTAAAGATTTTGGTTGAAAAAGAGAATAGTATCAAATTAACAATTTCAACAATACACAAATTTATTTTAAAGTTTGAACAATCTTGATCGGTAATTCGATATCATACAAGATACAACATGCATTGTATATAAATAAAAATTAGGAAATTAATAGATTATAAATAGTAAAGTATTTTAACAATCTGGGTAAATGCTACATTTGTCATTTGGTCACCGAGATTACTAAATCATATCATGTTTAGTCACTAGAAAAAATTAATATCAAATTTGGTCACTCGAATTACTGAAACATGTCACATTTAGTAACTCGAGTGACATTCATAAAAAAAAAGTAATTCGAGTGACCGGAGTTGGACGGAGACTAACGAGAGAGTGACTAAATGTGACATGTTTTAGTACTTCGAGTGACCAAAATTGATATTAATATTTTCTAATGACTAAACATAACACGATTTATTAATCCCAATTACCAAATGTGGCATTTACCCTTTAACAATCTCACTTAAACAAATTTCAGTTTTGGTTATAAACATCTACAAGCCCTCTCATATTCACAAAATTTGTTTTTTCTTGACATGCTAGATGTGCTAGTGAAGGATGATTATACAGTACAGCTAGACCAATCAAGTTTTCATTGGTCACCACTCACCAGTCACCACAAAAATAGAAGTGAGCTAATGGGCCCAAGTTGGGGGAGGCTTTTATCATGGACCATGGAGCCCGCCCAGCCCGGCACCGCAGCCCAAGCCTCAAATGCTTCGCCCGCTAAACCTGATTTGACCACTGCGTTTCGCTCCCTCATGGACCCCGTCTTTCCGAAACTCAGCGTCGAGAGAGAGAGACAGCAGACTCCATCGGCGACCAGCATGGAACCGGAGGAGGTGACTTCGTCGGCGGCGAGGCGGCGTCTGTCCTGTACCAAGCACTTTGACGCCCTCTGGTTCTGCTATTGTACGGATCTTCTCCTTCCTTTGTTTTCATATTCCGGTGAATCAATTCTTTTGATTCAGTTCCGTCTCCGGCTGTTCGGCATGCCGAATTCTTGTGTGTTTGCCTTCGCTGATGGCGGCGGGTTCTTGCTTCCTTTGTAACGTCAGCCCCAGTTCATCAGATGCAGCAGTATTATCGGCTTGGAGTGCTCGACAATTGCTCGGGGAAATGGAGCGCCCTCTATGACTGCTTGACTCTCAAGACCAAGAGGTCTTCCGAAATCGAGGTCAGTTTCCCCCAAATCTCCAATCCAAAATCATTCGATTCTCCTGGTGTGCTTGTATGTTGTGCTCTGTAATAGGCCACGCCGATTCGATCGGAATCCCTGATGGCGGAAATCATTGCATAGCTAACAACATGTCGATTGAGAACATCTGCTTGGGAATTTGCCTTTACATGGTAGTGTTTGGTGCTAGAGAAAGAGTCAGTAGAATAGAAAGCTGGATATTTGCTGAGAAACTGGTAATTGTGGCTTGGGGAAGGGTACAATGATTGTTAGTGAAACGCCTTTTGTGTGGTCTGATGGGAAATGCACACTGCTTTCCGTCCTGTACTAAGGCAGCTCACTGATGGCTGAAGGTTTCTCTCTTTACACGCTCTTTATTTACGAGGAAGGATGCATACTGAGGGTTGCATCTCTCAGTGAATTAGCTTATGTTGTAGACAGGTTAATTTCTGCTCTACATGATCTTCACCATTAGAATTTCACTACGCTGTTGTCTGAAGCTAGTTCTTGATTTTTTTCGGTTTCATAGAACATGAGCCTGTCTTGCATTATCACTTGAAAATTGGGCTGTGGAAATCTTGGGTATATGGCAAGCTGAATCGTTTTTCTTGATGAGATGATTACCACGATTGTTGAGATTCTTCAGCGGTTAAAAAACAGTCTCAAAAGCGTCTTGACTTGAGGAAGCTCTCTTGAGAACGGAAAGAAGTGATGGTTATGGGGATTTTTTTGACTCGAGCCCTGCTCCTAAATTATTCAGATCCTAGTTATATGATGTGTGCCCTTAATTCCCTCTACTGAAGTTGCTTTAGCCCCCTCTGGTGCCTGGACATCTTGTTAACTGGAGTTGTGGACAGGTTTTAGTTAATATTTACGAATTAGGCGGCGAAGAGTCGAATTTGCTTGTACTTCCACTTTCGTGCTATCATCTTTTTCTGGTTCAAAGGAATACATACCCCCTAACTGCCGTCCTTTTCTTCATCCTCTGTTCATTACTTGGACCCGATGTATGCTTAAACAGCCACTGGTTTGGGCTTTTATTATGATCAATTCTGCTGCTTGCATTCGTTCATTGGCACGTTGACAATTAACTCTGCAAATCAGCATTTGTTCTTGAACGGTTGCACGTCTTGCTGTATCCTTAAGCTTGATCCCCTCAATTTACCTTGGTTACTGTTTTCAGGCTATTCTTGATACCCGCGAGAAAGCCAAAACTCATATCTGGACTTTCCGGAGCAAGGAGGAAGCATCAGCCTACTGGACAGAGCAATACGGGGATATGGATGAAGTTGAATGAAAGTTGCTCTTTTTGTTGTTGGTTTTTTCCCTGCCAGATGTAGGGACCCAGGAACGATTTCTGCCTTCTCGGCTGATGGTCTCTCTGTGCTACTGCTAGTAGATTGAGTCCTGATGTCTGCTGTCCTGGTACGAAGTCCTGATCAAAACCTCGAGTTGATTGGCGCGTAGGTGACATGTCTTTTTTTGGTCTAATCAGCTGGTTTAATCCAGTTAAGTATACGATAAAGCGATGCTATTCTTTTAGCATGTATCGTGAATGCATAAATCGATATTTGGTCGATCACAGTAAGTTGCGTCGTTGGTAATTAGGATTTGACGAGTTATGCTCACAATTGTGCCATTCAAACTGGAAAGCTACTTGAGAACATTCTGCTCTTGCCCATTATGTTAAAATCTCAAATAAAATCACCATATATGACCTTTCCTGACATTGGAGTGAAAGCTTCTGAACAATGCATTGCTCTCACATACAAAAACGAAGACCTCTAGGCCAGCACTAGCTATTAGTTGATAAATTCCAACATGAATGAATTTGTATAGGAAAAATTAATCAAAGCCAATAATCCCACATAACTTTGCTAGTACTGCTTGAAGAGTTGTCGACCGATGATCATTCGTCTAATCTCGGTTGTCCCAGCACCAATCTCGTATAACTTGGCATCTCGAAGAAAACGGCCAGTTGGATTTTCATTGATGTATCCATTGCCACCCAGACATTGTATTGCCTGCATACAGAAAAACCAGTCCATTTCACAGCACATATCATGTACTATACATAAACCACTTGCACGAATTGAATCAAACTACGATTTTAACGCGTTAATTAGGGCATCAACAAAATTTTAGTTCTGTGCAGTGGATCACTTAGGTACCTGCAAGGCGACCTGTGTAGCTCGTTCCGAAGCATTAAGCAAGATTGCAGCACAGTCCTGCAAACATGTAGTTAAGTTCCAAGTTAACCAAACTGATCTAACTTAATTGCAAAAGGTAAAGAGTCTGAAACTGACCTTTGAGTCCACTCTTCCATTGTCACAGTCCCTTGCAACAGAGTATGCATAAGCCCTAACGACCATATCGAAACCAAGATCGACAAGGGTTTAGACAAAGTACAATCGAATGCTCTGCTATCTATAGTTGCTAGCTAGCTCTAATCGAGAAACCATGATCGTCATGTATATATATATACCTTGACGATTGCAGGGAAGTATACATGTCGGCAACCTTCCCCTGTATGAACTGAAACTCCCCAATTGGCCGCCCAAACTGTTCTCTCTGCCGAACGTAAGGAAGAACGGTGTCGAGGCACGCCTGCATGATCCCAATTGGTGCACCCGAAAACACGAGCCTCTCGAAGTTGAGCCCTGCCATCATCACGTAAACCCCTGCCAACAACACGAAAAAAGGAAATTAGTATACGATCAGACTCTCGTTCGTCCTAATAACTCGAGATCGTACTATTGTACAGAAGCATATAGAAAGCAGGAAGTGATCATCATTAGTAGTACAAAACCTTTTCCTTCCTGTCCAAGCACGTTTTCTTCGGGAACGAAGCAGTTCTCGAAGACAAGCTCACATCTGAGGTTATAAGGTAATCACCATTTTTGTACGTCAGTGATTAAGGATTGAAGACAAGATGTGGAGTAATTAATCAAAGTACTTGAGAGCAATTGTTGACGACTTACGTATCACTACCTCTCATGCCTAGCTTATCCAGCTTCTGTGCTGTATAAAACCTGCGTTGCATTCATTCACAATGCAAAGTTTCGTAATTAAGTCCATAATCAACTTAGTTAGACACTAATTACATTTCATGGCCGTAATTCGAAATTTTAATTTTAATTACCCTGGCGTTCCCTTCTCAACAATGAAGGCTGTGATTCCTTTCGAGCCGGCTGTGATATCAGTTTTTGCAAATACAACCTGGAGGTGACAGAAGATCGTACGTATTTAGCGATTAGTTACAAATGGATTGGATGCATGGATCGGATGTGAATGGTCTGGACGAATGATGCAGCATAAAAGGAGATAGATTACCAATGTTTGAGCAATTGGACCATTTGTGCACCACATTTTGGTTCCATTGATGAGGTAGCCACCATCCACTCGATCTGCTTTCGTTCTCATGCTAACGAGATCGGAGCCAGCTGAATACACGTAAAAAGATGGAAAATGTGTTAGCACGAATCTTGAATAAAATCAAAGGGTATGCACGATTTTACAAAGCAGTTTTGAGATCGTGCAGAATCGGGTATACCATTGGGTTCACTCATAGAAGTAGCTCCAACATGCTCCCCACTGATAAGCTTCAAAACCACAGACAAATTCCATCCATTTAGCATATTTTGAGATGGGGGGAAATGGGCTAATTACCCTGTTACATGAGTGTGTTTGGTTGATTAGGTGAAATGTGACCATCAAAATCTACAACCTTTGGTAAATACTTCTCCTTCTGAGCTGGTGTTCCGTGCCTCACCTGAAACATTAGTTCGCGCGCGCCAATTTTCATCGGATTAAACGAGAGAGATAGTATACATACCCTAATACGGACCCAACTTTATTCGAGGGGAAAAAATTAATGTTTGATTAGCAGTAACTGCAATATGTATCTATTGTACCAGTTGATCAAGGCAGACATTGGAGTGGACACCATAAGAAAGGCCAACAGCTCCTGAAGCTCTGCTGATTTCTTCCATTGCCATGCAGTGGTACAAGTAACCTAGACCAAGTCCTCCATATTCCTCTGCATCCAATCAAAATATGTAGATGTAAATCGGTAGTTCGTTTATGAATCTTATACCACTGATTACAAAGAATTTTCAATTTACCTGGAGCAGTAATTCCAAGGAGGTTAAATTCTCCCATCAATTTCCATAAGTTAACATCCTGCCCATAGTATAATTTAGCATACACAAATGCAATCACATGGTCAATTAAGAATAATTCACTGAAATTGATTTAAGGGCAAAACATATATAGTTAATTGATTAAATACCTTGGGGAAAGAGTTATCATGATCGATTTTAGATGCACGAGGAGCAATATGCTCTTCTGCAAACTGCTTCACACTTTCTTTGAACTGCATCCCAATACATTAATGCAATGCAGACACTGGAAGTTAGTCCTCAGAGTTTAAAATCTCAGATTTTGAAATTGAAAATCAACGGTGGTATTTTATTTATTAATTATTGAGCATCTGGCAGAAAGGAAAACAACGAACTAGTTTTTGTGTTTGGTATCTAATAGAATTCATTTTCGATTCTAAATTTTAAATTCTACGGAATTGAAACTAGTTATGGCAATTCCGGAGAATCGAGATGGAATTTCCAAATGAATTCCACAAGTATTTACTAATTATAATAAAATGACATAATTACCCTCATTTATTAACCAAATTACTTCTACTTACATTATTTGGCGCCAATTCATGTCATATGAACATCGATAAAAATTTGATTGCAACGCTAGTAGCATATGTTGGTTATTTGATATTTTGCTTCGATTGTATCGATACATTGAGAAGCCACAACTACAGTTTATGGTTCATCAACTAGTAATTAGAAAAGAACTAATGAATATAATAGAAACACAGAAGAACAATGATGATTTTCTACGTATGAGACCTAAAACGTATTTTTTAAGATGAATTATCAATGAATATTGTTTCGGTCCGAAATTATAATAAGGGTGTAGTTGGAAACTTTTAATTGAGTTGAATTTTAAATGTATGCCAAACATGGTTTGAAAATTCAATTTATTTAATTTCTAAAAATTTGAATATGACATAACAAACACAGAAATCCACTTGACAATGAATTCTACATGGTAATTCACTTTAAAATGAAACGAGGGCAGAGCTGAATTGATCGAGCCCATTACACATGTCAGAAAGGAAAACAACGAACTAGTTTTTGTGTTTGGTATCTATAGAATTCATTTTCAATTCTAAATTTTAAATTCTACGGAATTGAAACTAGTTATGGCAATTCCGGAGAATCGAGATGGAATTTCCAAATGAATTCCACAAGTATTTACTAATTATAATAGAATGACATAATTACCCTCACTTATTAACCAAATTACTTCTACTTACATTATTTGGCGCCAATTCATGCCATATGAACATCGATAAAAATTTGATTGCAACGCTAGTAGCATATGTTGGTTATTTGATATTTTGCTTCGATTGTATCGATACATTGAGAAGCCACAACTACAGTTTATGGTTCATCAACTAGTAATTAGAAAAGAACTAATGAATATAATAGAAACACAGAAGAACAATGATGATTTTCTACGTATGAGACCTAAAACGTATTTTTTAAGATGAATTATCAATGAATATTGTTTCGGTCCGAAATTATAATAAGGGTGTAGTTGGAAACTTTTAATTGAGTTGAATTTTAAATGTATGCCAAACATGGTTTGAAAATTCAATTTATTTAATTTCTAAAAATTTGAATATGACATAACAAACACAGAAATCCACTTGACAATGAATTCTACATGGTAATTCACTTTAAAATGAAACGAGGGCAGAGCTGAATTGATCGAGCCCATTACACATGTCAGAAAGGAAAACAACGAACTAGTTTTTGTGTTTGGTATCTATAGAATTCATTTTCAATTCTAAATTTTAAATTCTACGGAATTGAAACTAGTTATGGCAATTCCGGAGAATCGAGATGGAATTTCCAAATGAATTTCACAAGTATTTACTAATTATAATAGAATGACATAATTACCCTCACTTATTAACCAAATTACTTCTACTTACATTATTTGGCGCCAATTCATGCCATATGAACATCGATAAAAATTTGATTGCAACGCTAGTAGCATATGTTGGTTATTTGATATTTTGCTTCCATTGTATCGATACATTGAGAAGCCACAACTACAGTTTATGGTTCATCAACTAGTAATTAGAAAAGAACTAATGAATATAATAGAAACACATAAGAACACTTATAATATTCTACGTATGAGACCTAAAACGTATTTTTAAGATGAATTATCAATGAATATTGTTTCGGTCCGAAATTATAATAAGGGTGTAGTTGGGAACTTTTAATTGAGTTGAATTTTAAATGTATGTCAAACATGATTTGGAAATTCAATTTATTTAATTTCTAAAAATTTGAATATGACATACCAAACACATGAATATAATTCATTTGACAATAAATTCTGCATGGTAATTCACTTTAAATTGAAATGAGGGCAGAGTTGAATTGATCGAGCCCATTACACATGCCAGACTAATTACTCGCAGAAGTCTGACTTTATTGGCTACTATATAAAATTAAATTGGTTTATTAGAATAAAAGTATGCAAGTGTAGCAGGAATTTATAAAAAAAAATGTGGAGAAATTATGTCAGGATTAGGGCTGTCAATCAAGATTTGGATTTTTCGATTCTAACCAAAACCAAACTGCTTAGAAATTTAATAATTTTAGTTTTCGATTCTAAAACTGTTTAGCATCTTAATGATATTGTTTTTTTCGTTAAAATCGAAAAATCGACAAGAAATCAACAATATACTGACTAAACCAAATCAAACCACCGGTCCCAGTCAAGAATGTGGTTAGCATTTTTTTTTTATGAAGACTATGGCTAGCCATTTGCACACTGAGTCTGGCACTATCCAATAAAAAAAAAACTCAGCGAGATCGAAAACGACGAGTAGACAAAGCAACTTCGACCCACTATCTCGTCGCGAATAAATAAAGACCGCACAACTAGATAGCAAGTAATTTATAGTTGAAGAGTGTTGAACTCAGAACCTGAGGAGAGTCAACTCAAAACTTCCCAAAAGCAATTTTTCGCGACAAAAAGGAAGGGGTCACAAATGCAGCAAAAAATTGGTCACCAATAATAACCAACCTATTACATTTTGTTTTGGCGACCATTTCTCTGCGGTTGCAAAAAAAGGTCTCTTCTCCTGCAGCTGAATCAAGAGGAAGATGCAGAGCGTACCTGCGACTGAGTGTCGTCGAGAAGAGAGGTAGTGGAGAAAGAAGCCCGCCGGAGCCTGATTCCGGTGAAACTGCCATCGGAGAACGACGATGCCTTTCGTAACGAGCGCAACGCCTTCATCGTCATCCTAACCTCGTCGAATCGCTTGCTGGTACAGATCGAGCAAAAGATTTAAACCAAGTTTCTTAAGATGGAGAATTGTGAAGGAGAAAAGAGCTAGCTTTGGAGTTTATTATATTATGGGTTTTCAAGCCAGCCTCGGTTTGCGCTAGCTATAACATATAATTGGTTGGTTGCAATAGATTAATCCTAGCTTTTTTGGTCAGAATTGGGGAACGGAGGGCGGAATGCATTATTCTATTGAGAACGTAACGTTAGTGAGCAAATTTTGAAAGATCTTATCTCAGAATAATTAGTTACGATTAAACTAATGTTAGGATGGATCCAGATTACTGTCCTTTTCTGATTCATAATTACAAGATAAAAACATGTGTGTAGTGTACGACACGATCTTGTGCATTTTGAAATATTTAGAAGCATATGTAATATAATGTAGATTCATGTGTTTCTGTAGGTGAAATAATGAGAATTCATGTAATAAATATCATAGTTTTTTTTTTTTTGCCAAGCATGAATTCATGATACAAGAACACAGATAAATTGATATGAAATTTCAAATACTTTGATTTTGTTGAAGATATCATAATGATATGAATTCTCAACTTACATGGTGTATAAATATCATGATTGATGACTCGGTATTTGCACATGTTTTCCCCTTTGTTTCTTGATTGTTTGAGCTTGAATTATTGCGTCTTTGGCCTATTTTATGCTAGGTTGTGTTCCTTTGTCCCATTTCAGGTCCTAGCACATAAAGTGAAGCATAGGCGCAAGTTTCAAGTCAATCAGAGATCAATTGACGATTCGAGAGAAGAAACTCGGGCATGACTTGAAGAAGAATGGATTTTTACCTCACTTTATGGACAAAGAATCATGCAACCTTGTTATGAAACGAAAGAGGACGAGACTACGAGCGTCTGGGATCAAACGGCGACTGATTCGGAGTCCGGACGAGGGAGAAACGAAGCATTAAACAGAGGCTGAGCAAGCCACACGGGCAGAGCAGAAAATCCGCACGGCCGTGCAAAGTGAGCTGCATGGCCGTGCAAGGTGAGCTGCACGGCCGTGCGAGTCGTGGCCGTGCGGAAATCACCGAGCCTTCGCACGGGCAACTGGGTGAGCTGCACGGCCGTGCGGCCTGCCCGTGTGGGTCGGGAATTGTTGTTTAAAACCCGATTTTCAGCGAAAGGAAAGGGAGAGAGCTGGGTTTTGGATCCCAAACACCCAAGGGACGAACCCTAGAGAGAGAGCGACTTGGGAACATTCTTGGAGCTATTTTGGAGGATTTCTTCGCCATTGGAGCTCGGGAATCAAGCTTGGAGATGGAGATTGAAGATCTAGATCAGATTTCTGCAGTCTCTCTCTTCTCTATGGAGTAACTTCCCTTCACTTAGGTTTTGAGGAACCCTAGCTATGTTTGTTTGATTGGATGATTGTATGAGTACTCTGACTTGATAATCTTGAGTTCATATACAATCTATGCATGTTTTCACGATTTAATTCTGCTTTAGTCGAGATTATTGATTCTGCTTTGATCCTATGAGAGCGAATACCTGATTAGGTCAATAGGGCACCATAGATTGATAGTAGTGGATCGATTGCTTTAGTCGAGGGTTGATTCACTGCTTTGTATCGATTGAGACCTCATTCGATAGAGGGAGTCTAGTTCAGAACGCCTTGATCGGTTGTTCTAGAGAAGGATACGTCCCTCTAGGCAATTGACTCAAGAGGGCCTTGTTCCTTTAGTCGAGACTCAAGGTCTAGTCAAGGATTCTCCGCATTGTGAATGACAGTGAAACAAGTTAGAGATCATCAATCGTTAATCTGGCTAGTGGCTAGGGGGAATCATACCTAAGTGAGTTCCCAACCTGTAATTAGATTAACTTTAACTGTAGTTTGCTAGAGTAGTTTTAGTTCTTTCATCTTAATCTGTTTTGCTAGATAATGAACTGAAGCTGAGTAATAGTAACTCTAGAGACCCGTGGATTCGATATTTATTACTTGAGCCACTATACTGCAGTCCCTTTCATTGGTTACACTTGGCCATTGTTAGGAGTTGTGTCATTGCGAGTCAATGATATATATTTCAAATAATATAGAAAAAGAACAATGAGATCTAAAATATAATGCAATTCAAAAATCGAGAGCATATTATCTCATTGGGATAGAAAATCCGTGACTAACGCACACAGATCAACAAGCGTATATCTAAAGGAAAATAGTCACAATAATATTTCCCGTGATCCTTACAATTAGACACGTAACTTATATATTACGATAATTTTCACGTGATTAGAACTATTAAGTACGAGAAAATACTTTCAAACATGAGATTTCCCATAGTTCTCCTATGGTGATCAAGGGACGACAGATGGGGGATTTTGAGACCAGATTTGTTTTCCCCGTGCTTTTCTTCTTCTAATAGTACTAGATTGTACCCCAGCCCGTTGGCCGGTTGCAATATAATAATCAAAGGTTCCAAGTTTAAATCATAGTTGTTGGGCATGTGACTCGGACCTAGCCGCGCCAGGGAAACGCGTTAACATAAGCCCAAATGCCGCCAGACCCGCTAGTGCGCGACGCGATCAAAGGAACCCAGTACGCCTTGGCGCGAAGAGCTTGTGCGCGGCACAGGCTATGCGCGAGTGGAAAGGAGCAAGCGAAGACTAGACCATAGAGCCGCAGAAAGCCCCATCGCGTTTCCCGAGGGAAGGTCACATCAGGGTCCTAGATATGGTCGTAGGTACACCTCTGACATGTCCTAGGTAGAGGCATGGCCTAAATCCTTGGCATGTCAGTGGTCATGTCATTGTCCCATCATGTAACTCAACCACTCACCCACCACCTTGTAGCCTATAAATACGGCATTTACTCTGGTGGGTGAGGGGATCGCATTTTTCACTCTCTCACTACAACAAAGAATTTTCTCTCTCTAAAAACCTCTGGTGTGGAAAATCTCCCTATCGTTACTCTTCTCACCCTTCTTTCTTACGAGTCTACCTCCTACCCTCAGTTAGACTCAAACAATAGTGATCTTCTCTTATTTTATATTCCTGTTATGATTATATGTCAATGTCAGTTGAATTAGCGAATAATTGTGTCAATTTTACAAAATTGCAAGGTAGTTTCTTTGTTTTAACCATTAAGAAAGTCAAATTATTCAATTGGTGAGAAAATTGAAAATGAGCATCCATCGTATAGATTATTACATTGTAAAGAATGCCTTCTATGTAGCTCATGCAAGGGAATATCACCTAAACTTAATGACACAGTATTATAGGTATTCCAAAATTATTGATATCATTTATTTACCATAAAAAATCTTCATGATAAACTCCACTATCTTCATCTTCAATAGGCACTTCTTTTTTACTATTTTATGTGAATCAAATTTAAAGACTAAACATAACCATATGTGAATGATGTAATATATTTGAAATATGACGTTATTGAATAAAAATGATAACATGGTGTATATTGATAAATGTTAACAATCTCAGTCATCAAACATTAAATATTTTAAAATATCAATAATTCGGAGAGTTAAAATATTTGAATGATATATAATCAAAATATTTAAACTTTGGTTCTCCAAACGACCCTAAGTTGAGATAATAATACTCTTCACTCTTTATTTAGACAACACATGACAAATGTTAGTGGATAACAATTTTAACATGTTCTGTTTTATCTGATTTGTTTACGATAGCGGTCCGGTTCATTGTTTGGACGGTTATTGGTGGACAAAATAATTTTCCACGCTTCAACGTAAAACTAAATGAACCATCACGGTTTAACTAGTCTACATGTTTAATATTTTAACCACAAATTGTTTCTAAAAAATAGTTTAACGTAAACTAAGACCATAAAATCATAATTATTAAGTTTATTTCTGCTTCCTATTATCGTTTGACAAAAATATTTTGTGAGATGGTTTGAATGATTTATTAGATATTTTGGTGATAATATGAATTTGAAATCGTTTATGGTCAATGATAACTTCATTTTTAAATTAGCATAATATACAATTCTTGTATGTTATATCATTAATTGCTCTATCAACAGTTAACCAAAGGTTTTGTAGTGGTTAACCACTGAATCCTAAACCACTAACTTTTCTGGTTCAGCGTCCGTTCCGGTTCTGAAAATAGAGGTTTAACCTATTCTGAAGCGGGTATTATCCGCCCTATAGGTGGGATAGAGCTGGAATGAATACTCCCCTCAAACTAACCTGCACTAACCCACCTCCCTCTCGATCGATTTTTCTAAATTCCATGTAATTTTACTCAAATTACTTACAATTTTATTTTTAATACATCACATTTTATTTATAATAAAGTTGTAATATGTGAGAAACTCACATTCAGGGCATCCATCGCCAAATTAGGAGATAACTTACAGAGGAAAGGACGCGAAAGACAAGGAGAGAGAGACAGCTGAATGTGGAAATTCCGGCCGGCAGCGAGAGAGGCAGTGAGGTTCGTTCCGGCCGGCAGCGAGAGAGTTGGGGGACGCGAAGGACAGGCTCCGCGGTGAGGTTCGATTTCCGGTAGCTACAGAGCCGGGAGACGCGAGCGGTGAGTTAGCGATGAGGTTAGATTTCCGGTAGCTACAGAGGCTGGAGATGCGAGCGGTGAGGTTCGATTTCCGGTGGGGTACAGAGGCTAGAGACGCGAGTTGTAATGGGCTTCGATGGAGGGAATCAATGGTTCTACGGAGGGAACTGGCGGCCCCGATCAATCCAGGGAACTGGAGGCCCGGATTTATTTCACAAACCGAACTTGTAATGTAATCGGCGGTGGCGAATCTGTCAATTGACAAACTGCTCCTTCCGACGATTGCGCACAGCGCAGGAAAAAAAGAATCTAAGGGGGGGTTCTGCCCCGGAAACTCGTTATAGTGGTGTTAGGGATTGTTTTTCATATTAATAATCTTTATTTATAATATAGAAAAGAGTGTTCAGATCAGATGACAATATCATCGATCAATACATTGATCATTAGTCATTAACAATCGACACTAATGAAATCGAAACATTGTGCTATAGGATTAAAAAAAAATTCATGCTATAAATGACACTTCTTACAAAGTTTGTCCAAATAAAGAATCAAGCCAATCACGTTGATGTGTCTCGGAAATTGACCCCTCACCCACTTCCCTACGCAAGTTGCATGTGTTTATTGTTTTGCCAAATCGTCAGCCCTCAAATCTTGAATCCTCTTGCAAATTAATTAATCAACACCACTGTATTGGAAATAAATAAAAAAAACCATGCACATGATTTAAACAAACAAATCAATGAATCAGTTGCGCGCTAGCCGGCTATAAAAATAAATAAATATATATCAGCAATAAGCATCTTCAGCAGCAGTAGTACTCATCTCTCTTGTTTGCCACTTCTTCTCTACGTGGTTCAATCTCCCAATTACCAGCCCGTTTGCAAAAAATGATGATGGGAATACGAAGGCTGCTGAATCCAGCACTACTGCTTCGTTCTTCTTCTTCTTCGTCGTCGTCGTTTCTTCACCGTCCCCATTTCCAGGTGAACCCTATAGCTCTATCATCATATACTTAACTTCTCTCATTCATTCATTCATTCATTCATTCATTCATTCATTCATTCATTCATTCATTCATATGTTACTCTTCGAGTCAGATTTAGTCGTCTAACGATTGGTCTTCTTTGGTGCCTTTTTTTGTAACCAACGATGTATAAAAACACAGAATGGAGTCGGGGCTCGTCGTTCCTACGCATCGCGTGCCGCAGCCTCGCTGCAACAAGATACTGATCCCTTGACTCGCAAGTACGTATGTATGTATATTATACGCCATCAATGTGGCGCGATTTACGCCTTATGGGGCGGCCTTCCTTCTTTGGTTTGTGTACATGTGTTCTAACTTCTAACTATTAATGTTACCTGCCTGTAGAGATGGTGAGTATGCAGATTTGGATTGGGATAATCTAGGGTTCGGTCTCACCCCGACGGACTATATGTACATAAACAAACGTGGAATCGATGGCGATTTCGACAAGGGGCTCGTTACCCGCTACGGAGCTCTTGAACTTAGCCCTTCGGCAGGAGTCCTCAACTACGGCCAGGCAAGCCCGCGCGCCTTTAATTTTTCGTCACTACGGGAAACATAGTTTTTGCGACCAGAAAAAGTGACGCTAAATCTACGTAATGGTCGCAAAAACTGCTCTTCAGCCACCGTTACTGTGTCCGTCGCAAAATATTTCTTCTTTGACTCGCAAGGATTTTCTGGATGGTATTATTGACAAGTGCGAAATTTTTTATTATGTTTAGGGATTATTAGAAGGGATAAAAGCTTACAGGACGGAAGACGACCGACTGCTTCTGTTTCGTCCGGACCAGAACGCACTGCGAATGAAGATGGGCGCCGAGAGGATCTGCATGCCTTCCCCTTCCGTCGAAACGTTTGTGGATGCGGTTAAGGAAACTGCTCTTGCGAACAAGCGATGGGTGAGTTGACTTATTTCGTCGTCTCGTAATTAACGAATAGTGTCGCTCTTGCTAGATCTTACACATCAATTAACGTGTGATCAGTTGACTTTCTGTTTTTGGGGCAGAGTGGTTGAGCTAGCTACTTGCCTTAATTAAACTAATATTGTAAGTTTGATTAATTTAATTAGGTTCCTCCGCCTGGGAAAGGGTCACTATACATAAGGCCGTTGCTAATGGGTACTGGGGCCGTGCTGGGTTTCGCTCCCGCTCCTGACTACACTTTTCTCGTCTATTGCTCCCCAGTTGGCAACTACTTCAAGGTAAGTGGCTAAAGCGTTTTTGTGACTAACCTAAGTGGTCGTCAAAAGTAAGAAATACTACATAAGAACAACCTATTGTGACCAAAAAATAGATGGTTGCCAAAAGTAACACAATTATGCATCAGGGAACTTTTGCATCCTTGGATTTGACAATTGAGGACGAACTCCATCGTGCAACCCCTGGAGGAGCTGGAGGTGTTAAATCCATCACCAATTATGCCCCGGTAATTAGTTAATTAAATAAAGTTGCTAATTGAGGTGGCTTGTTTTCTGTAATGAAAATTTCTGATCTGGTCTTTTCTCGTTCTCAAATTTTCGATCGCGTAGGTTCTGAAAGGAATATCGAAGGCAAAGCACGAGGGATACTCTGAAGTTCTATACCTCGATTCGGTTCATAAGAAATACATAGAAGAAGTATCTTGTTGCAATATTTTCGTCATCAAGGTACTCTAAATACACGTACTTTTCCATTAGTCGTCTATTTCTTGGACTGTCAAAAATATATTTATTTTTTTGGTATTAATTCGTCCGTCCAGGGAAACGTCATCTCGACTCCAGCAGCAAGTGGGACTATTCTCGAAGGAATCACCAGGAAAAGTATTATGGAGATCGCTTCAGATCAAGGTTACCAGGTTGAAGAGCGAGCGATTGCGGTGGACGAACTGGAGGACGCCGGCGAAGTTTTCTGTACCGGAACCGCAGTAGGAGTGGCTCCGGTGGGAACAATAACATACCAAGGCAAAAGGTAGAAATCAAATACATGCAATAACATATGTCTACACAATAAATAAAAGCCAAATGAGAAAACTTGAAGCCCCATTTCAAATTTCCTGCATCCAGAGTGAAAGTAGGAAGGATATTTTGGTCTTCACAATTACTTTTTTTTTATTCATTAAAAAGACACTTACTAGGATTCGAACCATGACCACTTTAAAGAAAAACAAAGATCATAACCAATCACACTAAGTACATTTGTTGTATCTTTTTAAATTAAAAACAAATAATTGCAGAGAGGAAAAAACCCTTCCCCCATTTCAAATTCCCTGCTCCATGAGCGTTTGTAGGAAGGGTAGAATAGGGAGTGTCAATTTTTTTCTTTTTCCTCTGTGGAACGAGCCAACTTACCGTACACATGCGGATTTAAACGGGTCCAGGAGTGTCAATTTTTTTCTTTAAGTACTTTTATTTCTCCGTGGTGGTAAAATATATATGAAAAGGCAAAAGCAATACTCCTTTTTATTGCTAAAAAGAAAAAAATTTAACAATAAACTAATATATGGATTCTAATGGGCTAACCGCTAATCATAAAATAAAAGAGTTGAATGGGTCTGACCTACACGGGATTTGCCCATCAAGTAAAACAAATGAACATCATGGGTTTGTCATTCTAAAACAAGCTATTTTCTCTAACATAATATATATTATGCTATTATTTTATATCTTAGTAGCAAAAATATAATGTATTTTAAAGTTATTCAATGGTTCAACCTTGACCAACCGAATTAGTCTAATTTTTATCATTTTAAATATATATTATGTAATTATTTGATATCATAATGATTAAATAATAGTGTATATTATAGAAAATCGTTTGGTATTTGTTAGTAAAAAACTAAACAGAAAGATCTATTTGGTTATTTTTAACAATAAAACGATCCTAAACATTTTCAGTTTCCTTTCGAAATTCTATAGTTTTATTCCCGAATCAATGATGTGCAAATGGTGAATTGCAGTCATCTCTTTTCTTTCATTATTTTTTATTTTCAAATAGAAAGTTTAAAAGTAAAGAATAATTAGAGTTTGGCATGGGTCGGTCAAACATGCTAAATTTCAAGTTTTCGCCCGTTTTGATCAAGTCTAATTTATAATCACATGGTTCCCTGATACCCGATAAAAATCTCAATCCAAACCAGTTTGGCAGGTAAGTCCGTGTTTACCACCATTTTCTAGGGATACAGGAACGGTGGTTCCTATCCCAAATCGTGTTGTTCATTCTTGATTTCTTTAGATTTTATCATGGCTTGGCAAAAAACAGAAAGCACAATGATGACAAGATGAAAGTTTTATAAAGCAAATTAATCGGCCAATGGGCCGAGTAAAAGCTAGCAACGATTGTGAGATGCTCATTTCCTAAAAAACGGCGGGATAGACGATTTTTTATTCGATTTTCTGGGATTCGGTTTCTATAAAACTTACTCCACCTCATCATATTACCAGAAACAATATTGTTTCACAAGGTAACAGGTACTTGATTTTTGTTCATAAGGCTGATTTTTGATTCATTGCATCATTCATGTCTCTTTCCTACTAAAATTCACTATTTTTGTCACGTGTTTCCCAAAAAAAACTATACAACAATAAGCTATACACCCCATTACATTATCAAATTTCATACCTCACATTCCTGAGGCCAAATGGCCGGGGCCCACGCTAGTTTTTTTAAATAATGAATGGATTAATAATGAATGAATGAATGATTGCAGGATGGAGTTCAAGGTGGGAGCTTCAACCGTGGGCCGGGAATTATACACTATCCTAGAAGGGATCCAAACGGGGAATACCAAGGATGATAAAGGCTGGATCGTTGAGGTCCAATAATAACGCCAGAGCCCAGCTAGCCCATTGTACATATTTTCCATCTAGACCATAAATTATTTTGGCCCGAACCATATCCAAACTTTTTATATTGGCTCGTGATTTCTGAAATTGCGAGTCTGGTTGAAACTATGAATCATACTTTCTTGTTTGGTCCGGCGCGGGTTTTGACCGTTGACCGTTAGTCAAGCGTCAGGTCACTTGCCACGTCAACGAACCCGAAATAAAAAAAGTATATTTTGAATTTATTTAATTTGTTTCATTTTCTAATAACAATAATAATTAACAAAACAAATAATTCAAAAATTTAGATAACGAAAATAATTACATAATTTCAAAAAAAAATTATTTCAGGTTCGCTGTCGTGGCAAGTGACCTGTGCTTGACTAACAGTCAATGGAGTTTACCGTCCAATTTGACTGTCAAAACCCGCACCGGGCCAAGCAAGGAAGTATGGTGCATACTGCATAGTTCGGGCCAGTGGAGCAATTTCGGAAACCACGGGACAAAGTAGAAAGTTTGGGTATAGTTCGGGCCAAAATAAGGTATTAACCCTAAATTAAATCTATTTTGGATATGACACTGTACCTCTCGGGTTTTATCTCTAAATCCAAAATGAAAATTCAATTTAATTTAATAGAAAATAATAATTGCTAGTTCAGATTCATTTGCCGTTCATTAAAGTACATTTAACATCCATCCAGATCACTTGAATTATACTATATTTCTAGAGTATACCCGTTTTTACCATATACATAACACTTTTATGTGATATGTTTCGTGTTTCGGGTAGAAATGGAGAACTACGCCCTATAATAATACATTGTTATGATATGCCTCTATAGGTCAAATTCGTCGTCAAACTCGTCACACATTAGCAAACAGCCGATAAGTCTTGGCGTCGAGGCTCATCTGCCTGACGGCGGCAACAGCCGCAACAGCTCCGATCGCCGAGAAAACCACGGCAATGCTAGAGTTGAGCCAGAAAACAAGGCTCCTTTTGGACGGCTTGAACGTCATGTTGTAGAAAACAACGGGCAGGATGAAGTCCAGAGGGATGAAACCGAAAGCTCCGATGATCGCGTTGATGTCTCCGAAAAAGGGCAGCATCGCAGCTATGACGGTAGCAACGACGACCGACAACGACCTCGACAGCACCCTCGGGACGACGTTCCGCGCCGAGAATTGTTTGCTCTTTGGGTCGCCGAAGGTTCCTTCCAGCACCTCGTTGGTCGGCTGCAAGTATACCTGCCAACAATCAAACTTTGAGTAATTAGAGTCTTGTTGCAGCCATGTCAGTGTTTTGAATCCTCAAAATTACTCACCAAGTACTAGTTAGATATTTTCCTGAGGATCATATATATATATATATATATATATATATGCTCATAGTAGCTGAATTTGAAGTTTGTATAGGTTTGAATAGGATTGAAAATTGATCTAATCTTGGGATGGCAATGAGCGGGTTTGGGGCGGGTTTGTCTAAACTATCCTCATCCCCGCTTTCAAATATCTATACCCATACCCGCCCCATATCCATGCGGGGAAGGTTTTGCAAACTCATCCCCATATCCATGGGTTTCGGGTACCCATGGGTAATACCCGCCACGTACATCCAACATTATAATACGTAATATTTTACATGTAGACTTCCAATTATAACATTAAACACACCTACTAAAGCATCCATTAATCCATATCAAAGCATTTTTAATACGATTCAAAGCATCTTATCCTTAAGCATCCATATCAGAGTAGAGTACAATGTCATTCAAATCATTATTCTCTACTGTGATACATCTATTAAGTAACAATTAACTAACATAATCTTGTTAACAGGGGAAAAAGTGAAAGAGTGAAGGGAAAATTAAGAGAAATAAATTAGATTTTGATTTGGGTGGCCACTCAATTTCATTTCTACTATATATTGTTATTGAGTTATACTCACTATTATTGATAGGTTACAAATTGATTCACATATTTTTCATATGTGAAGAAATATTTTTGGTGGGGCGGGTATGGGTATGGGGCGGGGGAGGCTAAAACCATATCCGCCCCATGCACATCAAACTTTTTGCGGGTTTTACCCATACCCGCCCCATACCCGGTCAATGCATGGATTCCCCGCGTTGACTGGGTCGGGGGCGGTCGGATACCCGTGGGCATGGGTTTGATTGTCATCTCTAATCTAATCCACTCCTGAAGGGTTAACATATATAACTGACCAGTCATGTTCCTGTTTCCTTCTTGACTGACCCTCTAAGATTGGAACGGGTTAATAGGTCGGCTGAAATCAACGTGTTGATTCTTTGAAAATTATAATTTGGTATCCATATTATTTTTTCCATACAATTTAGTACCAAACGTTATTTTGTTAACAAACATGTTCAAAAAATTTGGTGGTAAAATTATGTTTTAATACCTTTATATTTATTTATCTTGCATTATAACTTTTAAAACTTTACAAACATGTCCAATGTGTCGGTATATGACAAATTTCATATCTCTAGTTGTTGCTCGGGATCACAAGGGCCAAAAATTGGCTTGACCCTAAGTTGACCCGGCCCTTAAACATATCTTGTACACAAACTGAACCAGCTCGACCCTATGAATTAGGGCAGGTCAGTAGGTCTTTAATTAGGACCAAGCTTACACCCCCTAAAATTCGAATACCATGTGCGTAACAAATGGGATTGTGTCGAGATTCAAATAGAAGACTCCTCTCGATCATAAAACTCTTTGATATCATACACGCGTCAATAACCAATTAATCCCTATAACTTAAATGGTCAGAAGAAGTTTGAATAACTGATAATGTGCACAAACTCGCACTTACCACGGCCACGGCGGAGATCTGAAGCATGGTGAAACCGTTGGTCATCAAAACGAACCATCTAGGCACGATGGGCCTCCCGTTATCCACGAAGTTGCTCAGCACGAGCCCTTGGGCCAGGTCACCAAAAGCCCAGTACCCCGAAATACCCACGCTGAAAAACGTCGCCAAGATGACCGCGTAGCATACGCACAGCCCCTTCAACATCTTCCCCTTCACAGGCGCCGCCACCGTCGCCTGAATCTCCGGGATCATACCGTTGCCGTACGCGGTGGCGATGATGGCGATGGCGTTGAACATGCCGAACAGCCTGCCCTCGGTGCTGTCCCCCGGGAGGGAATATTCCTTCGGCTTCGACGAGGAGATTCCGATGTGGACGGCGGCGGCGGCGGCGCAGGCGCTGTAGGCGAGGCAGAGGAGCAAAGATGCCAAGTTGATGTGGCGGAGGGAGTGGAACGACGGTATTTGTGCGAGTATCAGCATGAAGCAGCCGAAGATTGTTACGAAGACGTAGAGCTTTAGAGTGCCCTGTGGGTTTGACAACACGTAAATTGCCTTCATGCATTGGCCGCCGATGAGAGTGCCGGCGACGACGGCGCCGTAGCAGACCATGAACTGGATTGGGCCGACGTAGTAACGGGCCCATCTTGGACCTGTAAGAATACGGGCAATTTCGATGTCATCCATCATATTCAACTTGTTTGACGAGTTTTAGGCGGGACAGGTATGGATATTGTTCTCAACTTGAACCGCTGTAACTTTTTTTATTCTCGACCCGTTATGATATAAATTATATGCAATTTTACATTAAATTATTTAAGATTTTACTTTTATAACATCATATTTTAGCTATATATAATAAAGTTGTAAATAGATGAAAATTTCAAATTCTTGAATAATTTAACTACATTTGTCATGTTTAGTTTATTTGTCAAATTTTTAAGGGTAATGTCTATTTTTTATCCAATTTTTTTTCTAGATTCTTTTATACTACCCAAACCTATTAAAACTCTATTAATTATCCAAATCTTTCATAATGCATCAAAATATTAGCAATTTTTACGTTATTTTTAATAATTTTGTAACTCTTTTCTTATTTATAATATTAAAATTTTGGAATGTTGACCTTCATGAGTCTCTTCCAAGCAGTATCATGTTGCCAAGTCAATATTACTAATAAAATTGCTAACCGTGAGTTAGCATTTGGCTAATTCTTAGTATTTCGATAGGTTTGGATGATATAAAAAAATTTGAAAAAAGTTTGGATAAAAAATAGACATTACCCAATTTTTAATTAAAAAAATCAATATATCAAATGTTTTTCGTTACAGTACGTACTCATATGAATCGACATATCTTAACCCCCATCATCAGACAAAAACATAATCTAAACATGACCTACCACGTAACAATTATAAATAACGAGATATCCGCCCAACCTGTCCATTACCGCTCCTTAAATTAAATTGACTCGTTTCGATTGTAGAAGCTGGTCAACTGTCGATAAAACGACGGTTTTCTAAGCATTGAAAACGACAGACCCGGAAACCATATTTACAAAGCCACATTTTATTTATTGACTTGGTCAACTATGTCCAATTCGACTCGCGTAACGTGGAAAAGGGAACGATCAAAGGAAACGGCGACCGAAAAAGACTAAAATCGGCCGGCCTAGAGACGAATCAATAAAGTGAGAAAAATTATATATACTTGCCGAGGATTTGATTGGCCATGTCTCTGAACCGGAGCTGGCGCCGGCCCATTGCGGCGTGGTGCTCAAGAACCAAGGAGAGCAAATTGTAGGAGTAGAAAGTGACGGCCGCCGCCACCACCAAGCTCATGATCCCGCCGGCCCAGCCCAGCAGCGTGAACGCGAACGGCAGGCTCAGCAGCGGCGGCGCCACAATCGACGTCGTCAAGTGATACCCGCAATGCACCCACGACCCTACACCCCCCGTCATTTCGATTCGAATTACCGGAGTTAATTAGGTTGAAGTCAGCAGGAAAGATATAACGCCCCTCGAATTTGAAACATAGATAAAATCGCATGTAAAATTCCTAACAAATTTAGAAAATACATAACAGTAAGAATTAAGAAAGGCCTTCGCCTCTCTCTTCCAAATTATCACGGTTCTAATCAGCCTCGCTCCTTCTGATTACCGTACCCTTTTTACCTTTGGATTTGAGAACAAAAAGTGCTCCGGCGTCCAGCTCCGCCTTCTGCGAAGGATCTCCCCCACCACCATCTGAAGTTGCGGCGGCGGCGGCTCCGCCGTCTTGCTGAAGTTTCGGATCGGTTTCCACCGTCCCGGCCATCTCTCTCTCTCCCTCCACACGTTTTGTGTCTTCTGATTTCGTGGAGATGCTTTCACAATAAATGGAATGCTAAATTGGACACTTGTGAAGTCAGTGTGGAAGTCTTTGGCAAAAAAAAAAAAAAAAAAACAGTGTGGAAATTGGCAGTGGACAAATGAAAATGATACTCCTCTAGCGGAGACTACCGAATAGGATGGCAATTTTGACCTGACCCGATTTACTCGACCTGTTTGGCCTGTTTTGGGGCGGGGTGGGAATGGATACCTCTCATCGATCCAACCTGGCCTGACCCGTCCCATTTTGGACCCGTTCTTGCCTAAATTACATATAATCTTAGTCAAATTACTTAGAATTTTCCTCTTATTACATTATATTTTAGCTATAATAAAGTTATAATTAAGTGAAAACCTCAATTTCTTCAATAATTTAACTAGATTTTATTATATTATAGTTTCTTTCTTGGTCTTTTAATGAAAATAACGAATATTTCTAATATTTTTCACATAAATTACATACCCATTGGGTCGACCTGACCTGACCCGCGTCCCATAATAAATTACCCGACCTGCTATGGTACAGGTATGAGTATCGAGATACCCGCCCGGACCTGCCCCATTGTCATTCCTACAACGGAATCTAAAATTAAAATCTAATGCAAAACCAATGAGTGGGCCGAATAAAGCCCAAATTCATTGCTCCTTTGGGTTAATCAGAGTTATGGGTTGGGCCTGTATTTTATAAAGTCCAGGCTAGGCCCACGGCCGTTTGTACACTTTTGACCTGGTCAATGGTCATACCAGACAATTCATACATTAGCGAACAGCCGATAAGCCTTGGCGTCGAGGCTGATTTGCCTGACGGCGGCGACAGCGGCGATGGCTCCGACCGCCGAGAAAACGACCGCGATGGAGGAGTTGAGCCAGAAGACGAGGCTCCTCTTCGGAGGCTTGAACGTCAAGTTGTAGAAGATCACGGGCAGGATGAAATCCAGAGGGATGAAACCGAAGGCTCCGATGAGAGCGTTGATGTCTCCGAAGAACGGCAGCATCGCCGCCACGGTGGTCGCAAAAACCACCGACAGGGACCTCGACAGAACCCTCGGGATGACGTTGCGCGCCGAGAATTGCTTGCTCTTCGGGTCGCCGAAGGTTCCTTCCAACACCTCGTTTGTTGGCTGCAGGTATACCTGAAAGTTGCGACACGTGACGCGACAAGAAAAGAAAAAAAGTATGTTATCAAAAAGTAAAGTCCGTCACGCAAGATAAGCTAATGTTTCTAATGTTCGTGTTAGCAGGTGCGGAGCTAGGATTTTGTGTTTGGGGGCCGAAAATGTTTCGTATACTATCGTAACTAGACAAAAATCAAAATAATTATAGAACTATATAAATAAATTAATTGCGTGAATTATCAAAATATACGACATGTTTTGTCAAATAATTAAATTGACATTGTTGTTAAACTTATCGGGGGAAATTTTTCCATTAAAGCAACCAAAAAATTGACATAAGTGGGGATTCCATTAAAGCAACCAAAAAATTGACATAAGTGGGGATTGAACCGCTGACCTGCCGAATACAAAACCACTACAACTCCACTACGGTAATCAACTTCTATAGATACATTTTAACCCGTGGCCATTATTATAAAACCTGTATTTACTTCGTAATTTTCAGAATCCTCGTACATTTTTTCATGATTTTCGAAATTCTCGGGGGGGCCGGGGCCTCCCTTAGGCCCTGTGTAGCTCCGCCCCTGCGTGTTAGTGTTGTCGAAAATGATTAACGAGTACTTTAACTTATCGAGGAATATTTATATGAATTCGTAAGTTATAATAGGTTGACACGAGATTAATTCTCGTAACCTATCGTTCTAGGAAAAATTCATTACCGACCACTAACAAAATTATAAGTTCGAATGGTCTGCTTCGATAAACTTGCGAATAATAGTGTGGTTAGTTGCTAGCTTACCACTGCCACGGCGGAGAGCTGAAGAATGGTGAAGACGTTGACCATCAGCACAAACCACTTGGGAACAAGGGGCCGCCCACTATCCACGAAGTTGCTCAACACGAGCCCTTGGGCCCGGTTGCCAAAAGCCCAGTACCCAGAAATCGCGACGCTGAAGAATGCAGCCAAAACGACGGCGTAGCAGACGCAGAGCCCCTTGAACATTTTGCCCTTCACGGGCGGCGCCACCGTGGCCTGGATCTCCGGGATGATCCCGTTGCCGCAGGTGGTGGCGATGATGGCGACGGCGTTGAAGACGCCGAATAGCCTGTCGGCGGTGTCGTCACCGGGGACGGAGTACTCCTTCGGCGGCGAAGAGGAGGAGGAGGTGCCGATGTGGATGGCGGCGGCGGTGGCGCAGGCGCTGTAGCCGAGGCAGAGGAGCAAGGAAAGGAGGTTGATGTGGCGGAGGGAGTGGAAGGACGGGATCTGGGCTAGCGTGAGCATGAAGCAACCGAAGATTGTGACGAATAAGTAGAGTTTTAACGTTCCGTCTGGGTTCAGTAACACGTAAATTGCCTGCGAAACAATTGTCAACGTCAAATAACGACATATATGTACGAGTATTACGATTTACGAGTAGTATTATGTTATATCACGAGTATATTATAGCAGGATGATAAGTGGAAGTTATAGTTACCTTCATGCATTGACCTCCAAGAAGAGTGCAGCCGACAACTGCGCCGTAGCAAACGATGAACTGGATTGGGCCGACGCAATACCGGCCCCATTTTGGGCCTGTAAGAAAGATTCCAAATTGGACTTTCACAATTGGGCTCATTCAATAATAATAATAATAACAACCTTGTAAAAAATATATATAGTAATAATAATAGCTAGTACTTGCATATAGTATATAATATAATATAGTTTGAGTGATCTGGTTGTATTTCCATGAATTACGATCAATCATAATCGTTAATTATATATTAAAATTAAAATTAATTTTGAGGTTTGTGTTTAGAAAAATTAAATGTGAAATTTATCCGCTAAACATTAAATTACATTAAATTACAGGATTATACTCCAAATTATAATTAAGTCATAATCTTAATAACATGATTTCACTAGGGTCACTAGGAATATCGTATAGTTGAGAAATATAGCATCGATGACCTTATATATCGAAGTCAATGACACATATATAACAATTATTTATACAGTGGAGGAAAATAAATTGAAGTCGCCCACCGACCACCAATTATTGCGTGCATGATGCTAATTAAGGTATTCTTGGTCAACTTTCTGTCACCTTATTATAGGCATCAATCCTCTGGCACTGCCATAACGTGGCTCGGTTTTCATTTGAACTATTATGTTATAAAATATTAGTGCTGGCTATTTGGTCCGAATTGTTTGGTTTTACTCGAAATCGGATCGTATAATTCGGATTGAGACCGGATAGCAAACAATCCAATCTCATATTCGGGCTTAGATTTGAGATAAAAAAAAATCGTTTGAGACCGGATCGAAATCCGGATAAGAGACCCCAACACCCCAAAACTTAACCAACTCCTCACCCTTTGAGGCCTCAGGCCACTCAAATCCCCACAAGCCCAATCTAAAATCAAGACCAAATTGAGACCGGACCGGATCAAGACCGGAATATCCAATCCAATTAATCTTTGGTCCTTATATTCCTGAAAAACGTACCGGAACTGGATCAATTCGGATCAATTTAACCGGACCGAACAGTATACACACCCCTATAAAATTTATCCGTGTGAAAAAAAAAGTGAACATGTATATACTTGCCGAGGATTTGGTTGGCCATATCTCTGAACCGGAGCTGGCGGCGGCCCATCTGATCGTAGTGCTCGAGGACGAGGGAGAGCAAGTTGTAGGAGTAGAACGTCACGAGCGCAGCCGCCGCCAGGCTCACGACTCCGCCGGCCCAGCCCAAAAGCGTGAAGGCGAACGGCAGGCTCAGCAGCGGCGGCCCAACTATCGACGTCGTCAGGTGGTACCCGCAGTGCACCCACGAACCTATTTTACCAACATACAAAATTAAGAAAGTTTTGTTTAATTTGTTGGTAATTCTATATATATATATATTACCTTTGGACTTGAGAACGAAAAGCGCTCCGGCGTCCATCTCCGGTGCCGGCGCCTTCTGCTGCTGATCGTGATGAAGTCCATTCTCTCTACCATTGTTAGCGGTTGGAGCTCCTCCGCCTTGTTCTTCCCTCATCTGTTTTTTTTTTTTTTTTGGTCTGGAGTTCTTGTTTAGTTTGGGAGCAAAGAATTAGAACAGAAACAAGCTTGAAGGAGAAGCTGGTGCATGGTATATATATTATATAGACGTGTCGTCATCTAGCTGCCATTTTAGACCGATGAATTAACCGGAATTTGAGTGATGATATGCTAATTTTGTAATGGGTGAATCCCAATTCCTAATTTAATTCTAACTCAAATCATAAGATTCATCTGAACATACTATAATACACCGAAGTGAAAAACGGGAGCCCCATTTCAAATTTCCTGCAACGAGAGTGAAAGTAGGAAGAACATTTTGGTCTTCACAATTACTTTATTTTATTCATTAAAAAGATACATACTAGGATTCGAACCATGACCATTTTAAAGAAAGACAAGGATCATAACCAATCACACTAAGTACATTTGTTGTATCCTTTTAAATTAAAAACATATATTAGCAGGGTGGAAAAAACTCTTCCCCCATTTCAAATTCCCTGCTCCAGGAGCGTTTGTAGAAAGGGTAGAATAGGGAGTACCAATTTTTTCTCTTTCCTCTGTGGAACGGGCCAACTTACCGTACACATTCGGATTTAAACGGGTCTAGGAGTGTCAATTTTTTTCTTTATACCATTTTATTTCTCCGTGGTGATAAAATATATATGAAAAGGCAAAAATAATACTCTTTTTTATTGTTAAAAATAAAAAATTTAACAATAAACTAATGCATGGTATCAAATGGGCTAACCGCTAACCATAAAATAAAAGAGTTGAATGGGCCTGACCTACATGAGATTTGGCCATCAAGTAAAACAAATGAACATCATTGGTTTGTCATTCTAAAACAAGCTATTTTCTCTGGCATAATATATATATATTATGCTATTATTTTATATCTTAGTGGCTAAAATATAATGTATTTTAAAGTTATTTAATGGTTCAACCTCGACCAACCCAATTATTCCAATTTTTATCATTTCAAATATATATTTTATAATTATTTGACATCATATTGATCAAATTATAGTGTGTTTTATAGGGAATCGTTTGGTATTTGTTAGTTAAAAACTAAACATAAAGATCTATTTGGTTATTTTAAACATTAAAACGATCCTAAACATTTTCAGTTTCTTTTGAATTTCTATGGTTTTATTCCCGAATAAGTGATGTGCAAATGGCGAATTGTAGTCGTCGCTTTTCTTTCACTATTTTTTATTTTCAAATAGAAAGTTTAAAAGTAAAGAATAATTAGAATTTGGCATGAGTAGGTCAAACAGGCTGAATTTCAAGTTTTTGCCCGTTTGTTTTATGCATTGCAAATTTATTAGCATGTTGATGGAAATGGCTTGGAAAAAAGACATATAAGTTGTACCTTTGCAGAAATGTCCTCAAATGTTTGAATGCTTTGTGAATCAGGTTTCGTGACTTTTGTGATGGTGTATGTGCTTGACGATTGCTCGATGTTGTAACTACTTAATTTGAGAGTAAATCTTTTGATTTTCCCTATGAGTTGTGATACCAGTTCTGGTGGTTGCAGCATGTTGTCGTTGTTGGCCTGTAAAAGTTGTTCCGCCGTGATGCTAAATACCTTTCTTTATTTTTTAACAAATTGTGTAGTAGTGTTATGAAACAGACCACCCATGAACGCTACGCTTATTATGGTCTGTTCTTACTTCTGGTGGTGAGAAATTCTGAATTGAGAATCATATTCGCCTACCGCACTGTGTCTGGCTGGTGGCTGCTTACTGTGCTCTCTAGAGTTATGAAACAGACTACCCATGAACGTTGCCCTTAAGAGTCCATAACTTTGCGAAAAACCAAATTTAGGCAATCAAAGGTGGTGGATGTGTGCTGATTTTTTATGGCTTAATTGTTTGTGAATTGGATATCTGATCTTTGTATGATTAGAGGGGATGTTTGCTTAATAGAATAATCCATTTTAATTCATGTTTATTTTTAACATGAACTTTAGCAACTCAAAACCTTCCAGACACATATCACCTACTGCATTGTATCATTTTGCCTGGGTGCTTGCTGTGTTGTCAAACTTCTTTGCTGCTGCTGCATTTACACTAACAGGGGAGTTAAGAACCCATGAATGTTTCCGTTTGACACAAACAAGAGGACTTACTTCTAAATCGTGCATTAAAGATGATTGAGGAAACATCTTTGTTGCAATTGATATACTGGAGACCATAACAAAAGCAACGTATAACATCAAAACCAACCATCTGAACTATTAGCATTGTTGCTTTACTCTTTTTTCGTGGTTGAGTCTCCTTCAAAAAATTTAGTTTGATTTTAGAAAATTTTGCTTCTGCAGTCCTGTCTTGCCACCAACCCGTTCAGTAGATGGAGATGGCAGAGGCGAAGGCTATTTTTGTGCTGTTGTTGCTGATTTAGGGATCGGTTTGTGAAGAAGAGGGGAAAGAGAGGGGGAAAGGGAAATGCAGGAGAGGGGATAACTCTTTTCTCCGACAAAAATGGAGTGAAGAAAGGAATTATGATCAGTAAGGATATGGTTATCTTACATAACCGTCTATATTCTGTTTGAATTGAGAATGGGAGGCAGTGATAAGGACGAGCTGCAACCAATTCATAGTGATAAGAGTGCTATGAACTGTTATCATGTCTTATTTCAAGTTAGAAGGTAGTTTCAGTATAAGAATTATTTAATTTGACAAGTTGTTTCGTCCATGATTCTTGGTAGTTTCAGTGCCATTCTAGCCATTGTTTAGTCTGTAATTTTTGAGAATTGATGTGCGAGTAATGACTTTCACTTAGCTTCAACTATTATGTGTGTATTTATTGGCATGTGATAGAATTCTCTTTTCCTTTTCTTTGAATTCAGTTTCATACTCTAATTGTATCATTTGTACATAGGCAAATCATGCTCGAGATGACAACTCGCTGATATGGCTGGTGCAAGGAATGAAGCCATCATTAGAATTCAGACCGACAACGGGGAGGGATGCCCAGGACTAATTCAATGATGATTGATGATGGTATAATAAAAACTGCAGTCTGCATCAGCACCAATTTCTAGGCCTAAGTAAAGTTATTCAACCCAGAACTCTGCTTAGCGCTAAAAATTGCCCTCGCCCAACCTTGATCCTGTTTGACCCACTTCTGAAGAGTCAAGATATATGACTAATCCTCTCCGTTCGTATTTTCTTATTAACTCTTTCTGACCCTTTAGGTTGGGGCGGGGCGGGAAGAATTGGATTAGTGGGTCGGTCCTAATCAAGTGGAATCTCAATCCCTTCACTCTCATTTGCTTTCTCTCCCATTCCACAAGTGAGTAACATACAGTAATCCGGCCAACGGGCCGGGTAATAAGCTAGTTTAATATAAAATAATAGCGCTGACGGTTCTGATTCGCGAGAATATATCAAATTGTAGAAGTAATAAGCGAACCTCGGCCTCTCTTTTTCTAACTCAAACTATAAGGGTCCATTTTATTTAAAATTAAAGGGTTAATATTTTCGTATGGCCTGAACTTTGACCAAAGTAAACATCCTGGCCAATCTTTTCGATCTATAACATTCTGGCCCGAACTATACACCAAAGTAAACAATTTGGCCAAATCAGACTTTTGACCGTTAACTTGGACGGTCAAACGCGTTGACCGTTAGTCAACGCGCCATGTCACCGCCAACTCAGCAATAAAAAATTAAAAAAAAAAATTAATTTCCACCTAGCCCATTTAACTGCCCGGACTTACCGGCGGGCATCCGTTCGGATTTCTCCGGCTGCTGCTGATGCTGCGGTGGATCCATCAATCTCGACTTCGTCTTCTCCTTAAACAAATTCGACTTCCTCTTAAACGACGATTGGCTAGAAAACGAACCAACACCTTCTCGAGAACTGCACCTCAAAACCTCCCCTCCTCCTCCTCCATCACCACCAGCAGCAGGACTCCCGGCGTTCGATTGAATCCCTGGAGGCTCCTTGAACCTGCTCGCCTGCCTCCTCCTAATCGACTCGCTCGACTCGAACGAGACTCGCTGGTGAACCGACACGGGCGACTCGGAAACCGGAGCGAGATGCCGGAGGTGATGCAGACCGTCGTTGTTGTTGTCGTTCCCGTTCTGAAGCTCCGCCATCTCCAAATCCATATCCAAACAGAACTCCCCCGACGCCTGCTGCTTGTGCAGGAACTGCCCAATGAGCTTCGACGTCGGATCCTCCGGAACTCCAGTAGTATTGCCTCTCTGAGCCGGATTGAAATCGAATCTGTAGCTCCCGTTCCCGTCGGCGCCGCCCTCGGGCTGCTTCTCCTTCTTCCTGTCTTTATCCATTCCTTCCAGGAAATCGTAGCTGGATTCTCTCCATATATTCCCGGCCGGAGCAGGAGCGGAGGCGGGGGGAGGAGTCCCTTTGGGTGAAGAACCTCCGCGTTGACCAAATCAGACTTTTGGCTAGGTGGAAATTAATTTTTTTTTTAATTTTTTATTGCTGAGTTGGCGGTGACATGGCGCGTTGACTAACGGTCAACGCGTTTGACCGTCCAAGTTAACGGTCAAAAGTCTGATTTGGCCAAATTGTTTACTTTGGTGTATAGTTCGGGCCAGAATGTTATAGATCGAAAAGATTGGCCAGGATGTTTACTTTGGTCAAAGTTCAGGCCATACGAAAATATTAACCCAAAATTAAACAATCGAAGATTCTGATTCGTTGAAATATGTCAAAAGTACAAAGTGTGAACTCAAAGATACGACAAGCTCAACCTATTCGGTATTCACAACCTATTTCCCTTTGATAGAAACAACATGTTTAATGGTAACGTGGACAGTATGGTGTTTAAAAAATTCCTACCAATTTTCATATGGTGTGTTATGATATTTTTAGAATCGTCATTTTCATCATTACGTTTCATTTTTTAGTTTTGAGATGATTTTTCAACTCTCTTTCCCTTGCAACGAAAGCTAATATTAATAATCAGTCCGTCAAAATTGGATCTGGATTCCTATTTCAAAGATAATTGGAACCCATATTCGAATAGAAAAATATGGCCAGGCAATTGGTATATTTCAGCTATATATATATAGCTAGCTGGAGTACTGTTCTATAAGTCATAATAATATTCTATGAATTATTGTTGGTGGAAATATTAAATATTGGGTGTGAGTGAGATCAGCCAATTAATGGCAATTTCCTTTTTCAACTTTACCCAAAACGGCTTGACATGTTCTCTCCTACGGCGATGCCAAAAATGATATGGTCTATGGTCTTATAAAATGACCTTAATATCGTATGAAAAGATGATATTTTAATAATTGACTTGACTTTGGAAGCCGAAGGCAAAAGAGCACCTCAGGTGGTATATGGAGGTGGTATAAAAAGAAAGACTTTTTATTCATATTATGTGAGAACGTGCTCGCGGGATTAATATATAATAATCACAGAATCACGTTAGATGTTTCATGGTTGTTGGGTGGATGCGAAACATCTATCGAAATAGCGAACAATTCAAACAATTGTATGTATTGATATGAATGCATTCTCGCAAAATAAACCGTGAGCATCCTAGTCGGATCACCCTCTTTAAAATGCAGATTCAAAGTTTTTCCCTAATTCTTTAACACGACAATACTAAGATTTTTCATTATCACTCAAACAATTTTGTGGTCGATTGTGATTACATTCGTAATGTAATCATGAGCGTCTTGTGAACTATATAATTACTTTGTCTAAGGATCAAGCAACTAATGAGTCGCTCTATTACACTTACTCAACGACAAACAAGAAAATACGTGGTGTGGATTAGCTCATACGAGTGATGAAATCGCGCTGCTATTTAACCCAAAAAGGTTTAAAACTTCCGACGGTTGCGATTCGGGAATAGAAAAGAAACCGGCGATATCGACTCTTCTCATTAGGGTTTTCACCCTAGTCTATCTCTATATAAGTTTAGCTACGAGATTGTCGTAAGCAAGCCGTCACAATATAAACCTAATAAGAGATCAGCCGTGAGCCTGTGACCTCTTTCGAGCTCACCGTGGATTAGTCCTGTTCACTTCGAACAGGGATACCACGTAAAACTTGTTGTTTCGTGTTCGTTTCCTTCCGCATCATCAAATTCTTCTATTAGAATGTTCGTACGTCTATTTAGCTTAGCTTTCATTGATCAGAGAGCTTTCGTTCCCATTTTGAAGTTTGGGATCGAAAGCTGAAAACTTTTGAGCTGAGGAGGATTGCGTTTTCTGGGTTGGATCTTGGTTGATCAAGTGCAACGAGAGTAACCCAAATGGATAATGCTCTTTTCTGTGGTTCAAGGAATGCAGTGTTGTTTATGATGGCAGTAACCTCTGCTGTAAGAAAGTAGTTAAGTACCATAGATCTCATTTCCTCTAAATACATGTTGCCTTGGCGACGTTGCCTGATACTTTGTTGTTACAGTCTTTTTTTTTTTTTTTATGTAAACCTGATTCTCTATTACTCAGAAGAAAGAGGTTACATTATCGAGCAACAGTTGATTAACTATAATCGATAGGTGGCATACAGGGATGGCAATTTACCCACCCATGGGTAATTTTACCCAAACCCAAGTAGACCCATTTATTATGGGTAGGGTTTGGGTGATGTGTGTATGGGTTTGGGGTTTGTATATGGGTTTGAGTTAGATATGGATATTATCTAAATGGGTATGGGTTGGATATGGATATCCATTTACTTGAGGGTGTTTTAACTACACATGCAAAAATTGGACTTATTTGTAAAACTTGAAAAATTTAGGTACCAAAATGTAAGGCCAAAAAAATTTAGGTACCAAAACATAATTTTCCATAGATATTTTGAGGACTTATATGCAAAAAAAATTAAATTTAGGTACTAAATATGCATATCTATTAAGTTTAGGTACCAAACTGTAATTTGTGTTTGGGCATGGGTACAAACCCAAATCCATTTGTTATAAACCCAACCCAACCCAAAGTAAATAGGTATGGGTACAAACCCATCAAACTTTACCCATATCCATATATTTGGATTTCATACCCAACCCAATTGGGTTGGATAGTAAAATACCCATGGATATGGGTAAAATTGCCGTGGCATATCTACCCAAACAACCACAGCTTCCCACTCCATTCTACTATGAGTCACAATGAGCGGCCTTGTTTACATCACGTCGGATATGTTCCCATTTCATGAACTAGACGTTGGGTATTTCTACAGATAACTCCAAGCTCCGTTTGTATGCTTTATCCAGTTTCTGTATTAAACTCTGGCAGTCCGCTTCCAGTACAAGTGTACAAGGTTCGTGAGCTGGAATTGAGCAGCCAGCTGCATCCCAAATTCCATAGCTTAAGCTTCTGCATATCTTAGCTGCAGCTAACACAAACTTGCCTTCATCTGCTCGAATCACAGCATCCAAACCAATACCACCAGCAGGGAGTTCGCCCGCATCTGTATTTATCTTCACCTGTCCCTGAACACTTGCTGACCGCTTTTTCCCTTCTTAGTTTCGATAGTATTAGTATCAGGAGAGGCATACGTGCCTGACTTTTCATCAGTGCCTACAAATGGAAAGGAAGGATCAGGGACTACAGTAGCTTTGGGTAATTTTTTTAAGGAAAAAGCCATCAACACTCCAAAGATATACAACTTGAATTGAGAATGCAATTAGATGAACGAGCTACCACTACCATCTGCTAACCCAAAAACGACTACTATGGAACTTCTGTATGGTTGACATAAGATTTGGTTGCATGAGGAATTCCACCATCTCGTCTATATTTACAAACAACTTCAACTCCTGGAGTGTAAATATGATCAGTGGGAGTTCACATCTTCACAGCTGTGCTAGCCCTGAGAGCATTATTCAGTGAACAAAAGTTAAGAAAGTGAAAAGAAGGAAACAAACACATCATTAAGCTATTAGCCCAATCTCCGCTAAACAACATCATATGATTCTCATTCCTATAAGCCACGATATCATACAGGGCGTAATAGCAGAAATTTGAAAGAAGAAAAATAAACGAACTCTAATAACCAGATCAAAAGCTTCCTACCCAGGAGTTGATGTTGAACGTTGTCCCTTCACTTTTCCGCTAACAAGCATATCATAAGTGGTATCATCTGGAACAAGACCTCTGTCAAGCATCTCATTATGCAGTCTAAATGCCTCCTGTATGTTTCCTTCTCTAAAGTGTCCAGCGATTAGAGTGTTGTAAATGAGAACGTTTGGAGTGATGCCCTTCCTATCCATTTCTTCCAGCTTCTTTTGTGCATTATCAATCTGTCCTTTCTTACAAAGCCCATTTACTAGGACACCATATGTTACTATGTCAGGAACAAAGCCTTTGGCAAGCATCTCAGTGTAAAGATCAGTACCGGATACTAGTTCGCCCGCTTTCAGGAAAGCATCAACCAATGTCGTGTAAGTTTGAAGATCACAAGGAACTCCCTCAGCTTGCATTCTCTTATACAACTTGAGTGCTGCCTCCAGGTTATCAAGATTCCTGAAGCCACTTATCATGCTATTGTAGACGGCAGTATTCGGAGATAGCCCAACCTCAAGGAGTTCAGAGAAGAACTGCCATGCACTCTCCATTTCTCCTTTCTTGCAAAATCCATCTATCAGAGTGCTGTACAAGGTAACATCCAGGTGAAGTCCTTTGCTTTTCACATCATGCCACATCTTTAAAGCAAAATCGAAGTTATTGCTTTTGCATAAGCCGTTAATCAATGTAGAATAAGTGACAACGTTTGGATAAAGACCACCTTCACACATCTCTCCGTAAACTGCCAATGCAGAATTGATATCACCCTCCTTCACAAATCCATCAATGATGGTGTTATAAGTTAAAGCTGACGGAGCAAACCCGTTTTCGTCTGCAAACTTCCTTAGCATCACTTGTGCTTCAGATGTTTGACTTGCTTTGCACATCCCAGTAATTAAACAATTGTATGTGTAATCTGAAGGGAGAATGTTCTCAATCAACATCTGGTCAAACATGTTGAAAGCACTTTCAGGCTCACCTTTCTTAAAATAGCCATTTATCAAAATTGTGTAAGTGATCACATTAGGTTTGATACCCGAGTCCTGGAGCTGGGACAGCACACTGCATGCCTTATCCAAGTTACCTACTCTACAGTAGCAAAGAATCACGTTGTTGTATGAAACAATGGTTGGTGTGACACCTTTGCTTAGCATCTTTCCCCACAAATGTTGTGCTTCGTCTACTTTGCCCTCACTACAAAAGAATGACAATAAGCAGTTATAGGTGCTGACATCAGCAATGTCATCTTCAATTGCCTCGTCAAACAACTTGTTCGCTTCTTCAAGGGCACATTTCTTCAAGAGTCCTTGCAGCAAGGAGTTGAAAGTGAACACACTTGGTCGAATGCCTTTCTTCTTCATCTGTCCATAAAGCTCACAAGCTTTATGCATATTCCCATTCTTACAAGACCAATCAATCAATATTGAGTATGTCACCATGTTAGGAGCAACCCCTGACTCGCCCATTCGATAAAAGAGATCCAAGGCACTATCATATTGGCCTAGCTTACAATATCCTTTAATCAAACTCGTAAACACCACCACATTCACCGACCTCCCACAACTCACCATCTCATCTTTAAGCCTCAAAGCTTCAGCCATAGTCCCAAGCTTCATGCAAGACCCAATGACTGTGGTAAAAGTACCCTCAGATGGAACCCATCCTTTGTTTTTCATCTCGCTCAACAACTCACACGCTAACTCAGCATCAGGCTTCCTGCAAACAGCCTGAATGGAAAGGCTGTATGCCACAGCATCAAGCTCAGTACCCTTCTCTTTCGCCTTCATAAAAAACTCAATAGCTTCCAAATCTCTACCTTCCTTCAAGCAGCCACGCATCAAAATTTTAACCGTTACACCATCCCCTTCCACGCCATTCGCAACCATTTTATCGTAGACATCGTGTGCCTCACGAATCAAGCCACTGTTAACCAATTCCCTCAAGACTAAGTTCACAAATGGCAGTGACGGGAAAATACCACGACCCACCACTGAATTAAAACAATCTATGGCATAATCAAGCCTTCCGGCTCTAACATAACTATTCAACAAGTAATCGAAAACCAGGGGATCCGATTCAAGACCGAAACTTTCTGGACACTGAACCAAATGATCAACTACAATACTGGGAGTCGGACCTGAATCGCCAGAAGCCAACTGATTGAGCAGATTCTGTGCATGCTGACGAGTCCCGGGCTCCTTCGCCAGAATGTGAAGCAGAATGCATATCCAATCAATGCTTCTTACAAGCCCGCGTCTCCTCTCCGCCCACTTGAAGTATTGCAGAGCTGAATCGGGATCGTTTTTACGGCTGAGAAGGCTGCTTATCACGTCCGCTTGCGTCAAGACAGAGTCTTTACATCCGGAACTTGCGATTTCGGGGAAATGGGGTTCTGGGGAAGTTTCATCGGGGGAATCCGAGCTTGATTTGAGATTCTGTGGAGGAGAATCAGATTCTGGGACGGGCTTATTGGGGAGTTCAGTTTGGGAGCAAAGTGATCTAGGGTTTCTTGAGATGGACCTTAGAATCAAGGGGGAGACACGGGAGGAAGCCAACCAAGTTCCCATTGCTATGGCTTCTTCGGCTGCTCAGCTGCAGAAATTGTTTCCGAAGTTTTGTGGGTTTTGTTCTTAAACCCTAAAATTGAAACAAAAACGGAGGAAGAGGAAGTTCTTTTGTTCTGCAAAATTCTGAGCAAAACGACGCCTCGTTTAGACGGTTTTGTTTGTGTCAGAGTTAATTACACAAATGGTCATGAACTTTGTGGTCATTAACAGATTAGTAATCAAGCTTTAATTTTTTAACGAATTTGTCACTGAATTTGTAGAATACTAACATAATAATCACTCGTCTCATCTTCATCAAACTTTTTGTTTCCAGATTCACATACGAACTCACATAGACTCTAATCAACTTAGATCCTTTTAAAATAAATCAACTTAGATGAATGACGACCCAATTTAGAATTAGATAGTGTGAATTCTCTAAGATAATGAACATGAGCTATAACATATTTGGAAACTGGTTTCTCAAAAGTATTGGGTAACAATTAGGGCTATCGATGAATAATGGTTAACTTGGCTGAGGGGGAAAGATTGTTGATCAATGTGCTTGGCTAAAGAATGAATAAGCATGAATGTGTGGCTAGTGCCATGATGATGCGCCTGTTTGTTTATAATTACTATCTAGATGTAACGATCTCTTTTTAGGTTTTCGGTTCTTTTGTACTTCTCTTCCATGTTCATAATATCGCAACATTTTAGCGTTTGATTCGAGTAAACAAAACCAAAGGATGAGAACTAGCAAGTATTGAAGGAAATATAGTAAGGGAGTAAAAAAAAAGTGATTTTGATATGAGGTAGAAATTTTGAGCAAAGTTCAAGAAAGTGTTAGGCGTAAGGCAGACATTGGGGCTTTGTCTAGAATCACAAGGTTATGAACTAATATCATCGCGTCTAGCTCTCATTTCTAAACCCTCATCAACAACGCATGGTACACACAGAAAAGGAAGAAGAAAAAGTTAGAAAATAGCGGAGCAGATTGAGAGAGAAGAAGCGGGGGGGAAAAGAACGAAGAAGTCACTCTACAGAATAAAGATGGTCGTCTCTAACTCTAGCCTAACGACTAGCAACACTCGGGAGGGGGAGAAGGAAAAGGGAGGATGGACTTGATTTCTCTATAACCTAACAGCATATCAAAAGATAGAAAAGAGCAATCGTGACGTTGTTTTGAGGTGCAACTCAGTTAGGAATGGCAATAGGGCAGGTCTGGAGCGGGTATCTCGATACCCATACCCGCCCCATGGCAGGTCGGGTAATTTATCACGGGGCGCGGGTCGGGGCAGGTCGACCCTATGAGTATGTAATTTATATGGAAAATATTAGAAATATTCGTTATTTTCATTATAAGACCAAGAAACAAATCATAATATGATAAAAATGTAGTTAAATTATTGGAGAAATTGAAGTTTTCACTAATTCACAACTTTATAATAGCTAAAATATGATGTAATATAAGAAAAGTTCTAAGTAATTTGACTAAGATTACATGTAATTTAGGCACGAATGGGTCGAGAATGGGGCGGGTCAGGGCATGTCGGGTCGATGAGAATACCCAGGCCCGCCCCTCCCCACCCCAAAATATGTCAAACAGGTCGTATAAATCGGGTCAGGTCGAAATTGTCATCTCTAAACTCAGTGCTATCTAAACGCCACCATAGCCACAACATGCTCAAGACGCCTTGTCCGCTGCTTATGACCAAGCCCAGATATTTTCTTTTTATACAGTGTCTAGACAAGGTCAAATAAGTGTTTAGACGCGCTTTTTAGAACATGATGGTGAGACTATGCAAACTTAGAGCCTGTTGTCATTATTATCCATATGTTCTTCTTTGCCATAGCCGTCTGTTCTTTCCACCATTTTTGCCCATTGTGGAAAAGGCTTTTTACTCATTGTGGAGCATCAGCAAAGTGAAGCACTAATTGTCTGTTTCGTGGGGACATATATGTTGGATTGGACATCATATCCCGGAAAAGTGGTTGCCATATTTGATTGATGCACAAGTTTCTGGCGTGAAAATGGTTGATTTTGTTCACTGAAAATACATAAATAAACAACACAAATGGTGGATTTGCTTGGTCGTGTGTCTGTTTTCCTCTTTCTTGTCCATTCCATGATTCACTGCCTCATATCCGCTTTTGAAGTTCTTGCCAAACGCAAGAAAAAAATAAGTGGTTTTATTGTGTATTTGTTTTTACTACCTCATATCATGTGTACATTATAATAATTCGATCGTGGATCTAACGACTGAATAGATCATACACGTAACTTAAACTTCATCTTTAATGTCGTTTTCGAACCCGAATTAATTACGAAAACCTTATGGTGAAATTGGGCGTTAAGAGCTTCTATAACTTGAATGGTGATTGAGACTAATTGCTTTGTGCTCTTAAGAGTTAAGACGCAACGCTTCTTCACCTTCGTCGATGAAGACAGAAGACCGCAGTAGTGTTTTCTTGCTTTCTATTTAGCAAAATATCTTGATATTCTCTCAACCAAGTGAGCATTGTTACAAGTTCCAATTTTAAGAGGCTTCAAGGGCATTATTTTGGTAGGGATCGGCTGGAGATTTATGAGGATGCAATAATGGCGTATGGGCTACATTTCAATGAGACTGCACCCTCTTGTTTTTTTGAAGAGAAAAAAGGCCACTTTACCTATCAGAAGTTAAGGAGGGACAAAAGATTTATTTGCATGGGACTTTTCTGGCTTCTTACCTCCATCACTGATTCAGTAGTACAATAATGCACTCATTATGTAAAAATAAAAAATAGAAGGTAAATTATTAGGTCCTTAAAGTTTCGCATTTTTTACGATATGGGTTTTCTTTTAATTTGTCGAAGTCTGATTACCCAAATTTCTATCGTGTTCAAAAATGTCCTCCACGATTCCGGTTTAAGTCTATACGCCTCGAGATTGTTCCAGCTATGTCAATTGAGTTCTTCTTTAAGTACGTACATGAAAATTATGATATGGTTAAATGATGAATCCTAAAATTTTATTTTACAATTAAAGACAATGATTAAGTCGTAACACGCTATAAGATAAACGAGTTAAAAAAAAACCACAACTCAAATGTGGGTTGGGTTGGGTAGGTCACAATGCCTGTTGATCACCTTTTCCGCACATTACTTTTGTGATTAGCCTTTACCTGAACCAACCTTCCCATTTTTTTCCTTTTGTCTTATTTCTTTTTTCCATGTGAAAGACATAAATTATGAGAGAATAGTTGGTCGCAAAAGAGTGGCTGATTGATTAGTTCCATTGCCCGCCCACCCCAGTCGGTCACCCACTCGAGTTGCATGCTCCAAACCTAAACCATCAAACCCGCGACGTGCTGGCGGGTACAATCGGGTTCTAACGATACGGGATACATAATTGGTTGAAATATTCTCGATATGAAGTGGCAGTCAAAATTGGACGAATTCGGCGAAATTTAAAAATTATTTTGGTCTGACCAGATAATCGATTTTTCGGTTTCAAATTAAACGGCGTCGTTTCGGTGAAATTAATTAAGAAAAAAGAATGTTGATGTTACTTGTTGGATTCAATCACGAAAGTGTAGATGTTTGTGTTATTTGTTGGAATCAAGTACATACATATTTGAATGTTTGATATTTGTTTGGGGTAAATGACACATTTGGTCACTGAGATTATTAAATTGTGTCATGTTTAGTCACTAGAAAAAATTAATATCAATTTTGGTCACTCGAATTACCGAAACTGGTCAAATTTAGTCACTCTCCCGTCAGTTTCCGTCCAACTCCATTAATGTAGTTGGACGGAAACTTTTGGGAGAGTGACTAAATGTGACATGTTTAAGTAATACGAGTGACTAAATGTGACACTTTTCAATAATTCGAGTGACCGGAGTTGGACAGAGGCTACAGAAGAGTGACCAAATGTGACCTGTGTCAGTAATTCGAGTGACCAAAATTGATATTAAATTTTTCTAGTGACTAAATATGACACGATTTAGTAATCTCAGTGACCAAATGTGTCATTTACCCTATTTGTTTGTGATAATTATTATGTTCAAATATGAGGATTTGTCATTTTGTCTGTATATATTCTATTTTATTTAAATTTGAATGTAGATTTCGGGGAGATTTTCTTGAGATACGTTGTATTTTAATGGTTTTTTATTTTTTCAACGTATGGGGTTAAAAACCAGCCTGACTGGATAATTATCACTTGCTAAATCGACATTACGATTTAAACGAGACCCTAATTGAACTGGACATTGGGGGAAACCACAAAAGAGAAAGTAAACGATATATAGACAACAAAAGTATTACTCCTTCCCTCGATGTGCTCCGCTGATCTTGAGAAGATAATGAGATATGTTCAATAATGCCTAGATTAGATTTTGTTCCACTTCTTCATGTTTACTTTACATATATTCTAGTGTTGACCCCTACCTTTATAAAAGGAAATATAGAGCAAATAATTTATTCGCATACTGAAGTGATCCTTTGTTTATGTTTGTTGAAAAGAGTAGCTTTTTGGATCTTGCTCCATTAAATTATTAGTATGCAATATTAAGAAAACATACGATGTATTGAAGATACCATTAATCATAGTGATAATCCAGGCGATGTCTGACTATAAAAATGGGTGACTTTGTGCAGTAGATGGATGAGTGATGGAAGGGTGGAGTTGGGTTGTGTGTTAAACGCGCTAAAACGCTTCTCCAATTATTCATTAGAAAAGTTGATTAATATATATAATAAGTTCATCGCAAATTAGTAAGATTATATTAATTTATACATTTTTCACTTTGGTCTCCTATGCATCCTTGTAGCATTTGCATCAAAATTTCCATTGCTCCAACCAATTGCTCCATTTTTCACTTACAATTGTAGTTAAACTCTACGCTTTAAAGTTTATGTTTCCACGCTTCTAGATCACCAAAATGTTTCTACATAGAATTCGACTTTGACTGCATTGCAACGAGAATTTTATAAAATTTATATTATGTTTACAGAATAACATAAAATTTTATCGAGCTCCATATATGGATATGGAATGTATGAGCAGATGTCTATTTGTCGGGCTGCCCTCCTAAACCCAAGGCCGTTATAGGTTTTTTTTTTGACAACCAAGGCCGTTATAGATGCTATAACAAAACTTCGTTGCCTCCAAAGTCTGCCGGACGAACTCCCATTTGATTAGCCCCTGGGATTATTGAACGTAAATCTGTGCACGAGCCTATGCAAATAGGGTTAAAAGCCGTAGATAGGCACAGGTCCCGGCGTTGAATTAAGGTCGGGTCCCCATAAACTGCAGTAAATTCCCACTATATGCTTCCTTATGATTTCCAAAGAGAGCTCTTTCTGCTGCTACGGTCGGTCTCTCATCCCATACTTTCTCAGTCCTTTCTTCTATATCAAGCTCAAGGATTTGCATCACATTATCTAATGTACATTACACGACATAGTAACCAATAATAGTAGTGCAAAAATATTTTTTATTCTCCACCTCCAGAAGTACATGGTCATTGTGTAGTGCGATTAGGAAATATGATGACTATTCAATAGTATAAGAAATAACTTTTTGAGTGACCCGCAATCCACCCACCACCCACCCAAATAAGTGTGGGTAAGAGACTTATCAATCCGCAAATCCACCCGCACTACGATTTGGATTATTCATGGATGGATCAAAGTCAAACGGCGAATTAACCACTCACGTGCCTAGCCCTAGGTAATCTTGAGTAGGGATGACAGCAAAACCCGAACCAATGGTTGGGTTGGGTTTGGGTTTAGGTATACCCACCCCATGGATACCCCCCACACCCATGTAATTAATTTTCCCAGTATATTCAATATTCTAAGCAACTAATCTTCTTTATGTTTGTGGAGACATGTCTAATGTTTTCTCTCTAATTGTGTAGAATGAAGTTGATATTATGGAGTGGACAATAGAGAAGAAACTTAGTTGACAAGGAGGAAGAAGGTTTCAATTAATCATGTTGTTTATGGATAACTTGTGATTTGCTTCAATTTTCTTGAGTTTTCTAGATTGGTGTTGAAAAATTTGTATGGTTAATTTATGATTTGCTTGAATTTTCTAGAATGGTGTTTTATTTATGGATAATTTGTATGGAGAGATTGATATTTGAGTTTTATTTTTATAGGAACTTGTTATTGTAAAAATTTTACGACAAAAACTCATGGGTACCCATGAACCCGCGGATACCCAACGGGTTGGGTTTCAGTTTTTCAAACTCAATGGGTTTACCCCAGATATTTTTCGCAGATAAATCCATGAGTTTGGATTTGAATTTGATAAAACCTAACCCATTGCCGGCCCTAATCTTGAGGTATGGACCGAAACATGCAAGGAGAAAAATGTTTTTGTTAGGGGAGCAATGGAATGCGAAATTAATTGTATGTTTCCCAAATATGGAAAGGATTTTAGAAGGGCAATCAAAGATTTGTTGCATACATTTTTCTCTAATCAAATATTTCCCAATATACATTTAAAACATTTCCTAACTACTAACAGAATCTGAGTGTACCCAATTCATTGGTTTAAAATGTAATTTTGGAAAACATTTGATTGGACTCTATTCCATTTCCAAATTAAGATTTGAGCAAAAGAGGATATCAAACATGATTTATTATACTCCCTTTTTATCTAATTAATTAATATTACTAACTCTTAAATGCCTCCTATAGTGGGTTGTATGTCCTATAATATTAATTGATTGGAAATATGGAAGTACCTTAAACTTTTTCTTCTTCTTTGAAATAGAGCTACCTTAAACTCTAACTAGTAACCATAATGCTTTTGCCATAAAATCAAAACTATAAAGTTGTGAACTTTCACTATAATGTTCTTGCCATAAATAAATAAAACTTATTTTCGAAATTCTAGAGGAGTCGCACTTAAATAATATATTGATAATTTATTTCTCTCAAATCATTTTTCACAATTTTAGAGGATCCATGCCTATATATTATACCGATAAAGATTCAACGAAAAAGAAAATTATTACTCCGATTCTGGATGTTCATGAGTTTAGAAAATATTCTACCTTCTCATCGAAGAAATTTGTAATGCTCGAAATGGATGAAGTTTAACGAGCAATGGATTTAATAGGGTAAAAGAATGGGTAATTAATCAAAATGGTCACATAGGTTTGGGACAGTAACAAAATGGTCACAAACATCTAAAACGTAAGAAAAAGGACATAAATTTATAATGATATAACAAAACAGTCATTTCATCTCTTTTTAGGCATGTTTTCATCCAAAATAACCGATTAGTTTGATGACATAGTGCAAAACTGATAATAAATTATCAACCACCTAACCAACCTATGAAATTTCCTCTTATTTAGAGAAGCAAACCGACCATTTTGGATGAAAGTATGGATGGAAATACATGGAATAGCTATTTTGTTACAACATGATACTTGTGTGACCTTTTTGTTACGTTTTAAACGTTTGTGACCATTTTGTTACTTGATCAAACCTATGTGACCATTTTGCTCCATTACCCGGAAACGAATTTTAGATCGAATTCTAAAATATTCGATAATATCAAATATTTTTTCAGTTTGACCTAGCTGATTCAAGAATGTGGGTCCAGTAATGAAAAAAATTTCATCGAAAAGTTGAAACGCTCTGATGCAAACGTAAAAGAATACATAACAAAAGTGCAAGGTTAACAACTTAGTTTTAAACTTTCTATCTTCGCGAGTAGTTTCGCATCAATTTTGCTAAATTGCTCATTGCCAGCTGCGAGAATGTGTTCATAGGAGTCTAACGTCTTTAGATCGTGCGAGAGCGATCGCATACAATGACAATTTTCTTACGACACCAAACGCCTATCAACACATTCTCACAGACGGTCTATGAGCGCGATAACGGGGTTCGTTTCACATCTTGTGTCAGTACACCACCCTGTCGGTCTCGCACAACCACATAACTACAAGAACTTGAAGCACAACTCCTTCTGCTGCTTCTTAATTGTTTTGTGAAATGGTCTGGTTCTCTGTCATGCACCCATTTTTACAGCAATTTCAGTTTCAGGTGCCCTTGGATGCAGTTGCAAACTTGCAGCCTGCAGGCATCAAATAAGGGAAACAATTCACTCTGTAGCTCAACCTCTCTGAACCCAAAAGGCCTAACCAAAACAGCAAAAAACAAATATCTCTTTTGGCCCCAAAAACCCCCCTCAAAAACCCCACCATGGCAAATTTACAGATTGGTCCCTGCCCCCATTAGGCCTTTCATTAATTTTTTTTTTTCTGGGGCTGTACCTTTTGTTAACTTAGTAAATGCTTTAGGAACCACAAAATCTCGATTAGGAAACCAGGAGGGGAAAAAACACCAACCCCATAATTTTTACAAGGGGGGAGAGGGGTAAAAATGTGACTATATAACACCACCTTCGTCTCCCTCCTTTTTACACTCACACCAGAGAGAAACTCACACACAGAAAATCTCCCATTTTCTGTGTTTTTTCTTCTTCTTCTTCCTTTTCTTCCTCTGCCTTCCTTTTTCCGTTCTGGTGCTCTGTTTCGAGAGATCCTCTGTTTCCCCTTCTTCACATTGGTAAAGAAGGAAACAGAGGCACGAGAGACAGGCCAGAGGACAGATTCCGAGAAAGAGGAAAAAAGGGAAAGCTGCCCTGCACTTTTCCCTCTTCCTTTCTGGTTTCTCGCTGTCATTTTTTGGGAGGGGAAGAAACAGGGTTCCGAGGCTTCGATTGAAGTCTTACCATATCTCGTCTCGTCATTTCCATGTAAGAAGACAAACCCAAGAACCGCTTATTTATTTCGTTTCCATTTTGCTCCTGTTTATATTTTCAGCCCAGAATTTTTTTTTCACACCCATTGTCTGAATCAGATCCATTGCTCTGTTTTCTCGTTGCAGGCGCGGAGACAGAGTGTAAAAATAAAAGTAAAAAGTAAAAAAGAAAGGAGAAGAAGAAGAAATGGCACAAGATTCGCAGAGAATCGTGATACCAGAGGCGCTGCAGCTGTCCAGAGATGACATTGGGGTTCAATTCGCGCTGATGTGGGAGTTCATCAAGGCTCCGTTGATTGTCCCCTTGCTGCAGCTCGGCGTCGTGATTTGCCTAATCATGTCCCTGATGCTCTTCTGCGAGAGGGTCTACATGGGCATCGTTATCGTCCTCGTCAAGCTCTTCTGGAAGAAGCCTGAAGAGCGTTACAATTGGGAGGCACTGGAGGAAGATATGGAGTCCGGTAGCTCCAACTTCCCCGCCGTTCTCATCCAAATCCCCATGTTCAACGAACGCGAGGTCTCTCTTTCCCACCACCACCCTCCCCTGTTTTTCTTCCTCCCCTGTTTTCTTCCGAGAAAATGCTAATGCATTTGTTGTTTTTTCTTTCTGGGTTTTCCTTGTTTTCTCGACGAACAGGTTTACAAGCTCTCCATTGGAGCTGCATCGAATCTATCTTGGCCAGCGGATCGTCTGGTGATCCAAGTCCTCGATGACTCGACGGACCCTGAAATCAAGGTAAAAAAAAAAACCCAGCATTGCGAGCCTTCCAATTCTATTTGTCTCTCTCTCTCTCTCAGTACTTTTATCAGTCACATGGTGTGCATTCCTATTTGACCTCATAAAATTTCTCCGGCTCTTCCACAACCTGACGAATAGGATAAGACTCCCACCCCGCCCAAGCCCGCCCATCTCCCCCACGTTCCGCCTAATCCTCGGGCGTTACCATTTCTGTCGGCTTGTGGATTGATTGATGTTCATTTCGAAACTGCCGGAAATGAAAATTCCCTCTTCCTTTTGTTTAATGATTTGCTCTCTGTCGTCGGAAAAAAAAAATGGTGTTTGCAGCAAATGGTGGAATTGGAATGCCAGAGGTGGGCAAGCAAAGGGGTAAACATCCGGTACCAAATCCGGGAGACCCGCGGCGGGTACAAAGCCGGAGCGCTCAAGGAAGGCCTGAAACGGGGCTACGCAAAGCACTGCGACTACGTCGCCATCTTCGACGCCGATTTCCAGCCGGAGCCGGATTACCTCCGCCGCGCCATTCCCTTCCTCGTCAACAACCCGGAGATCGCCCTCGTCCAAGGCCGCTGGCGATTCGGTAAATTACTAAATTTCCATTTTTTTTATTACTTAATCTGACTTATATATAAATTACGCAATTAAGAGAGTGTCGGTGGTATGATTAAGTTGAGTAAGTAAGGAATGCTTTTGGGTATTGTCCCGTGCCAAAGGGAAATATTCCCCTACGGTTGCGACTGCGTGAGTCGGGAGGGCCCCACTTTCCCATCAATCACGGGGATGGATCCCACCCCTTTGTTTTCTATGTGTCGCTTTGCTGAAAACGAATCACAGCCGTACACGTCCCGCTACCCAAATGAGGACGCACCTACAGTAACAAAACCCCCCCCCAAGTTTCCCGCCGAAAACTTGTGATTAATGTTTCCGTTCTCGTGATTAATTTTGTCGAAATTCCTATAATGCTGCTGTTTATGTTTTCTTGACGAAAATGCCCCCGGATATCCCGCGGGATAAGGCGGGAAGGGGTCGGGGTGGTTCGGTCAATTCCAAAATTTGTTAGCTTGTCTTTTACCGGGTTTGTTTACCACCGACAAAATCCGGGCCGTACGGAATCCACATGGCGGCCGTCGGCCGACTCCGGGTCCGGCTGCCACTTTCCGGTCACGTGGTTGGTTGATACTTGAATTGATAGACATTTTTTTTTACTGCGTTTGACGCCGTGGGACCCATCTTGCCGACACCTCGAATTCGTGCTTCAGTGTGCTGAAAGCTGAATTTACTTCCCGGTTGGGCATTAATTACTGTACTTTGGGGGAGATTAATTTTTTGGCGGGCTGATAATTGCAGTCAATAATAGTGTGGACGGTTAGTTGGTTGGTGTTTAGTGTGATTAACATTTGAATTATTGCAGTGAATTCCAACGAGTGTCTGCTGACAAGGATGCAAGAGATGTCGTTGGACTATCATTTCACCGTGGAGCAGGAAGTCGGGTCAGCCACCCATGCCTTCTTCGGTTTCAATGGTAACCCACTAAACCCCCACAACTAGGTCAATCCAAATCCTTATTTCGGTTCGTGGTGTCAAATGCGATGTGTTCAAGTCGTTGAATTTCGTGTTCTCAATTGTTGTTTCAATGTATGGACGATGATATTTTTGAACGATTCAGAACAAGCAATACGAAATTCAACTAGCGTCTGAACACACCCCATTCAACCCCGTAGTAAAAATTCTTCCTTTTCTAGATCTTATGGTTAATGTAGTAGTGGTAATGGTAATGGTAATGATAATGGATTGCTACAGTGGTAACTGGTAAGTAGGACAAAGTTGGCATAAAGCTGCTCAGTAGCATGTGCTATGTGTGTTGTTGTTGGTTTCATGGAAAACAGCAGTCAAATCTAGAAAGTAAAAAAAAAAAGGAAGAACAGGAGGAATTCTACTTTTACTGCGGAGGAATGAATGGATGGGGTAAATTTTGGTGTTAATGTAATGAATGTGGTGTAGGGACGGCGGGAGTATGGAGAATAGCAGCCATTGATGACGCGGGTGGTTGGAAAGACAGAACCACCGTGGAAGATATGGATCTCGCTGTCAGGGCCAGCCTCCGCGGCTGGAAGTTTGTCTACCTCGGAGACCTTCAGGTCTTCAATCTTTCCCCTCCTCTCCCCACTCATCCCCAAACTTTCATTTCCTTACAAACCGCTCCCTTCCCCTGCAGGTAAAAAGCGAGCTTCCCAGCACATTCAAGGCCTTCAGGTTCCAACAACACAGGTGGTCCTGCGGTCCCGCCAACCTGTTCAGGAAAATGGTGATGGAGATCGTCAGAAACCAGAAAGTCCGGTTCTGGAAGAAGGTCTATGTCATCTACAGCTTCTTCTTCGTCCGGAAGATCATAGCCCACATGGTGACATTCATCTTCTACTGCGTCGTGCTTCCCCTGACGATCCTGGTGCCCGAGGTTCAGGTGCCCATCTGGGGAGCGGTCTACATTCCTTCGATCATCACGATCCTGAACTCGGTGGGGACCCCGAGGTCGATTCACCTGCTGTTCTACTGGATCCTGTTCGAGAATGTCATGTCGTTGCATCGCACCAAGGCGACTTTGATCGGGCTGTTGGGAGCTGGGAGGGCCAACGAGTGGGTTGTGACGGAGAAGCTTGGGAATACCCTGCAGAAAGTTGCTGATGCTGCTAAGAACAAGACTTCTGCTGCTAAGGCTATCAAACGACACCGCTTCAAGTTTGCTGAGAGGTAATTAGTGGCTTTGAATTTGGAATCACTTCATTGAATTCTGTTTTGGCCAATCTGCCTTCTCTAGACTAGATAGTTGACAAATTTCATCTGCGTCGCTCTATGGACAGCCCTGTTCGTGACATAGTTGGTATGGTGTTTCATTAGACGACACAATCATATCCCAGCTAGGATGATGGTTGACCACCAAATCCAACTCTCTTCCAATTTTCCAAATATGATTTTATAGTTAGAATGATAGAATCTTTGCAGTGTGTTGGAAACTACTCATGACTTCAGAGAGTCATATATGGAATAGATAAAGGGTTAGGTTTATTGTCTGGTTGACCTGTTTCTGGGGTTCAGTATAGTTAGTAGAGATGATGAAGTGGGCTTCTCTGCCATTCACCTAAACCCTTTTGGCTGCTGTGGTAACGACATTTGGATAGGAGACCTTTCGGTTTAGCATTATGGTTCTGATTTCTGGTTGTGTTTGTTTGGGGGACAGGTTGAACAAGACAGAGCTGGGGTTTGCATTGTTCCTGTTCGTCTGTGGCTGCTATGACTATGTTCATGGGAAGAACAACTACTTCGTATACCTATTCCTTCAGACCATCACCTTCTTCATTGCTGGAGTTGGCTACATTGGCACCATCATATAAGCAGACTGGCTGATCATTAGAGAGTGATCACCAGAAGAAGGAAGAAGCCAAAAGAACTGTGGTTCGAGGGGCGCAAGCCTATCATTGTTCATGATGCTCTCTGCATTTTGTTTGTTTGTTGTTCAGGAGTGAAGGGATACATGCCCTTGAGAGCATTTCAGATTGCAGACAGCCTGCTGGTTTTTGTTTTTGTTTTTGGGTTTTAGATTGTTCTAAGTGGCTCCATTGTTACATGTGATCTCTATTCACAGAGAAATTTCAAATTGGGAGTGTAAAAAAAGTCATTACTAGCTGAACCTAGAAGGTTAAGACCATAGATAGTTGCTGTTTTTACCATAAAGAGAGGGTGGACAGAAAGGGAAGCATGCTACCAGAAGGAGAAGAAGAAGAAGAAGAACAACAGCATCTTTTCTTATATATAGTATATTGTATGGTCATTGAGGAGAGGGTCTTTCTTCTGGCCTTCCCCTTCCCCTCTTTTTTGTAATAGATTGTTTTTTAGATTCTTCTTTCTTCCTTTAGGCTTGTTTGTTGCAGATGCTGGAAATAAACAGCCTTGAAGAAATTTGATGCCATTCTTATATCTCAAAAGAAAGATTAAATCTTCATTGTTCAAGCAGAATCCTGCATGCCTGATATTCCCTTTTCCTGATACTCTCAGTTAGTACAATGGGGCTTGGAATACAATGTAGCTAGCTGTTTGACTTGCTGCAACTGCTCAATAAATATGGAGTGTGAGATAACCAGCTGGAAAGGAATCTGCAGAAGAAAAGAAAAGGTGGGTTATTATTTAGAGCAAGTGGTTGAGCAGCAAGCTGGCTGATGGGGTATTGGAATAAACAAATACAGAACCAATTCCATCAGTCTTCTGATTCCCTGCTGCTGCTGCAACTTATCAGTTGGTCTCGGTAGCCCACAAAATTAACTGCAACAATATAATACAATAGGTATCCAATTGTTGGTTTTGGTATTCGTGTGCTGATCATAATCATTTAGGTATGGAAAGTTGGAAACAGAATCTACATGTGGTCAGTTATCTGTGGATACAACTGTCTTCTGCTGATGTAGATTCAAAAATAATAACTATGTTTTGGGTTGAAGGGAGACCAAGACGATACCGCTATTGACGAAACATTGAGATGATATTTGATCGTTTTGATGGGAGATTCGTACTATCTAGAAAAGAAGGTCACATTTTCTACCGTATTAACATTATATCCACAGATGTGCAATAAGTTAGTACATATATGAAAGTGTGTTGCACAGTATTTTTACTCAAAATTCACAATCCCAAAGCTTAAGTGCATACAAAACATCACATTCTTTAATAAACGTGACTTGTAAAACTTTCTATTTGGATTTACTGCTTTGTATATACCCTTGTAGATAATGGTTGGATTTATGTGAAGCAATTGGCCGAGCTTTCATTTCACGGTTTGATTTACACCAATTTTGGGGAAGGTTCTTCCACCGACAATAGCGGGATCTTTTCTCCATCCATCCTGGGATTCCTGACTCCGCTAATTGTGGAAGGAAAAGAATAAGACAAAACAATTCCTTCTTATTCTTTGAATTATCATAAGACAAACTTCTAAAGGGATAAGATAAATATCCTTTGATTGAATTAATTAAGGAAACAGATTTATATGTGGTTTTAGTAAGAAAGCTCAGGAAAGATGAAGGGTAAAAATTGGATTTATTCTCAACCAGAAATAACAACTTTTGTGACAAGAAATTTGGTTTGGCTTTTAATCTATATATATATGATCTTTGATTACTTTCTTACACAAAGCGCTAACTCATTATTTTGAAGTTTGCATAGCTCCGTCATATCGTGTGTTCTAAATGAACTTTTATTATCGGGGTCGTCGGGACTTGAACACGTACCCTCATGATCTAATAAGCTCTCTTACCATATCGTGAATCATTTGGTCTCAATAACTCAAACCTGTTAAGAGAGACCCATATATGAATCTTAATCACTTCCTTACACCGTAGACTAGCTTTTGAGTGCTATATCTCTCCTTAATTAGTCGTCATAAGTCATAACTCTACAATACTGAAGATATCAGTTTCCTACAAGGGGATTTTGGAATGAGCTAGTTATCAATACTTCACAAAAGACAAGTTACGAATAATACTAAAATAGATATCTTTCAACATTTCGAACGACATGAATGATTAATTTCACCGACATTGCAAGAAAACTTCAAGATGATTTTGATTCGCTCAAGTATGAAAGCATTAAGTACAACTATGTACGTAGAACTAATAATGGTAGCCATGGCCTCACTTCTCATGCCTTGTCCATATCGACATCGACGTTTGCTGGTTTCCCATGTTCTTGGGGGCCTTATATCCCATATTCTTATATTCCCAGAAAACACACCCAAAACAATATTTCCACGTGTATTTATTTCTACCATTTCTCAGCAAGAAATGGACTAATGATGATGTTACACACGTAATATAAAAAAGTTTCTAGCACACTTGCACAACTAAGCGTTTGTAGTCCAACGGTTAGGATAATTGCCTTCCAAGCAATAGACCCGGGTTCGACTCCCGGCAGACGCAATTACTTTTCTACTTTAACAATGCGGCCTCTTTTTTCTTTTTTTTTTGGGCTATGCAGCAACCCAACTTGCCCGGCCCACGGGCCCAGGAAGGAATTTTAACAATGCGGCCTCTTTTTTTTGTGGGCTATGCAGCAACCCAACTTGCCCGGCCCACGGGCCCAGGAAGGAAGCGTCTAGAAGCCGCGGGTAAAACCAGTTCGCTGCAAAATTATCAGAGGCAAGCTCCCAGCAGCCGATCAGACGGGAACTTTCTGGAAAGAGCAAAGAGAGAGCGTGAGAGAATCTCCGGCGAGAACGAGAACTCGTTGTCGACCCGTCCGATCAAAGAAAAAATGGCGGAGCACTTGGCGTCGATCTTCGGTACCGAGAAGGACAGGGTGAATTGCCCCTTCTACTTCAAGATCGGAGCTTGCCGCCATGGCGACCGCTGCTCCAGGCTCCATACCAAGCCCAGCGTCAGCCCCACACTCCTCCTCTCCAACATGTACCAGCGACCCGACATGATCACCCCTGGCGTCGACGCCGAAGGAAACCCTATCCATCCCCGCAAAATCCAGCAACACTTCGAGGTATTTTCCCTCTATCCATTTCCTGTCAAGATCGTGGGTTTCTCTCGTTTGGATTCGATTAGAGGGTTTCTCTTTAATTCGCTAGGTTCCTGCTTGAATTTGGGGTAGATCATTAGGTAGAATCAGTTTCCTGTGTGCATAGAATTGCTTCAAGCTGCATCAATTTTAGGTGTCTACTACATGGTTGCGGTGAGATTTACGGTTGCTTGTGGTTTCGTTTCACTGTAGGACTTCTATGAAGATCTATTTGAGGAGTTGCACAAGTATGGAGAGATTGAGAGCCTGAATGTTTGCGACAACCTTGCTGACCACATGGTAAAGTTGTATTTGCTTATGGGAATCCGAATCTCTCTTGTTTGTGTGGATTGCTCTGTCGTTTGTTGATTTTTGATCGAAGAAGTTAGCTCATGTTGTTTGCTGACAGGTGGGAAACGTTTATGTTCAGTTTAGTGAAGAAGAACAGGCTGCTACTGCCTTGCGCAAACTGACTGGACGATTCTATGCCGGTGGGTATAGATCAAGTTTCTCCTTTCTGACTCTTTGTTCAGCTGCTGAATGTCTTGTTTGCTGAGCATTCTGTCATTTTCTTATGTGCAATTTGATCCCAGGGCGCCCCATCATTGTGGACTTCTCTCCAGTGACAGACTTCCGAGAGGCCACCTGCAGGCAATACGAGGAGAACACGTGCAACCGTGGTGGTTATTGCAACTTCATGCATCTTAAAAGGATTGGCAGGTAAGCATTTCTATGCCTGCCTGTGTCTTGTTTGTTAGGAAATTGGTTTATGTTATCTGATTAATTTGTTGCTGCTGCAATTTTGTAGGGAATTGAGGCGACAATTGTATGGGAGCTACAGAAGCAGGCACAGTCGTAGTAGGAGCAGAAGTAGGAGCCCCTACAGGCATAGAAGCCATGAAGATCATTACCATAGGAGTAGTAGGAGATATGATGATGAAAAAGAGCGGTATCATGAGAGCCGGAGTAGAAGGCACAAGACCACCAGCCTTGATCACTGGAGGGAACGAAGTAGCAGTCCAGGAAGAGGGAGGCGCGAGAACCGAAGCCCTGTTAGGGAAGGTAGTGAAGAGAGAAGGGCAAGAATTGAACAGTGGAACAGGGAAAGGGAAAATGGATCGAGAGCCGATCGTAATATTGATTATGGACACCAGGATCAGGATTCACACAAAGATGTGGAGTATGGCAATTGAGGGGGTTCAGGGTGTCTCCGGTTTGTTTCTCTTCCTTTGTTTTATTTGATGTTGTGTTGTTTCTGGGTAGAAATTGAGTATTTGTTACTGTGCAGGTGGTTTTGCAGGTTTCAGAATTCATATATTTGCCTGTCAAACTTGTAATTCTTAGTTCTTAACCATTTGATTAGCATAACATGCATGGCTGAGTTTCGAAATATTTGCTCTCTAACCATAAAAAAAACGATCGATTATCATGTACTGTTGGCATTCTCAATTTTCATGCTTGCATTCCATGTACAGCGAAGGAACTCTTTGAACACCGTTGTAATGAGGCTAGTTGCTAGAACGCAATCAGAATCTGCAGTCATACATTCGGTTTTTATCTTCACTGATCCAAATCCTTGTGTATTTATGCATTACAAGAGGAAATACTTGACATGTTAACGAGTTTTTGCAGGTTTCAGGAATCCCTGCTACTCCAAAACAATACTTTGCTTCGTTGAATAATCGCGCCTATGATCAACTTTGTTTACAGGTGGTTTTGGTTGGAGGTGTTGGCTGGAGGACTTGCAATCAACGTGGGACAGATTATAGATTGGTGACTGACTGGTTTGACCCAATGTTGCAGCCTGCAGGGGAAGTTTGGAGTCTGGAACGAGCTGCCATAGTTGGAATATCTTCTCTTCGGAGGACTACTTCAGGGCTTCCTTTGTTTTTAGTGTGTTTCTTTCTAAGATACTACGTATTGTGTTCTATCAAAATGTAACTGGATATATTACCCATTTGGAGTTTGGATCATAACATGCGGACTCTTTGAGCCTTAATGCTTCTCTGGAATTCTGTATTATTAAAAAGGAATTGTTAATTTATGTCTTCTTGTTAATTTAAGTCTTCTTGTTCTTGATCGTGAATGAATTAAATAGTTTAAGTTTAACAGTTAGTTTCTCATAAACTTATCCTAGTGAAAGACTAAGTTTGGCAATCTGCTACAAACATGGTGATCATAGAGCAGGATAAGATAGAAGGAAGACAACAACTTACGACGCAAACATGAATTAAGTGAACCTAATACTCAATGCATCAGAAACAAAAACTTGTTTTAACATCCGCAAATGCTGTGCCAGCCAACAAATACCCAAAATCACTTTCGCATACATCCATCCATCCATTCCCACAAGTTCTCTCCCACGAACAAAAACCTCTCATTTACCATCCCTGACCCTTTAGTAACTAATACCCCTTAACCATCTTTTACTTGGCAGTGTGCTTGGCCTTGGCATGAGACTGGAGAGCACCGTCGGTTCCAAATGACCTGTCACAGGACTTGCAAGAGAACTCGCCACCTGATTTCGGAGTCTTCGCAGCACTACCTGCAGTCTTTGCGACATTCTTGGCAGGGTGAGGGGTAGCTGTGTGTACAGCCTTCTTGCCATCTGAGCAAAAACACCCAACACGGCAGACTAGTCAGCAACAAAGAGTCATAATTCATAAACAACGATAAAGATGACAAAGACACAAGAGTGTTTATTCCCAGCTTAAAATTTAACCAAACAAAAACCACCCACTACGGATAACATCCAAGACAAACACTAGAATAATTTCAGTGAGCAACTCACCAGACTTTGCAGGTGTGGCCTGTTTGGCCTTCTTGGCAGGGACGGGTGTTTTCACAGCAGAGTCATTGGACCTCTTCTTACCCTGCTCCGGCTTCTTTGGGGTGGGGGTCTCCTCGTCTTCACTGTCATCCGAATCATCTTCATCATCATCTGAATCAGCACCAGCATCAACAGACATGTCCTGCATCATTGATAGTAGGAGAATGAGTGGTCATGGCAAATATCCACATTTTCAAATCATCTAAGCCTACAAAGTCATTACATGCTACCTCTCCATCATCACTAGATTCATCTTCATCGTCTTCGGAATCATCATCTGAATCATCAGACTCATTCTCGGGCTTAGCAGGCACAACAGCAGCTTTAGCTTTGGGTTTTGCAGCTTCGGGTTTGGCAGCTGCAGCCTTAGCAGGAGCAGCAGGCTTAGCCTTCTGAACTTTGCCTATTACATCATTATGATAGGCAAGAGAGACCAAAGGTCAGACACTAAACAATATTGTTACTATCACTTAAAATAAGAACAAGCACATACCGTTCTCTGCCTTCACCACTGGGACCTCCTCTTCTTCGTCCTCTGACTCATCCTCAGAACCAAAATCTGTAAACACCAAACAGATCAGAACTTCAGTGACATGCAACATTTGATATAGAGAGAAGAAACCAAATTTGAGTTCGGGTCTCACCAGAAAACTCCTCAGTGGAAACAAGCAAATCCCACAGGAATAAGAGTCAAGGAAGCAATGTCCGACATCAACAAAGATGCACGATTCTTGAAGATAATATGTTCGCATAATTAACATAAAACCAATACATTCACAGAATTAGCTACAATACCCTAAACATTCTACCATGAAACCTTAAAAACAGCAGGTGATAAAAGGATATCCATCATCAGGGAGAACCGACTTGTAGCCAGTGAAAAAGATGCTCCCATTCTTCCAGTTGTGGGATAGTTCAAACTCCTGCTCCAAGACAAGATCAAAGGCCAACTGGGGAATGGTTTCAGGAGAGAGGGTTCCCAAAACAAGCTTCTTCTCGCCTACTTTGATGAAAAGAGGCACAAACTCACTTTCTTTGGTCTTCTTTGCCTCACCAAGTGCTGCCTACAATCACAAAATCATACAAAGCAATGGAATAAATAAAACATCAAACCATAAACCAAACACACCAAAGTTCACCTACATTCAAGCGAATATAGAATTGAGCTTACATGGGAGAGATGGAGGATGACATCGTCCTCAGGAGTAACTTTAAGTGGCTTCCCAGCCTTAACCTCAACACCTGTATCACATCATCCCACCTCATATTAGAAAACGAAAGCCATTACAAACCAATGAAAAGAAACCCTGCCCGATGAGTTCAGAGACTATTAACTAAAATCATTCAAATAAGCACCATCTATAACACAATAGAAGCCAATAAAACATAATGGTGCAAGCACGATACAATCAGGAGCTTCCTATAAAGTCCAAGACCAACAGAGGAATCAACCAAAAACCCATCAAAATGAAGCCTACTTCCTCACCTCATACACTAGGAAAGCTACTAACAAGTGTCATTTTCCAGAGGCACAGAAATAGCACACGATTCAACAGGGCATTATTATCTTACAATAAGAGGAGGTACAAAAGAACCAAAAAGAAAACCCAGAGATTACGAAAAGGAATGATCTTTGACAACAGAACAACTATCACGCTACCAACAAACAGACCAGCTCAGAACAAACACCGATAACGTAAGAATCAACAGAGAAAAAACCCACACCATTTTCGGGCGAAAAATGAAACGACAAAACATGAATAAATATGAAGGGAAATGAAAGAGCTTACCCCAAAACTCCATTGAGGAAGACATGGTGATGGACTTTGAAGAGAACCGACGGGAGGGAGGAAAGGAGTTTTAGGGTTTAACGAGGCTAAAAGGAGGCGGAGGAGCGGGAGGAAGAAAAAGGGTTTATGAGAGCCGAATTTATAATGCGAGAGAGAGAGAGAGAGAGAGAGTCAGCTTGCGAGGTTTTGACTCCGCTCCCCGGCAAAGTCTCTTTCTTTCCTCTAGGGTTTTGGGCGACTGGCGCGTGGCTCGCCGAGGCGAAGAGGGCACGCGTGGGAGAGAGAACAGGGAAGACGGCCTGCTGGGCTATGGGCTGACGTCTATGGGCTTTTTGAAATATAGTACCCGGTATGGGTTTAGGTGATAGCCAACTCAGGCCCAATAAGACGCTCTGGTTTGCGGAAATGATGGCCGATAGATGTGACCTAGCAAAGAGGAGGGCGAGGCCCAATAAATTGCTTAAGGTTGATGATTTTTTTTTATCGCATCTGTAAAGCACTAAAGCTTTATTAATTAGATGTTGCGGCTACATTGTCCAACATAATTTGATCAACAAGAATCATAGGTGGTTTATCTATCCAGCCCTCTTTCTCGTTCCATCTGGTCTCTGTATGAACTATGATATAGGCTGCCATGTTCCCTTCCCTTGGAGCGTACTGCCAAGCACCATTTCCAACATCTCGAAGAAGCCTGAGTATGTTACGACATATTACACCAATCTCAGTGTGTATCTTCTCCGTCGTCGCCAACTTGTGAGTAAGCGAAAGACAATCTGTTTCGAGGATCACATTTGTCATATGGAGCTGAAAAGCTAGCTGTACACCAAACTCTGCTGCTAAAGCTTCGGCCACTTCCGGCTCCCAATTTCCTGGAACTTTCTTTGCTGCCGCAAGAAGAAAGTTACCATCCCAAAACATAGGATTCTTCCCAATAAATTAAAATAATGGTTGGGATTTCTAGTTTTTGTAATTATTGACCAGGAAAAATGAAACAAACTTTATTCGCCCCCTTCTAGTTATAGTATAACCACTCCCAGTCCAATACCCCCGAGCCTCAAGGACACCTGCGTAAGTATTAACCTTCAGCTGAACCCTGACTGGTTTGCGCCAATGTTTTGCTTCGGTTTGTTGCTCACCGTCTCCATCCTCCGCCGCGGATAGGTGTGCTCGGTAATCAGCAATCCACAAAATTGGATTCAAGAGTACTCAATTGACAACCCTTTCATTAATTTGGGTATGCCATTAGTGGTAATGCGTTGCATCTTAGTGTAGCAATTGATTTAAGCACAATATACAATGGTTCTATGCAAATTTCAAATCCATTAGTTTTATTTGACTGAGTGTAATAAATTAAAAAATTAACGTTCTACTAACAACCGAGTGATATCATCCATAAATCTTAAGGACTAGATCAACGAAATCGTGGTTCAAATTCAATACATTGGAAACAACGAATTTCTTGTAACGGCTCAAGACATTGGTAAAACATCGATATTCCTGTTGGTGGAGGTACGTGCATGTCAGTTGGTAAGCAAAATTAATTGAATCAATCTTCTATTGTCTTTTGTATTGTTTTTGTCTTATCAACACTTTGTCTATACGTTTGGTATTAGTTTTAATTACTTAGAGGGCGATATGTTTATTAGTCGTGATTAAGTTATTGCGTAAACCAAAATCATAAACTACCTACCTAGTGGGAGTGGATAAGTTAGCCGGGTAACCTTAACAATAGCCTAATATCGAGGTCGGCGTTATCCTAATTAATCCTCATCTTGTCACCCTCCATGACGAGACAATTGTTTATATCCACGTCAAATTAGCGATAACAATTTTGACTTGATTCGTTTTATTCTATTTGTTGATTTGTTTTGGAAGGGTAAGGCAGGACAAGGCGAAAATGGGTACTCTCGTCTCGTTGATCTGACCAGCACTGACCAGCTCGTTCTCGACCAGTTTTAACCTAAATTGCATGTAACTTTACTCAATTTACTTAATTACCTCATATTTTAGTTATAATGCAGTTATAAATAGACGAGAACCTCAATTTTTTCCATAATTTAACTACATTTATCACATTATAGTTTGTTTCTTGAGTTTTTAATGAAAAATAATGAATAATGAATATTCTTAATGGTTTCCTTTAAAATGACATATCCATATTAGTTGACTTGTCCTGATTCGCGTCTCGTGATAAATTATCCAATTTGTCACGTAACAAGTATGAGTATCGAAATACGCACCCCGGACCTACCCACTGTCGTTTCTAAATCAAAAGAAGTCAAGTCTATTGACATACTAATGTGATTATATGTAAGAGAATGACAAGATGATACTAAGATGTATATTTACATTTATCTATACATAGATGAATGAATTTTTCAATTCAAACATAAGTACACCTTGAAAGTAAAGTATAAACGTCCAATCTCATCCTTCATATGAAATTCTGGTATGGAACTTAAACGACATGTGTTCGATGCAAAGTTATCGTATCAATGATACCAGCCTGTTGATGAAATGCTACTAAACCGAACCCTCTATCTCCAATTCTCCATCCACTTGAAAATACCTTGAATGGGCATCCTAAAAAATTGGTAAATGATAGATTACAAGTAACCAATTTTGTTGATGACGGGAGAGAGTTTTCCAACCGACTGCGAATTTTTTTTGTTACCTAAACCAAATCCCCTAATTCGACTCCACCATTTTCCAGCAGGTTCAACTCCCCTGCCCACCGTTTCCACAACCTGCCACCGTCTCAATCATTCGTCTGTCAGTTAACCGGCCGCGCCGCCGAGAGAGTTACTGCCGGAAGTCGATGAATTTCAGCCACGGAAACCCGCTCCTCGCAGCAGCCTTCTCGACCTCGTTCGAACAAGAGGAAGACGACGAGCACGGCGGCGCACCGCTACCGGAATCGGCCGCCGCTTTTCTCTGGCACATGAAGAAATTCCTCGACCCCAATTCTTGAAGCTTCTCCGCTCTGTCCAGACCTGGGGGACAATATCCAAAATTCACCGTCAGCCAATCAAATCCATCCACGTCTCCAATCTTTTAGCAATCCTAGGTTATAAAAAAAAAATTAACATAATCGGCTAACGCAATTGGTAAAAAGAAAAATTGAATCGGCGATTGAATTGATTAACTTAGGGATTACGAAATCTTACTTTCTAAGCTAAACTGCGAGTAATGGAGGCCGAATCGGGAGGGATCGGTCGCGATAACCGGCCGCCGACCTTCCTTGTTGTACTGCCGGATTACAGCTGCGATCAATTCTCCGACCGTCGATTCCGGCGACACCAGCATCTGTACGGCCCCGACGCTGCCTTGAACCGTCACGTTGAGCAGCAGCTTCGTCAGCTTGAGCGGCCGGATCTCCACGCTCGACGAATTCATGTTTCGTCCAGCGAGCAAGTTCGGCAAGGTTTTCGGCCTCTGCATCCTCGCCTCGGCCTGCGGCGGCGGAGCAATCTGCTCCGCGATTTTCCCGCCGTGAAAAGACACCGCGCGCTCCGTCACACGGTTCTTGCGATTGTTGTTAGTCTTCTCCGTCGGCTCCGGTCCTCTCCGGTTAATCTTCCCCGTCGACGACATATAGAACAGAAACTCGCAAAAACCAAAAACACAATCTGTAGAGAGAAATCTAGGGATTCCGGAATCGGAATCGCTCGCTAGGTCGGTTGTCGAAGAAGACGGACTATCTCTCTCACCTCAAACGGCGGTACCGGAAGAAGCGGAAGCGAGGGAAAGCGAGAGCGGCGGAGGAACTCGGGCTCTCGAATCCCCGGCGGCCGTCAGCTCGCATAACCTGGGAGATAGATTTTTGTAGAGAGACGTAAGGAATCGGATTGAGGAAGATTGAAGCAAATTTTGATTCGGGGTAGCGGATTAGTGCCGGCTTTATAATGGAGTGGAGGAGAAGCGAAAGAAGGTAGGAAAGCGGGCGCTCGAGACCTCGGTTTACCGGGTACAGCCGGTAGTGGGCCCATTTCGATTGAGTGGCCCACCGTTAAGGCCCGTCAAAAATGGGCGTGGGCCCTACGACGAGCTCATTTACGGATTGGGTTATGCAAATTATGTGGTTGTAAAAATAAAATAATTCGCACGTGTGAGGGAGAAAAAAAACATTATCGTTCGTTGCCGATGGAGTTTGACACTGACGGTGACGGCCTGGGACGGTGGAAGGACGCCGTCATTGGAGGTTTTCTTGTTAAACTAAACGGCAATAATAGTGAACGGTGACGCCGTAAAAGATAGCGAGACCGTTAGTAAAGAAGAATTAGCCCAGGGGAGAGTAAGCTGAAACGGCGGTGTAATCTAGCGCCGTCATTACACGTGTCGAAGCCTGAGTGAGCCGGAGTGACTCACCGCTCCACCGGGTGGGGCTTGCCGGTAGCCGGTGGAAGGTAGGACGTGGAGAGAGGCTAGTGGCCGGATGGGGACTGAAGCTGACGTAACTGGTCAAGACAAAGCACAAATTAGGCAATTGATTAGTGCATGATGATTTGGTTAATTTGTCAGTATGTTTAGCATAATTAAGCTTCCCACGTCAGCTAAATATATTGTTTATTTGGTAATTAAGGAAGGAAACCATTGTTACTGTTATGAAATCGAGTTAACCGATACCTTGGAACGGTGACGTATTGGATATTTTATTGCGTCCGAGGATAGGAATAAGAGGAGAAAAACCAGAGGAATGAATGGTCGTATGACTATGAATCTATGAGCAGTGGTTGAGCTGGGAAATGTCTCGATGCATCTGACAATGGGTTCGTAAGCAGAATTAATGGAGGTAAGGTCGTAAGTGGCGTTGGATCACCTCGTTTCTACTTGCAGAATATCACAATTGACATAGTCGTATTGGGATCTTTGACGACGTCAATATTTACAAATTTTGATAGTCTTCCGTCATCACATATCTAATTATCTATTACGGTTTGAATACAGGTACAAACTTTAAAACCATAAATTATATCGACTCTAACCCGAAAAATAATAAATAAAGAGGCGCCTAGTGCACATCTAGTGAAGGCAACATATGTTCGTTCCAATCCATTGTTTGCTAATAATTGGAGACGTCCATAATTTGTCTCATTAGAAAGTGCGTATATTTTAAAAATTAGGGCCCTGTATTAGAAAATTCACAAATATATGAATTATTATGCATCATTTTTACAATTAGGATTGCGATACATGATTCCTTCAAACTTTGACAACTCACAATTCTCCAGTCAATCCAAGTTTGGTTCCTTGTCCACTCACATCTCTCACTTAATCTCATGCTATTTTCAAAACACCAAAAGCATATACTCTCATCAATAATCTCTTGACCTCCAATCTATCGAATTAAAGATTACCTAGCTGAGGCACGAGATGTCATCATTTCCTCCATTCTCATTGTCGCCGCCTTAGCTCAAGAATAGTTCAAGACTATTTGCCTAGTCTTTCAACTCTCAAAACCTGTGAATGAATCCGATCAATGAGAACTTTGATCGAGTCCATCGAATATGGGTTTTTAACTAGCTCTTATTAGGCTTTTCTCACCGTCAACTTCCATCACCAAGATTTTCAATCATGAATGAAGCCCTACCAGCCTAAACCATATAATATAAAAAAAGCTTCGATTAAGGGATAGTCGAATATATTTATATAATTATTAATCACAAAGGTAATTAATATAGTATTCAAGACTATCGATATTGTACCGAAATATTTTGGAAATAAAATGCCAAATTTATTTGCATATTAGGACTAAACTTGATTTTACGACACGATCTAATATTCAAAATTTCAATATCTCATAACGATATATTGATGTTGTATCGACCTTCATCCTACAAATCGTAACGTTGTCCATCCATATCGTTGAAAATAGTTGATTGATCGAATAGAGGAACAAAAGAACAAAAAAGAGAAAAGTTAGGGAAACGTTGAATGTACATTGATTACAGACAGAGAGTGCCACTTGAAGTATGTAACGTCAAATGACAAAAGCTAGCTAGGACCTGACCCGACCAAGTTATGAGAACCAAAACAAAAAACAGTTGAGGTTTAAGCACCCAAGTTTGATCGGGAAGACACCACATGACTAATTGACTATTGCTCATGTTCCATGTTTTGTCCTTCTTCTCGAGAGCATAGGTTCATTTTTGTTCACATTTGAAACATTTTTCTCTTGAAAATCATTAAGATTATACCAATAGGACGCGATACCATCAAGGATCTGAATCCATTTTAATGGAGGTTGTGTCGAATTGAAATTTTGACGATTCGATCGATTAGAAGATTACGACGTAAATGTACTCTTAATATGACCAGGTAAAAAAAAAAAAAAAAAGAAACATGAATCTAAACATGAATACAAATCAATACCAATCGTTACCGAAATTTCACAAAATTGCGATAACCCGAACGAACCGGTCTGCCATAACCTTGGGTTGTTTGAGTATATTGCAGTCTGCAATAATACTAGGTACTAGAGACCAAATTCGACCGGCCGGTGCATCATGCCAGTGACCACCAAATTGGGCAACTTGGTAGGGCATGCCTATGGCCTGGCCAGAAGAACTGAAGGCCTTTCAATTCCTTTCATCAACCAGAAGCCGACGGTTTAGAAAACCAGTCTACAACCAATAGTGCTCTCTACCACATATTCCTCTCGTCGTAATAATACGATATCGGAGGTTGTATCGAAAAAAGTTAGTGGTATGATATTTTGTGTTGAAAATCATAATTATAATTGTGATGCAACCGTTCCATATCCGCTAAAAACCTTCTATCGATTTAGTTTCCGATAAGCGATTCTTTCAGTCGAACCTTCGATACAGTAAGGTTTCACAGACACCGGGTCGAACAAGCAGTAAAGATGTCCGCAGGTTCTTCTTACTGATCTACGAAGGCTTGCTTGCGGGTGGTGGCAATTGTTAGAGTGTGGTATAAGATGTAGCATAACCTTCTCCCAACAACTCGAGTTATTGGGATCAACTGGTTTTATGACATGGTATCAGAACTGGCTTGGCCAAATGGTCGTGTGTTCGAAATCTCCACGACCCCCAATACTAACCGTTGATTAGAGCGCTCTATAGTGACTGCTATGTTCTGTGGTCGTGTCTCTGTTTCTTGTATCCCACGCCGCCTTATGTAATGGCGGCCATGCAACCTCTAATGGTGCCCAAAGTGAATTCGTTCACGAAACCGAGAGCCAAAACCGGTCCCTTCCTTCTACATTAGGTCCATAATTCACCAAATGCCATCCACAAAATGGAAAGAAGAGAATTGAGAGTACATTCAGCTACACAGTGCTTCATGCTGAGCATTCCATCTGACAAAATAATACAATGTTCTCAAATTTCGAACCAAGGCTGTGCTTAAAGTTAAGAAGCAAATACAACAACTCTGCCCCACACCATTACAACTCTCTCATGTCATTGTCGAGCAAGGAGGCTCTCCAACGACTGGAGAAGTAGCAACGGTGGTGCTAAATGATTCGGGGAAACTGAATCGAGTGTGGATCGACAGTATGCAGTCTGAATCTGTCTCTGGTGCTGCATGAAGCCAACTATGCCTTTGTTCTGCCTTCTGCATAATGCGACTACTTCCTTTCTCTGTCGCAGGAGGGGAATTCCGAGAGAGGATTCGGGATAGGGAAAGTAACTGAGAAGAAGCAGTCCTCATGGACCGGTTTCTGGATCCAAACTTCTCGGATGCAGGTTTCTTGTTAGCTCTCAACTTTGCCTTCTCACCAAGAACAAGAGGGAACCTCACCATTTCCGAGGGCCTGCTGCTGGGTTCCCTCGAATGCGAGCAAGGATTCGTCGGCTGCACTTGCAATTTTCTGTCTCTTCTGCCCACAAAGGTGTTCTGTAGCCTAGATGGAACCTGCATAGCAAAGAATTCCACGAAGGTTATACTGCAACTACACAACTCAGGAAAGTGCATGGAGGAAAGTGTAATGATTTCTTTTAAACCAAAACCGAGCAGCAAAGATGACCACCTCATTGTTAACTAAACCAGTCAGGCAAGCAAGAGCATAGAATGGAATGTTTCAATACATTGGTATGTCCAAACCTTTCACCGTTTTACAATACCTAACCAATCTTTTCGAAATGATAGCCAAACTCAAAATTGTTTTGTATTACACATAAAAGATTTAGAGATAATGCTGATGTGGTTGACACAGACAGTGGTCCGCGTATATAGAGGTATCATTCCATGTCGCTATATTGTGTATTTTTTTTAAAAAAGTTGACGATTATTATTATTATTATTATTATTATCACAAAGTTGGTTATTACTTTCACTAAGGTTGTTATTGTTGTCAAAACTTGAACATAAATTAGGCTATTTCATGTATTTTCTAAAAGATCGACTATCATAGTCGTTAAGATCAAAGGTTTGGACCACAGAAAAATAATGTGAAAACCTTCAAAAGAAGTTTAATTCCCCTTCGACCACTAACTATTCAGAAACAGTTCTATTAAAAGCACATGAGACTTGGTACTTACTGTTGAAAGCAGGCTGCAAGATGCGAATAACAATGATGCTGTGGAGAAAGGAGACCGCCCGGGTCCATTTCCTTTCTGCCCGTTCTGTTTCGGTTCATCAGATTGAGTTACAGAGCCAAAACTCGACGGTGGAGCATCGTCTTCTTCCTCTTCATCTTCCACCTCATCTTCTACTTCACCTTCATCATCAGTTAAAGGCTCCTTGTCTTGTTTAGACGAGGGAGAAATATCTTTTATCTCATATGAAACCTTATCTTCAGAAACAACTTCAGCCTTTTCAGCTTCATCCGCAGGTTCTTTCTCATTCCCTACCTCCTCTTCTTCTTCTTCCCCTATCTCTTCCAACTCCAAATCC